GAGTTCGAGAACCTGCTAGCTTCGCAAGAGTCATTAGCTACGCAAATGGCAGGAGTCAAAATCCATGATGACTCGGGGAGCGCCTTTGTAGCTCGGAAGCAACACAACTTCAAAGCCAAATCCAAATACGATGGTGCAAAGAACATCGATGGACCGGAAGGATCTTCTACTGGAGATAAGAAGCGATTCAAGTGCTACCGGTGTGGAAAGCTTGGGCACTTCAAAAAGGATTGTCGAGTCAAGCTGAAGGAGACAAATATGGCAGAATCAAAAGGTCATATTGAAGACGAAGAATGGGGGAAATGCTTCACGGTGGAGGCTGCATCTTCAGGTATATCCACAACTAAAAATCTTGAAAATGATTGGATTGTGGATTCGGGTTGTAGCCACCATATTACCGGAGACGAGAAGCTATTTTCTAGTCTTCAGCGCCATGATGGAAAAGAAGCCATAATTACCGCGGATAATTCAGTTCACCGGGTCGAGAAGGAAGGGACTGTTGTCATTGAAGGAGAAGATGGAAGCCCTATCACCCTCAAGAATGTATACCATGTCCCTGGAGTAAGGAAGAATCTTCTCTCTGTGGTGAATGCAGTAGACTCAGGTAACTACGTTTTATTTGGCCCAAGAGACGTCAAATTCTTGAAGAATATTAAAGAGTTAAAGGCGGATGTGGTTCACACCGGATCGCGGGTTAAGGATCTATATGTCTTATCTGCGTCCAACTCATACGTGGAGAAGATGAGTACAAACGACAATGCCTCTATATGGCATGCTCGGCTTGGTCATATAAACATGACTAAGCTAAAGGTTATGGTGAATAAGAAGTTGGTAAATGGGCTTCCGAAGCTGAAGATCCAAGATGAAGGAAAGCTTTGTGAAGGTTGTCAATATGGAAAATCACATAGACTTCCATTTGACAATTCTACTTCACGGTGCAGTGCTCTGTTGGAGAGGATCCATAGTGATTTGATGGGTCCTACAAGAACACCCTCATATTCCGGGTTTCGGTACATGTTGCTGTTCATTGATGACTTCTCACGGCACACTTGGGTATACTTTGTGAAGGAAAAATCAGAAGTATTCTCCAAATTTCAAGAATTCAAGGTTACCGTGGAAGGGGAGCTGGGTCGGAGAATCAAGACCTTAAGGACAGATAATGGAGGGGAGTTCATGTCCAAAGAGTTTCTCTCTTTTTGTCAAAAGCATGGAATAAAGAGAGAGTTTACTTGTCCGTATACACCTCAACAAAATGGAGTAGCGGAAAGGAAGATTCGACATCTAACTGAGACGTGCAGAAGCTGGCTATATGGGAAGGATCTGCCTAAAGCCTTGTGGGCAGAAGGCATGAGATGTGCAGTGTACGTCATAAATCGGATGCCACTCAGCCCAAATAACATGAAGTCTCCGTATGAGATGATTCATGGGAAGAAGCCGTCAGTGAAACATCTCAGGATATTTGGATCAGTCTGCTACGTCCATGTGTTTGATTCTCAAAGAACCAAGTTGGAGGCAAAGGCGAAGAAGTGCATCTTCGTTGGCTATGACGAACAAAGAAAAGGGTGGAGGTGTATGGATCCAGAGACACACAGGTACGTAGTGTCTCGAGATGTTGTTTTTGATGAAGTTTTCTCATTCTATGGGCCACCTCAAGTTTTAGTTGAGCAAGAAGGTGGGAGTTCCTCCAAGAGTGATAAACCAGCTCTGAGTAAGGAAAAAGGTCCTGAAGAAGAGATGCAAGGTGAAAGGGGGAGCACTGATCAAGAGGAGGATGAGGAGGAACATCATGGTTCCACGGCTAGTCAAAGGCCTAAAAGGGACATCATTAAACCTGCTCGGTTCAGAGATCCAAAGTTTGTTACTACCTTCTCGTGCTACTTTGCAGCTCCATTAGATGAAGATGAGCCAACATCTTATGATGAAGCAAAAGGTGTTGACGAGTGGGAAAACGCAATGAAGGAGGAGATGAATGCTCTCATGAAGAACGAAACTTGGGATTTGGTTCCAAAACCCAAGAATGCCCAACCTGTTTCTTGTAAATGGGTGTACCGGATCAAGCGCAAAACAGATGGAAGCGTTGATAGATTCAAAGTAAGGTTGGTTGCTCGGGGATTCTCTCAAAAGTATGGAGAAGACTATGATGAGACCTTCAGCCCTGTAGCCAAGATGACTACGGTACGTTCTCTCTTATCTTTGGCTGCAAGTTTTGGTTGGAAGTTATGGCAATTAGACGTGAAGAATGCTTTTCTATATGGAGAGCTTGACAAGGAAATCCTGATGGAGCAGCCACTTGGTTTTATATCACGAGAGCATCCTGATTATGTGTGTAAGCTGAAGAAGGCCTTGTATGGGTTAAAACAAGCTCCACGAGCCTGGTATGGAAAGCTTGCTCAGTTTCTTCAGTTCTGCGGTTATGTGGCATCAAACTCTGATCCGAGTCTATTCTTCAAGAAGAATGGAGGAGTCCACGTGGTAGTTCTCCTTTACGTGGATGATATGATAATTACCGGGAATGATGATGCAGAAATTACTCGTTTACAAGAGGATATGTCGATAAGGTTTGAGATGAAGAAGTTGGGAGAGGTCAACAACTTTCTCGGTTTGGAGGTGGAAAGGGTAAAGGGTGGAATATTCATCGGCCAACAAAGCTATGCAAGAAGAATCGTTGAGAAGTTTGGAGTACACGAAGGAAAGACACGCTCTACTCCAATGGATGTCAACATAAAGCTTAAACGCGATGAAGGGTCCTTACTACCTGATCCTCGGCCTTATCGCTCTCTTGTAGGAAGTCTTTTATACTTAACCATTACAAGACCTGACATTGCCTTCGCGGTAGGTCTTGTAAGTCGGTTTATGCAGGCACCAAGGAAGCCACATCTAGAAGCGGCAAAGAAGATATTGAAGTATGTGAAGACAACTCTTGGCATGGGTCTGGTGTACAAGTATAATGCCAAGGTCTCTCTTTATGGCTTCACGGATGCTGACTTTGGTGGAGATCTTGATGATCGGAAATCAACTTCAGGCTATGTTTTCCTATGTGGGAACACAAGTGTCTCATGGTGCAGTAAGAAGCAAGCAACGGTGTCGTTATCTACAACTGAAGCAGAGTATAAAGCGTCAACTCTAGCAGCTCAAGAGTGTATTTGGCTTCAGAGACTCCTTGAAGATCTGTTCGAGCCAATCAATAAGCCAATTGCAATTTATGGAGATAATCAAAGTGCGATCAAGCTGGCTAATAATCCGGTGTTCCATGGGAGGACTAAACACATTGAGTTAGAGCATCACTTCATAAAAGAGAAGGTGCTTGATGGGACAATTGAAGCTTTGGAAGTTCGAAGCGAGGACAACGTTGCGGATATCTTCACCAAGTCATTACCAAAAGGTCAGTTCGAGTTACTTCGCTCGAAGCTCGGGATGACTGACAAAATCAAGTTTAAAGGGGAGTATTGAAGTTAAACTTGATTTTGGGTTAAGCTTAATTTTGGGTTTATAAAATAATTATTAGTTATTAGATTAGGCCCAAAATTAAGCTCAAGTTCTAGAATCTCTAGAAACATCACTAAAAATCATCATCTTTCTTAAATGTTCTAGAGAATTCTATTAGTTAAATATCTAGATAATTCTATAGATAATTCTAGATGTTGTAGTTAAAATTCTAGATATTATTGTAGAAAATTCTAGAGATTAGGAGAATGTTTGTAAGATATTTTGTAATAAGTGGAGCCTATAAATAGCCCACTACTCCATCATTTGTAAACAAGAGAAGTTGAACAAATAAAGAAATAGTGTTCTTCATAAGTTCTCTTATTCTCTCTAAAGTTCCTTCAAGTTTTCTCTAAGTATTCTTTCATCTTATTATTCATACTTAGAGGATTTTTGTTTCTTTCGGATCTCTCGGGTATTACGGTCTTGGGCTAGTGTTTGGCACTATCGGTATTTTCTTTACATACCAAACCTTTCAAATGTCTATTCTGGTTTTATCCATTGTCTTTGGGTTAGTTGTTTTGATTCAACTAGATTTTCCAATGGAAGGGTTTCACTTTCGTTATCTTTTACTTATTCTGGTACTGGGCTGTTTCTCTGCTCTTTACGCCTGTGAGTATGATCCAAAAACCCAGCCTTTCTGGTTTTGTTTTCTCGCTCTTTTTGTTATGCAAATGCCTATCTACTTTGTCAATTTTCCCAGATACCCTGGACATGAGTCGGAAAGATTTTTCAGTTTCTATTGAATTACTACTGTCTTTTCTCAGATCTTGTTGTTTAGTCTTTCTATCATCTTTTGTCGTTTCTTTTAATCAACATTGTAATCCCCTTTTCATGTAATGTCGTTTGGGTAACTCTGTAATGTCGTTTAGTATTCCACTTTAATGAATATTTTGGCTTTTGTTTATTACGCTTGCCCTCGTATTTGTTGCCAAATACTAGTATTCATTTATGATATTTTGCAACATGTTATCCTATTCGAGACTTAATAATATAATACTATAATATTTTGAATTAAATGGGAGCATGTAAAATCTATAAAGAAGCCATCCAAAAGATCAATTTAAAAAATAACCAGAGATTTTTGTATAGTTTTGTAACATCAATTCGGTTATTATGAATGGCATTTTTAAAGAAAAATGTGGACGAACCGGGACTGTGGATAACTCTCCACTGTTTCTTTATTGTATATCTCTGTTCACTGTCACAAGTCACGCCTACATCAGTCCTTATTTACATGAAGAATCACAATTTTACAACAAAACATCTTCTGATCCAAGAACCCAAAACTCAAACCACAATACATTGGACCGGCTCTAAAAAATCACACCACAAAAACCAAAATCAAACCGGACAAAAAAATCGCACCCAAAACTGCGCCCATATAGCCAAAAACCAATACAGCAAAACTGAAGGCGAAAAAATAAGAGAGCCGGTCCATGTTGCGTTTGCGTGCAAGAATGCCCAAAACGGGATCAAAGAAGTCAAAGAATTTCTTACCCATACGTCACCAGCAGTTAAGGTTCGGTGTATTGTTCCTTGTTTTCTTCTACTTCTTCACTCCACTGCCGAACACTAGTATCAACCGGTGAACCCGGAACTATCGGCGAAATGCCTCGGCCGCCAAATATGCGACGCATAACCGCGTTATCGAATTTCCTCCAATAGTAATGAATTGCTCGGGATGGAGCGTTCCAGAGCATTCTCACGCTGATCGGTTGATCAAGGTTGTCATCCGATTGGCCTTGGCTGCTAATTAGCGGCTCGTAGTTTTGGATGTAGCCTGCCACCGCTATCGATGAGCGGCTCGTCCAAAGAAGATCTCGGTGTTGTAGACCTTTTGACTAACGGTTTGGTTAACAATCCAAACACCTGCCCGAAAAAATAAAGAATTCATAAAAAAGAAGAAATTAGAACCGGGTTTTCTCTTTAGCCGTAATGGTCGACCATATCCAATCCGGTTTTACTTTGTTTTTTTCTTCTTCAAATTAGTGAAAAAGAACAATACATTCGGTTTGGTGTGATGTTGTTTCTGAATAATTTGAGAGAAAATTAATTCTTTTTCGGTTATGGTTTGTTTGGAGTCAGGAAAAAACAAGCCGGATCGGTTTATATACTCGTTGATTCAGTTGACTAAACCGGATTGGCAACCCTAGCCGAAAATATAAAACTAGGACGCAAAACCGGTTTGCGCCTAAAGGGTTTAAACGTACCACAGTGTTGAAAAGAACAGTGATGGTGCTGGTGATCATGATAGCATTTTCAAAAAGCTTTATGTGTCCTGAAGTCGTGAACTATGTGATTTAACAGAGAAGAGATTAGTGAGATTTTGTTTAGAAAAAAAATCAAATTGAACTAGATGATTTAATTGGGTTTTAACTATGTTTCTTGTAGCTCACGGATCATACATACCTGGTTATAAGCAAGAGCCATTGAGACTGCGCCACGCATCAGACCAGCCCACCAAATGGTGACTTGTTTCTTCCAATCGATTTTCTCATCCGGTGAAGACTTTGTCAAATTCGACAAGAACCAAAGAGGGAACACGAACGCTGCACGACCCAGAAGAATAAGCCCAAGGAGTATCGAACTCACTCCAATCGACTGCCCAGGACTGTCCAAAATTGCTAAAACAAAGATCATGCAAAATGATAAAATAAACAATATTGTATTTTACTTATATATACATAAAACCTCACCTGTTGCGTACAACGTCCATTCCAACGTAAAGGAAGATAAAGATCTCAGCTAGAAATGACAACGCAGCAAAAGTGTGTCTACACCAAGAAATATATATTTTACATTTTAGTCAATCAGAAATCACCAAACTAATAATTTAATATAGGGTTTTCTCTAATTATTAGGAGGAGAAGGAAACTTACTTTGTAGTGACCTTTTGATTTATCTGTATCATTATGCCATGTGTAATGAGACATAACAATCCCAGAGAAGAACACAGTCAAGATAAAGGGAAAAATGTCTCATGTTTTGTTCTTGTCTTGGTAAAACTGTAACAAAATGTTTCGTATTTTATCTTCTTTTTATACCTCTGCCAATTAATATATATGATAGGTAAGCTAATAACATCAAAAGTGCAACTTCAGTTAATTGTTTTTTTATTTACAATGTATGGAGTAGTTCTTTAGTTTCAAAAAGTAATGCACAATGTACATGACGCTAAGAGTAAAATATGATATATTATAATTTCCAAATTGTTAATTAATTGCAAAGTTACGCATGCAACCCTGACTTTCAAAACAGTCCAACAATATTTTTTTACAATGAGTGTAACTCGATTTATTGATGGAAATTTTTTTACAAGTTTGTATTTAAGAGCATATTCCTTATAAGTATTTAAATAAAATTCTCAAAATACTATAAAATATTAATAGTGATTTTATATTGTAAAAATAATAATAAAATAAATTTAGATATCTCAAAACTTGAGATACCCAAATTTCCTTTATTAAATTTTTAATATTATTATAACATATTTATTATTTAACTATAATTTGAAAACCCCATTGAGGTATTTCAATGGAGATACTAAGTCATTGTCGAATGCAGGTCATCCACAAGTCACTAAAAGTTGTAATTGTTTTTTATATATTATTGAAACTCAAAACGGAAACAGAGTAGCTTGGCTAATTAAATTAGGTTAGTAAAATCTAGAAATAAACGTATAGAATAGAAACATAGAGCAGAAACAGAAACAAAGAAAACTTCAAACTTAAAAGCACAAAATGTAGACGTATGCTACAAAGAAGAAAAAAAAAATCAAATATAAAGATTCGTTTCCAAAAATTGTAAACATGAGTTCAGCATGGTGGGTTAGAAGCAGGAGTATAGGCATAAGAAACATTTGTCTTAGAGCCCCTATAATTTATATAGTCAATAGGTGTAGATTATTTGGCACCCAAATCGTTTGAAACAAAATTTATACTCCCTCCGTTTTCAGTTTTTGAATTATCTATTCTTAAAATCAAAATTGTTTTAAATGTAAATTAGACAAGCCAAATAAGATGATTGCAAACTGATTCTCTCTATTAATTCAATAGAGTTACAACTCTATATATACTCCAGTTACAACCCATAGATCCTAAAAGACTGGAACTACTCAAATACCACTTCTACAATAAAGAAAACTAATCGTGTCCGAAACAATCGGCACGTTACTGAAACTAATAAACCAAAACAAACTTTGTACTTTAACTAAGTACGACATTGACTTAAGACTTCCTAACACAGCCTCTCCTAAACCAAAACCAGTCAGTTTTAGTTTATATTAGGAATCTCACAAACTCCAAGCATCTCACGCAGCTTCTCGTAAGTATCCATCTTCAAAGGTTTAGTCATGATGTCTGCAATTTGCTTCTGTGTGCTGCAGTGTACCAATTCGACAACTCCATCATTAGTAAGATCCCTGAGAAAATGAAACCTTACATCGATGTGCTTACTCCTCTGGTGCATGACTGGTGTCTTCGATAGCTTAATTGTGGACATGTTATCACAATACATAATTGTACTCTCGCATTCTTATTGAACCATTCCAATGCTCTCCAAAATTCTCCTTAGCCATATAATTTGACACGCACAGGTTGCAGCCGCCACAAACTCAGCCTCTGTTGTGGACAAAGTCACCACTGGCTGGCGCTTGGATGACCATGAAATTGCTGCACCACTCAAAAAAACACATACCCTGCAGTACTTTTTCTGGTGTCCAAGTCTCCCGCATAATCACTATCAGAATATGCTTCAAGTATGCTGCTTCCATTCCTCCTATAACGCATACCGAGATTGATAGTTCCTCTCACGTACCGAAGCACTCTCTTCACAGCTCCCATATGAACTTGACTGGGAACATCCATGAACCTGCTGATCAAGCTCAATACAAACATCAGATCTGGTCGTGTGGCTGCCAAATACATTAAACAACCCACCATTTGTTTGTATAGATTGGCATCGGCTTTCTCACTTGAATCTTCTTTCACCAATTTAGTTCCAGGAACAATTGGATTTCTCACTGGATTACATTCCTCCATCATGAACCTTTCAAGTATCTCCCGAGCATATTTTCTTTGACACATGTAAATGCCTGTCTCGTCTTGAATTATCTCCACTCCAAGAAAATACCTCATCTCCCCCAAATCAGACATGTCAAACTCTGTTTTCATCGAAGTTTTAAAGTCTTCCACCATGTCTGATTTGCTTCCTGTCACAATCATGTCATCAACGTATAGAGACACGATGAGGAGGTTACCTTCATCGTCAGCCTTGACGAACAGTGTAGGTTCGTGAGGACACTTCTTCAGTCCGGCTGCAGTGAAATATCGTTCAATGCGGCTGTACCAGGCTCGAGGCGCCTGCTTGAGCCCATACAACGCCTTATTGAGCTTGTATACTTTTGATTCATGACCCTTCTTCTCATATCCTTTAGGTTGATCAATGTATACTGTTTCTGTGAGTTCTCCATATAAGAACGCACTCTTCACGTCTAATTGATAGACCTTCATTCCCTTTTGTGCTGCGACCGCTAAGATTACTCTAATGGTATCCCATCGTGCAACAGGTGCAAATACTTCAGTATAATCAATGCCATATTTTTGAGCATATCCTTTGGCGACTAACCTGGCTTTGCACTTGTCGACTTCTCCGGTTTCATTTAGCTTAGTTTTGAAAATCCACTTTACTCCAATAGTATTAACTCCATGTGGTAAGCTGCATAGCTCCCACGTCTCATTCTTCTCAATGGATTCTATCTCTCGATCTATGGCTTCTCTCCACTTTGCTTCTTGAACCGCTTCCTCAAAGCTTGATGGATCAGCTATCGAAGAGAAGAAACCAAAGACTTCCATGAACATGACAAAATCCACATTTTCTTCTTCTTCTGATAGTTCTTCTCCACTGACATAATCTTGCATCCATGTTGGAGTTGTTCTGGGCCTCCCGATTTGATTGATCTGCTCTGCTGCAGCTGGGTTTTCTTCAGTGTCTTGATTGATCTGCTCTGCTACATCTGAGTTTTCTGCAGCCCCTCCACCATGTTGTATTATGTTTTCAGTTTCATTCCCAGATTCACCTTTGTCATCTTCCTCTTCGTTTAGACTAATGTCACGTGATTTATCTGTTGAACACTTGTTCCACTCCCACTCTGCGTCTTCCTCGAACACAACATCACGACTAATGATGATCTTGTTGTCAACAGGATTATACAGTCTGTACGCTTTAGACTCCTCGCTCACACCAAACATCACACACTTGATGCTTTTGTCATCTAGTTTCTTCCATTTTTCTTTTGGTACATGTGCGTGAGCAACACATCCAAAGAGTTTGAAATGATCAACCGATGGAACGTGACCACTCCAAGCTCCCTCAGGCGTCATACCTTCTACTGCAGTGGTAGGGCTCCGATTAAGTACATACACACACCAATTGGTTGCTTCTGGCCAAAACTTCTTTGGAACCTTCTTTCCAGACATCATGCTTCGAACCATATTGAGAACTGTTCTGTTCTTTCTCTCCGCCACGCCGTTTTGTTGCGGGGTGTATGTTGCAGTGAGTTGCCGTTGAATACCATGGCTAGCACACAATTCCTTGAATTCATTAGAATTGTATTCTCCTCCTCTGTCTGTCCTTAAACATTTGATCAATAGCCCTGTTTCTCTTTCTACCAAGGCTTTAAACTTTTTGAATGCCTCCATAGCTTCTGACTTCTCCGACAGAAAGTAGACCCAGCATTTCCGTGAGAAATCATCAATAAGCGTCATTATGTACCTCTTTTGACTGCTGGACTCAGGTGTGATTGGACCACAAAGGTCCGAATGAATTAGTTGCAGCTTCTCAACAGCTCTCCAGTTGCTTTTCTTAGGGATGACATCTCGCTGTTGCTTTCCAGAGAGGCAGTCCTCACATAGTTTGCTTGGAGCATTGATCTCTGGTAAGCCTTTCACCATTTCTCCAGTTTTGAGTGTCACCAACCCCTTATAACTCAAGTGTCCGTAACGGCAGTGCCATAAGAACGACTCATCTTCAGATGACGTCTTGAAACAGATTGCTTCTCGTGGCATCACCTTAGCTATGACAACAAACATTCTGTTGACGGTCATGAGGGTTTCCATGATCAGACCTCTAGAGGGATGATACAAGCGACATGCTCTATCTTGCATTAGCACTGAGAATCTTTTCTCCATCAATTGTCCAATGCTAATGAGATTGTTCTTCAAATTGGGAATGTAATACACATTAGTTATGATGTGTGAAACATTTCCAATCTCCATTCGAACATTACCTCTCCCCATGACTGCCATCTTTGAATTGTCTTCCAGCTTCACTTGGTGAGTGTACTCTTCATCAAGATCACTAAACCACCCTTTCTCTCCACACATGTGATTGCTACACCCAGAGTCAAGAAACCACATCTTCTCCTTCGTCTCAACCTCAGTGCGTGCCATCAGGACCATGTCTTCTGCTCCATCAAATTCTGCATAATTTGCACCTTTCTCCCCCGTGGGACATTCGTACTGATAGTGCCCCAGCTTATGACACTTATAGCATTCAATAGAGTTACAACTCTATATATACTCCAGTTACAACCCATAGATCCTAAAAGACTGGAACTACTCAAAGACCACTTCTACAATAAAGAAAACTAATCGTGTCCGAAACAATCGGCACGTTACTGAAACTAATAAACCAAAACAAACTTTGTACTTTAACTAAGTACGACATTGACTTAAGACTTCCTAACATTAAATACCATAAATCTCAGAGCCAGCCTTTTTTATAAGCGATTCTGGAATTTCATATAGCGATGACGTGACATTACATTTTTTATTGGAGCCTGTCACTATTCTCCTAGAGATCCCGAACTCTAAACACTTAGCCGTGGTTTAGGTCCAATTTGTTTACCAATACAGTCTAGGGAGGGGACAATAAATTTCGGTTGGACCAATAAAATCTCAGCTGTCAGAGAATTGATTATAAAAAAGCATCAATTTTCTCATAACCCATAAAGCAGAGAGCTGAAAGCTTTATCAGATTCATAATGTAAACGAATATATGACATCAATTATCCATAATGTAAACGAATATATGAGGTGGCGTAAGCAAACATGTCACAGGCTCAGTGTATTTTTTTCTTATACATTCATCCATGAACCATGATGATCACTGATCATAATCTCAATACATTCATTCTTAGCAAAAAAAAAAAAAAAAAATCCACAATACATTCATAACCAGTCTTATGAGTTATGCTTATGCTCTTATCCATACTTCACCGCAATGGCCAAACAGTATCCTTTTATTGAAACTCAAACAAGAGAAGAGCTTGATCAACTATATTAGGTTAACAATATTCAGAAGCAGAAGTAATCGAAAACAACAGATCGCCGAATAGAAACAAAGAACGTTTCAAATTCTAATGCACAAATTGTAGGTACATGCCCGTAAAGATTCTTTCCTAAATGTGAAAACTCAAATTCGGTCTATAGAAGAATGAGAGTTTGTGGGTTTAAAGAGAGATCTGTATTAAGTTTCAGCCAGAGCTCGAGAGATACACGGTCGTTTCGGTCATCGGAATAAGAACGCCGACCTAAATTGTTTATGAAAATAAAATCAAGAACTAGGAACAATAAGATTAGTTTGCCCTAGGTCTCGAGAGACGAGTTTTGGATGTTTATTAAGAAACAGCTGAACCTTGAGAAAGGCTGCCTACGTACCCTTTTGAAGGGATCAAGCCAATCGTAGTTCATAATAAGGGAGTTAAATAGATGAAATCTAGAGAGAATAAGGTCTTCTCCAAGTGTGGAGATTCTTGGATAATTATCCTATATTCTGAGAAGTGAATGCCTTCTTAATTTATAGCCCGACAAGGTCGGTCTTCTGGAGATACATTCTCCTGTTGAAATAGAAGATTTCTATTTATCTTGCCGACCTAAATATTCTTTAGGGTTTTGGAATGAGTCTATCTCAATTGATGTAGGGATTTAAGGGGTATGAAATCCATCTCTAACACCAAAGGTCGTAAACAGTTGATCAGTCAAATTAAAGGATAGAATTCATAACATTTTTACATAAAAAAGAGGACTGAATTCATGGACGCTACGATCGGAAAGAGTCTCCACGACTCCAACAAAAATGGAGAAAATTTGGAAATATACCTTAAAGAAGATTTTATTTTTTTAAACTATAATTGTATTTTAACTACCCGTCTAAGTTTAAAATGACTTTGAAACCAGCTAAACATTAATACGCTGTGGAGTCCCCTATAAGTTGTACATAATAACGTAATGTCAAGACTGTAGGAATTAAGTTTCAGAATTAAGCTAAGTATGATCATTAGTTATAACTTATAAGCTAGTAATTATGGGAAAACCTTCAGTATAATGTTTAGATCATTCGTGTAATAATCATATCATACTTAAGTTATGAAATAATTTCAATGAAACTGCATAGTAAATCAAAAATCGTGTTATAGTTAGTATACACAACAATATTAGAGTTAATACCGGGTTTCTTAATTGTTTGGTTTTCTGGTCAAAGCGCTTAGTAATTTATCATTCCGGTTCAGTTTGATAACTTTGCAATGTTTTTTACACGGGTTTGCGGTTCGGTCATTTGCAACCGGCTTTTACCATTATCCAACCGAAATGAGTATCGACGGGAATTATCCGTAACAGAGTGACAGCGAGAGGTGTGAAGGAAGAAGACGATGGCGTCAATGTCTCTCTCGTTTTCTTCTTCGCTGTTCTCGTCTCGAATTCCTCAAGGAAAGCGTAGATTTCGTCAGAGAGATGTGAGCTTCGTACGATGCGTTCTGGCTGCTTCAAAATCTTCTCCGGGAGGTGCTACGAAGAAGAGGCTCTGGAAAGAAGGCGAGTTTCCTGGAATCACGGCGCCGGCTAATCCCAGACGAACCCCGATTAAGAATGTGAAGAAGAAACTGGACATGAGAAGCAAAGCCAACGCATGGGTCAGCACCGTCACTGAAACCTTGTCCGATCTCATCGCCAAAAAGCAGTGGTTACAAGCTCTCGAGGTGATTTTCAATTTTCTCTTTTCTCTTTTCTTATTCGATGGAATTTGATCTGAGAATTGAACCACCAACTTTAAATTTAGCTGAAAATTGGAGTTTCTGAAGTTTTCCCAAGCGAAACGAGTTGCTTCAATTGACTATTTTTGTTATGATCTTAAGGTCTTTGGTATGTTGAGGGAGCAACCATTTTACCAACCAAAGGAAGGAACTTACATGAAGCTGCTTGTTCTTCTGGGTAAATCTGGACAACCCAATCGTGCACAGAAGCTGTTCGACGAAATGCTTGAAGAAGGACTTGAACCCACTGCTGAGCTCTACACTGCTCTTCTCGGGGCCTTCTGTCGCAGCAATCTCATCGACGAGGCCTTTTCAGTTCTTGAACGAATGAAAAGCCTGCCTCGATGCCAACCTGATGTTTTCACATACAGCACTCTGCTCAAGGCGTGTGTGGACGCTTCTCTGTTTGACCTGGTCGACTCTTTATACAAGGAAATGGACGAGCGTTTGATAACGCCGAACACCGTGACCCAGAACATCGTTTTGAGCGGGTACGGTAGGGTCGGTAGGTTTGACCAGATGGAGAAAGTCTTGTCTGATATGCTGGTGAGTACCTCTTGTAAACCCGACGTGTGGACTATGAACATCATCCTCAGCGTGTTTGGCAACATGGGAAGGATCGACATGATGGAGAGCTGGTACGAGAAGTTCAGGAACTTCGGGATTGAGCCAGAGACTCGGAGTTTCAATATCTTGATTGGTGCTTACGGGAAGAAGAGAATGTATGATAAGATGTCATCCGTGATGGAGTACATGCGGAAGCTCGAGTTCCCGTGGACAACAGCGACTTACAACAATATCATCGAGGCGTTTGCGGATGTGGGCGATGCGAAGAACATGGAGTACACCTTCGATCAGATGCGAAGCGAAGGTATGAAAGCAGACACAAAGACCTTTTGCTGTCTCATAAACGGATATGCGAACGCTGGTCTTTTCCACAAGGTGATAAGCAGTGTTCAGTTGGCCGCCAAGTTTGAGATACCGGAGAACACTTCCTTTTACAACGCGGTTATATCAGCGTGTGCGAAAGCCGATGATCTGATAGAGATGGAAAGAGTTTACACAAGAATGAAGGAGAGAGAATGCGTGTGCGATTCAAGAACGTTTGAGATCATGGTCGAGGCGTATGGAAAGGAAGGCATGAATGATAAGATCTACTACTTGGAACAAGAGAAGCAAAAGGTTATGATGGATCGTGCTGCAGCTACAAAAGAGGAAGAGAGTCTCCCGGGATGATTGAAAGTTTGTGAATCTCCGCAATGAGAGAGATCTTTCTCTTTCAGACAATAGATGTAAGGAGTTTGTAATACACTTGATTTTTACTTGCAGCTATGTGTGTAAAGCTTTTCAATTGTTTATGTTGAGTGTTTCATCTGAAAAGCTTCTTTTTTAAAGTTATTTAATGGGCCATAATATAATGGGCCCATAAATAAAGCCTGACGTGTCCAAGAAGTCGGATGAGACAAAATGTCAATTTTGACTAGCGTTGCGGTAACTGCTTGGCTTCTTGTATAAACCTGTCTCGTTTCTCTCTCTCTGTCTTACCGTTTCTTCTCAAACAATCAAAGCGAAATTATACCAAAAGAAAAAACTGAACACGTTCTGCTCTGCAAAAAAGAAACAAACAGCTTCGATCGGAATCATTCGTCGGAAATCTACAATGGGGATCGTTGTCAAGTCTTTCAAGGATCAATTCTCCTCTGGTTTTGTCCCGTTATTCTCTTTTTCTTTTTTCTTTTTTCTTTTTGGATTTTCCCGCGAAACGAAATGTGCGCAGATCTGATTGGTCCTGCTTTTTGGGGGATGCAGAGGAGCGATTGAAAGAGTCGAGGAACATCATTGCCAAATATCCAGATCGAGTTCCGGTGAGTTTTATTTCATGTCTAGATCGTTGATTCCTTTCTTCTTTTGTTGCCGTGCTATCGTGGATTTGCTCTGATTTTCTCGGAATCTGGGTTTCAATCTACGAAATTATTTGATGAAATTAGACTGGTTTTGTGCGTTTTGGTCAATGTTAGAGAGTTGTTGCTATTTTCGTTGTTCCTAATTGTATATGCCAGATTTAGGGGATCTGATCCTAGCGTGGAAATAAAAAAGATTGTAACCAAACCATGTGATTGTTTTTTTCTGGCTATTTATTAAGAAAGTTTGCAATTAATAAATTAAGCATATGAAAACAAAACTGATAACAACTATTCTGATCATCCATAAGTATGTGATCTGATTAATGATTGAGTCAACCTTATATATGTTTCTTAATCCAAGTCAATTTTCTCTTTAGTATGTTAGCTTTTTGGTCTTCCATGGTTTCCTTTCAGCATTATCCGAGTGATATTGCAGCCAATTATTTCCATTTATTTGTTTTACTATCCGTTCATAAACACAGGTGATCATTGAGAAATATTCAAACGCAGATCTCCCTGACATGGAGAAGAACAAGTAAGTTGTGACTTCGATTTTGCTTTTCGTACTAAGTGACGAAAGGATCTGATCATGACGATCTTTACAGATACTTGGTTCCACGAGACATGACCGTTGGACATTTCATTCACATGCTAAGCAATAGACTTCAGTTAGATCCATCCAAAGCTCTGTTTGTTTTCGTACAGAACACACTTCCTCAAACGGGTACGTAAGCAAAGTGTCGGTGTAATGGCATCTCCTTATTATTCTTCTATAAAACATCCATTAATTCTTCTCTTGAATCTCTGCAGCTAGTCGCATGGACTCTTTGTACAGTACTTTCAAGGAAGAAGATGGGTTCTTGTACATGACTTACAGCACCGAGAAAACATTCGGCTAACAAATTGATTCGTTGCTTAATAATCAGAAAACTCTTTCTGAAATAATCCATTTGTTTGATTCGTATATGTTTGTGAATAATGATTGTCAGCTATTGTTGTTGTTGTTGTTCTTGTTGTTGTTAGCTGACCTTTGTACAGAAAAGCTAAAAACATTCTACTTTGTAAATTATGTTGACCCAAAGGCAATAATAAGACAAAGTGATGATGATTCACACGAAACCCTTTCTTTGTTTTTGTGCTTCCCTAAGAACCAAAAAATAGGAACAAAGTTTCGTGCAAGCACGTAAGTTTGGGGAGATATGGTAAAATGAGGCCTGAGAATATCACTGTCGGCGCGTTAAACGTGTCCCTTACGACTTGGATTGTGTGTTATACGATAATGTTCTGCGCTGAACCGCAAACTTTAGAATATATATAGTTTTATGTATATCCTTTCGTCAATTTTTCTATATATGCTTTATGTCATTATATGTACTTCCTTTGGCATCGATATAATTATGTTCTGCTGATTACAAATTTTAAACCGTTTTAATATGTGGTTGACAACAACAAACGAAAAAAAACCTGTTTTACTCACCGTTTTGTCAGTATTTTATATGACGCGTTGAAACCGATTATTGTAGCAGCTCATAACTTTATATTATCTCGATTTAAATTCGGCAAGAACACCAATTAGTCTTCGAGTGTATGTCGTCCTTTTTCTTCCAAACGTGTTTTACTCTATGGTTTTGAGTTGACATTTGACACGTCATTCCTCTCTATTACTGTAATCATATATGTTTAATTTTAATCCACTCACCGAACCTACATCGCCTCGTGGATGGCATTTAGCAATGTAAATTATATTTCAATCACAATTCTCTTGATGATACTTCACAACGCTATGACATTGTGAATATCGTGGGAATTTTGCTTTGGTGACTTTTGTCATGTTTTTTTTTTTTTCAGTTTGGCCAATTACCAAAGAACGAAATCGTACGTTTCTTTGATATTTAGACCAGACTGGGCCATTTTGAATAGAAAATGGGCCTTTTGAAATAGAAAGCTAATTTTCGTTAATGGATGTATTTCTTCCGTTGATCACACAATATTTTTCGCAAAACTCTCGAAACACATTTATTTCCGAGTACTATTCTATAATTTCTATATCACTGATCATGAGTTGAGATATGTAATTACAATTTGAACGAGAAGAGAGTTTTTAGTCCAAAAGCCTCTTTGAGAGAATTGATTTGGGTTTGTTCATTAGGAATGTGGGATGTTTGCTTATATCAATGTTATCAGAGCCTGCATGCATATTCGTTTTGTGAAATCTCCTTAGACTTCTGATAAGAAGGAACCAAAGCATAATCTTGAGATGGTAAAAGTTAATTTGTGTTTCAGGGATTTTGGAGTTGAGAAAGAGCAATTCAACACGTGGAAGCCTCAATTCGAAGATGTTGAGGTATCTCTCCTCTATGATGCTGTCTGGATAACGAATAACATTTTAGAATATATGTGTTGTTGACTTGTTCCTTGGACCTTTTTTTAATCTTTCCAAGGTATCATCCTCTGATCAAGATGGGCTACAAAACTCTCAAGCTTCACAATATGAAAAAGCAAAAAGAATAAAGTTTATTTGATATCTCTTTCTTTTTCTTGTCTCCCCCACACAATGATTCTACAATCTTTATGAGTTAATATTTCTGTGTATTCCTGTCGATAAAAGATTTTGGAAGAAACAGAAGATGCCACTTTGAAAAGACCTCAAGAAGTTGTTATCTGGTTTATAATTTGGTTTAATTTGTCTTTGGCAGATAACCGATCGATAACCATTATCGAAAAATCTTCAAGTCACCGGTGTTATTAACTAGTCCGGATGATTTTTTGTTCTTACTAAAATTCTAAAATCATCTAAAGTACTTATGTACTTGTATAGTTGCTGTCTAAAAAACAAAGTGTACTTGTATGATTTTACATTGAAACAAAGGATGATCCCAACAATATTATAGTAATCAAAACGTCATGCAACAAATAAGACAACGATGTTGTCGTGCCTTACTTCGCCCAATATTATAATTAATAGTAATTTTAAAGTTAGAAAATTATGTGTATTATTAAAATTATAAATAATAGAGTAAATTTGCTCGCCGACATTTGGTAGATGAAGAAAGGAGGGATGTTATGGTCCAAAAGATCATTTGGGGAATAACACAATCTCCAAAAGCTGGTCACATGTGGCTCATTCCTGTCCAAGTCAAACCTTCTACATTTTTTTAATTATTATATTATTACACAATTTTATTAACTTATTAGTATTACTCTTTACCAAAATGCTTTTAGTGGTCATTAGGCTGACTGATTTTCACTTTTCCACTTTACAAACGGAAAAAAGCTTTTCTTTCTTGCAATGAGGTGTGAGTCTGACAGGAGGATTTGGTACTCACACTTTACTCTAATAAGTATCTCAAATTTGATCTCAACCATAAATACTTTCTATATTCCAAAATAAAGTTGCATTTAAATTTTGATTATTCGTCCTAGTAGATATGAAATGTCTTTTTGGTGTTCAAGATCTTTTATATTTTTTTCATATAATTTCAAATATGCAACATATCCAAATTGATTCCATCAGTGGCATCGATAAATACTAAAGAACCTTAAAAAGCTTCTTTAAAATTCTTCAAATTCATATATATACAAAATCGATTCCATCACTGGGATGATAAAATAATAAATTTGATTCTACTTGGTTTCCATCGTTCAAATTAACTCTCATTGAGTAGAAAAAGAAAATCCAATTAATTATATAATTTCAACTTTATGAAGAGAATGGGCTTCTTTACCTACTACACTCAAGGAGCCCTCTGGTTCGTTTGGTCAGCAGTTCAATGGACAGTGACTTTGGAGAAGATCTGGATCGTTCGTCATCATCTTAATGCTTTTTGGTGCCGTTGGATTAGTCATTTCATGACCAAACCAATTTGACTTCTCTTAAGTGATGTAAGTAAAGTCATCGTTTCATTGCTCGCAAATAAACTTAAAGATTATTTCACGCGCCTGCCAGAGCAACTAAGCGTCAGACGCTTTAATAGGTCCAAAATTAATAGAAAATGGGAAAACGAAATATTTTTGTTTTTTTGGAAGAGAAAAATAATATCTAGCTATACTTTTAGACGACAAAAAAAAAAATGTAGAAATATCTATATGAGTATACGACTATGAGTGAGTATCTGTTTTCTCTTTTTTTTTTGGCAAAATAGAATCTGCAAATTTTCCTACATCAGTCTACTTAATCCGCTCCTTTAGAGATATTTTGAGAAAAATAGAATAACATAAAAAAAGATTAGTATGGTTTATGCGTAAGACTACGTGCAATCTTCTTAAACTGTTTAGCCTGCATTAGTTTTGATTTTCTGAAAACTTTAAAACTTCCAATAGTGTTAAAAGAAAATAATACTATTACCTTACATTTACAGTACCTTTTAGCATTTGCATAACAAAACAACGATCGTACTCTTTGTTTCTTAACAACAACAACAAAAATCACATAAAATACTATCGAGTAATGGCAATAGTTTGTAAATGTACTATGGTAAACTCGTAACTGAAAATGAAAAGTTTTGTAATACTGACCGGCGACCAAGAAAATCTGTAAGAAGAGGTTTCTGATTGGCCAATGGCAATCTATGTTTTCTAAGCTGTGTCTCATTAGTCAAAATGGCTTGTTCTTCGTTTTTCTTTTACCAATTGCATCTTAGAAATTAGAATATAATTATATATACAGAAAATGGATTTTAGTGGATGGAAACAAACAATATCAGATAATATTATGATTCTGCCATGCCATGTTTTGTTTTTCTTGAGCAATCAAAAACAAGTAGATATTCATGGCTTTTCTTTAAAAAATCATTTTTCCTTTTTGTAGTGGCCCTTGTCTTTGACGGGTTGACCCATAAAATCCAATTTCTCCATGAACGTGTCGTGTGATTAAAATAGAAGTAGAAGAAGTAATCTCTTCTTTGCACAAAAAGAACTAAATTAATCTCATGCTTACCTTTAATCTCTTGATGAGCGTTCAGGCTAGCGAGCATTTTAATAAACCCCTAAACAGCTTTTTGGAACATGGTTACAGAAGACCAAGATTTAGATTATAAGTATAAACAACTTAAACAATTTCATCTATCGAATATCATTATATCAACGTATTCTGGAGGATTTTGTTGAAATAATTATAATTCTAACTTGCCAGTGCGATATTGTTGAAAAAACATTAGCATTATTTACTAAAACTGGTAACTGTAGATAATCTTGCACACACAAAAAAAGGTAACTGTAGACAATCACGGGCGATGTGAGAAAGTTGCAATTTCTTGTAATATATATATATATATATATATATATATATATGTAGACCATTTAGCTAACACAGGAAACAAACTTGGCCATACAAAACTTTATACGATCAAGTACTGTATTTATGTATACTAAAATCAAATCAACGTCCCTTTCCTGTATGTGAATGTACAAATAAACAACAAATAAAATAGGTCAAGATCTGTAGACTAAATGGTTTAAAGTACTACCCAATATGGCAGTCTAGTGATTGGAGATAAGCTTTCCTGAAATATTTAGCCTTAGTTCAAGCTTTCTAACTGTAGTTCATAATAGTAAAATGTACACACATTTATTTTTACCTTCAAAGATATATATATTTTTGTAATTGTCCGTTTTCTACATTCATAAACTATATATGTTTTTTTGATATTTCTCCCAAATGTTAAAAAAAAAGAGAAGGAAAAATAAATAAAAGAAAGAGAAGTCACTAATTCTATGTTTGGCGCGTATATTAACCACCACCGGCAAAACACCCACGAAAAAGGCGAGCACGCATAAAGAAAGATCAAAACTTCCCATCACTTCCAAAAAGAAAAATAAACTTGTTACGAACCCAAAAAAAAAGAAAAGAAAATCGAAGCCGAAAATTATATAAAATATTTTTTTTTTTCTAGTTCAAAAAAGTTTCAGCTTTGAAGCTAGAGATCAAGCGACTGAGAGTGGTGTGGAAGCAAAACCACGATCTGCGTTTTTCTTTCCCTTTTTCCATTCAGATTTTGAACAAAACTCATCTTCGATCGGAGCTTTCGACATTCCGACAAAAGCAAAAAAGAAAAGAGTTCATCTTTCGTGTGTGGGGGATTTGTCTCCCTCTGGAGAGGTTAGGGTATAAATGGAGCGGTACGGTCGCGCCGGTGATGAAGGGTCGCGATCGGATCCATCGCTTGAGTGGACCTCTCATGGAGGCGAAACCGGAGTCGAAGGTAACGTTATCGATCTCCCGCGTAATGTCCTCTTAATCTGCGATTTAGCGTTGCGAGATTAAAGGATTTTCTTTCAAATGCGTGTTTTGTAGCTCCGATGTGGCGGTTAGGGTTGAGCGGCGGCGGAGCTGGAGGAGTAGGCGGAGAATCGTACCCGGAGCGACCCGATGAGCCCGATTGTATCTATTACTTGCGAACCGGCGTTTGCGGGTACGGGTCGAGGTGTCGGTTTAATCACCCACGAGATCGTGGAGCGGTAAGAAAATTTCCCAATTTTGATTCTCCTTATTCACGATGATCTTCAATTCCTCGGTTTGAGATCAGATCGTTGAATCAGTGATTTAGTTCTTGGGCATTGTTGAATATAACATAAAAAAGTAAACAATTTGCTTGAGAAAATTTTACTGTTTTTTGATATGAAAGCTCTTTGATTTGATGGTTTAGGTTATTGGAGGTGTGAGAGGAGGAGATGGAGCTTTACCGGAGAGGATGGGACATCCGGTTTGTCAGGTTTTGTAATCTCTGAATTCTCTTCTTGATAAAGAAACAATCTAAACTATATTCCGGATTTGAGCAATGCAGTTTCAATTTTGTCTGCACTTGTGTATAAAGAAATGAAATCTGTAAACTTTATAGATTGTTTTTAATATTTTAATTTTGGTCAGCATTTTATGCGAACGGGAACGTGTAAATTCGGCGCGTCTTGCAAGTACCACCATCCTAGGCAGCAAGGAGGTGGTTCCGTTGCGCCTGTCTCGCTGAGTTATTTGGGATATCCATTACGCCCGGTTTGTGTTCTGTAATCTCTCGATTGGTATTGGTTTATCAATCTTTCCACACATTGTCTTGTAGAGATCGATCTCTTAAAAAAAAAAGCTCCTCTGTAATTTTGTTCTCAGGGAGAGAAAGAGTGCTCTTATTACATGAGAACTGGTCAGTGCAAATTTGGTTTGACCTGTAGATTCAACCATCCCGTGCCACTCGCTGTACAGGGACCACCTCAGCAGCAGCAGCAACAGCAGCCACAGCCGCAGCCGCAGCTACAGACTATCTATCCAACACTTCAATCCCAAGCCGTGCCTTCGTCTCAACAATATGGTTTAGTTTTAGCAAGGCCTTCTCTGCTACCTGGTTCATATCTTCCAAGCCATTATGGTCCTCCAATGGTTCTGCCTCCCGGAATGGTTCCATACCCTGGTTGGAATCCTTACCAGGTATATTCTATATCAAACTCGTTTTCTTTCTAAATTCTTCATTTGCTACCTTTTTTTTTGCTAAAAAGAATCAGTCGATTTTTGTAAAAGGCTTCTCTGAGTGCAATGCCTTCGCCTGGAACTCAACCGTCTATTGGATCGAGCTCTGTTTATGGAATGGCGCCGTTATCTCCTTCAGGTGGTGCTTACACCGGAACATACCAGTCTGGGCCTTCCTCGAATACTCCAAAAGAACAATCTTTTCCTCAGCGACCTGATCAACCCGAGTGCCAATACTTTATGAGAACTGGAGACTGTAAATTCGGATCCTTGTGCAGATACCATCATCCTCTGGATGCAGTTCAACCTAAACCCGGTCTTCTCCTCAGCTCCATTGGCCTTCCACTTCGTCCCGTAAGTCTTTTTTCTTTCTCTATGGACACACACCTCGATCCGATTTGATAACGCCAGTTTTGGAATGAGGCGACAACATTTGAATATGTTTTTTTTTTTTTGAGACAGGGCGTAGCGCAATGCACTCACTTTGCGCAGCACGGAATCTGCAAGTTTGGACCGGCGTGCAAGTTTGATCACTCAATGGGTTCATCACTTAGCTACAGCCCGTCCGCTTCTTCGCTGACCGATATGCCCGTGGCTCCATACCCAATCGGATCATCCTCACTCAGCGGCGCATCAGCTCCAATAAGCTCGAGCAATGAACCCACCACAGAGGCTGTGACTGCTGCAGTTTCTTCTCCTATGGTCAGTGGCTTGAGCCGTCAAGAGCCAGCTGAGACCAGTGGTGACTCAGCTAGCGTCAGTGGAAGCATAGAGGCTAAGACTTCTCCAAGTTAAAAAGAAAAAAGGAAAGAAAGGAGGAAAATATCCTCAATTCTTGATGAACTAAGCGACATCAAGAAAAGAGAAAAGAAGATTATTTTTGGGGTCTGAGATTTGATGGAAGCAGAGAGACCAAAGCTTCTGTCATTTACCATTTGTCCATATATAATATATATTCTCTCATACGGCCATCTACTCTTTTCCTTCTTTCTTGAACAACGATTACTAATAAATGGCCTTATTCACGAGACATTCGATTCCTCTGTTTTTTCAGTTTTCTGGCAGCAACATAAAGTCTACGAACGAATAAAGATGCAGAAACGAATCTAGACTTCACGTTTTCTCTTCCTTTTCCTCGAAATGTGGTATCCGTGACAAAACCATTTTTTACACGATACACCACCAAAAAACGCTATGCATCTTCTTTCCAAAAAAGATTCAGCAAATGTTGACAAAAGAAAACGCAAATTAATGTAAAGAAATATTGTTTTCGATAAAACAACATTCATAACATTTTATCTCCAAGTCAACTAGGACAACATTCACCAAACCAGATTGAAGTTAACTTTTAAGATTCGCTTACATAAATATTTAACAACAAAAACTAAGCAAACTGATATACATATGAAAATGAGCTTCAGATAAATCATCTCAGATGCTTTCGCTTCTTCAGTGATGAAGGACTCTCACTTGGTTGCCTTCCTAAGGACCGCTTTGATGGGGTTGCATTCTTCAAGGATTTATTAAAAAAACCAGAAAATCATAAGCATCCAAACGAATCAAATCAAAAGACTACAACTACATATGAACATGTTTAACTCTTTTTTATTTACCTTTGCGAGCTTCTTGTCTTTACGAGCTTGCCTCTCTCTCTCGTCAAGCTCCTGGTTCTCCTTTTCGATGAGACGAATTAGAGTGTCGCATCGTCTCGCGAGTTCCTGACTGGTGCGTGATTTCACGAACCAGTCAAACCTGAACAAAGGCGACGTCCTGAACGCCGCCTTCAGCTCCTCCCAGTTCCCATAGCCCAACTTGTGGATCATGCAGATCTGTTTTCAAACATCAAAAGTTTCCCAACGATCAAGATTTCATATTAGAATAATGAAACAATAGAGCGTAAAGGAAACGGTGAAAACGACAGACCATGAAACGGTCGCACTCTTCATTGTACAGCTTCCCTTTGTTCTGACCGTACTGAATCTTAAGTTCCAGCCAAGGGTTTCTGTAGCGATCCAGTTTCTTTCCTATGGCTTTCATGATTTCATCCTTCCTAGAGATTCTTGCCTCTCCCTTCTCAATGTTCTTAATAATCCTGTCGTAATCTACACATTTGGAGAGCAAATGAGTGCATAAGCTCTTATTGTTTACATGTAAGAAATAATCGATATGTAAAACACCACATATATTACTTAGCATCTAAACTTGTTACATACCGTTCAGCTCCTTGTATCGCTCTTTGAATGCTTTGGCATATCTTTCAACTTCTTCCGCTGTTTTACCTTCCATCTCAGAGGCAATGCTTTTGATGTCGTTGCGGCCATACTTCTCACAAGCCCTGAGGAAACTATTGAAGTCTCTTCTGCTCCATGTTGAGAAACCCTGCAGATTAACAATTACAAACAATTAAATAAAGCCCAGCTGCTCAAATGTGTAAAGGCTCCTTTAACATCAAACATTTTCACTTACCTCCTCCAACAAAGCCTCCTTTTCTTCTACTTCTTCAGCAGTTAAGGGATCTCCACCATCTACACAAAAATTCCTAATCAGTAATAAATTCGCTGGAAAACATGTTAGCAAAGTGGGTACAAACTGAGAAACTGAGCTTCACCTTCTGGTTCTTCTACATCAATTGTGTCTTTCTGCTGATTTTTCTGATTTTTTTGCTGAAACCAAAGAGAAGCAAGTTGTTCTTATTTGCCGAATACTTTCTCTATAGCACAACAAACCACTGACGAGTATTTCAATTAAAGAGCCCTACCACAAGACAGCGTACTTCCTTTTCAAACAACTCGGTTAATCTCTGAATGTTAAAGAACTGGAAATCCTGCCTGTGGGATGGACACGATACGAGGTTATTAGGGTAAAAATACCATCAAGACATGGAAAAGGCAGTTCACAGATGCAGAGTAATGTTTGTTGAGGTACTCACAACTGGGGCATCCGCGGAATTCTAGGCTCTTTAGGTTTAGCTGGAGCTCCTTGACGCAATGTTTGCTTAAAATAATCAGCTTCAGAGTAGCTGAAGATACAGTAGATAAAGCAAAAGGGATTTTTCTGTTAGATAAAGTTTATGAAGATAGGCAAAGTAGGACTGCACAATGTTTAGGAATAAAGAACACTTACTTGCGCTTCCTCTCCCGCTTTGGTGGATCATTCCAGTTGTCGCTAACAATCTTTTTAAAATCAAGCTTGTTCTCATCCTATTTAAAAAACCAGTAAATTTGATTTTCAAGTCATAAACTAAGGTATGACACGAAAGCTTAAATTATGCAATGAAATACACAAGAAATACCTTATTGTCATCATCAAAATCATAAAAGTCAGCACCTGCGACAAATCAGAGATTGGTTATCCAAATATTACACTATAAACACAACAGATACCGAAAAAGGATCCATGACACCCTTACTGTCATCCATTTTAAACTGTATAGCATCTTCTGTGAATTTCTTCATTTTGGCATCAAGTTCAGCTGTTGCCTCCTCTCCTTTCGCAATGATTCTATCAATATCCTCGTCTGTGATTGTGCTATCTTTCGAACTGAACACCATCTCAGCACCATATCTTACCATTTGAAGCAGCTCATCCTTATTGACAGCTGCATGTAGTAATGATACAAATTAATTCTATGAACTAATGCTAATGCATTTTGCAATCTCTTATCCTCGTTACAAAAAGACTTACTTTTCTGCTCTGCCAATCGTCCTTGTTGAATAACTAGAGCATCAAGCGCCAACTTTTTGTAAGCTCTCTCAATCACTTTCTCCTCTATAGCAGACTGTAAACAACCAATACATAATTAATTCAAACTCTCAGTCTGTTCTTACTTGACATACAAGGGGAGAATATTAACCTCGGTGCAGAACCGAAACACTTGAACTTCTTTCTTTTGACCAATCCTATGGGCACGATCCTGAGCTTGCAAGTCGACTTGTGGGTTCCTGCCAAAATCCGCCAGACTCGTTAAAAGTGAAGAGAATACTCACAAACTACAATGGACATGATAAGAGATTTACCAGTCACTATCATAAAGAATCACAACATCTGCAGTAGCAAGATTGATACCAAGCCCTCCTGCTCTAGTAGATAACAAGAAAACAAATTTCTCGCTTCCTGGCTTGTTGTAGGCTTCTATGGAGGCGTCTCGTTCATCACCACCAGTATTTCCATCAATACGACAATATAGATACCCACGATACATTAAATAATCCTCAAGAATATCCAAAAGTCTCGTCATCTGACATAATATGAGCAAAGAAAAGAAAAACGTTCAGGCTTCACATAGACAAAGGAAGCAGAGAATATGAACAGAAAGAAACCATTATCTCTAGATGTTCTGTATCATCGGTTACCTGAGAAAATATCAGAACCCTCGAATCACGTTCCTTCAACTTAGGAAGCAATTTATCCAAGAGAACCATCTTACCTGAAATAACAATATGAAGATACTTAAAAAAAAAAACATTTACACATAAATCTGAAGGCTTTAGTATGCTATTCTTACCAGCATTAGTTATAAGGTGATCTCCTGTGGTATATGGGGGACCAGGCTCCGCACCCTGGAAGAGATAAGGGTGATTACAGCATTTACGCAGTTGCATTGCAATGTTTAGTAGACGTTTGCGTTCTCCACCAGCATTAACCGCTTCAAGATCCTTCTGCAGTAAAGCCTTGTAATATTGTTTTTGCATCTGAGACATGCCAACTTTGAGTATTGTCTCCTTCTTTGGTGGCAAACCTTTCTCAACATCTGATTTAAGTCTCCTAAGAAGAAATGGACGAAGAACCTAAAAGGATTACGGAATACGATTAGCCTAGCAAGTAACAAGTAAGACGGGATAAACTCGATAGACGCAAAAAGAATATGCATACCTTGTGAAGTTGTTGAACAACTTCCTGCTGGTCATTCTCACCAGAAATTTGAAACCATTCATCGAAAGTCTCTGCTGAGCTAAAAATCTCAGGCAGAAGGAAATTGAGAAGAGCCCACAGTTCATGGAGATTATTCTGCATTTACAAAGAAAAGTTGTTTCAGCATACAGTTAGAAAAGTTGTTTCAGCATACAGAAAAAAACCTCAGTGTCCAAATCTTCAAGAATAAGATAGAGCAAACACCTGAAGGGGAGTTCCCGTGATAAGAAGCCGATAATTGGTGCTAAAAATTCTCATGGTTTTCGAAAGGAGTGAATTTTCGTTCTTGATTCGATGCGCTTCATCAATGATAATATAACGCCAGCTAAAGCGGCGCAATGCTGTTTTCTCTTTGATGGCCATCTCAAAGCTTGTGACGCAAATATCAAATTTCCCAGCAACTAGCAGGTCATCACGAATATGTCTCTGCATTTATTAACATACATCTCAGAATTCAGGCATAAGCATTTATATGAAGTCTGAGATGGCATAAAGCTCGGGACTTACCCTTTCCTCAGGATTACCAAGGAATTTCACAGCACGCAATACAGGACAAAACCGGCGAATTTCGTTCATCCAATTACCAAGGGTTGATTTTGGAGCAACTACCATATGAGGACCATTGATTCCTCTGTATTCATGAAGGTAAGCAAGCAAAGAAATCGTTTGAAGCGTCTTCCCCAGACCCTAGACCACAGGGAAACAATTTTTTAATGATTTGCAACATAGAAATTAAGAGAACTTGTTTTGCTTGGACCCTTGGGGGAGATTTGTTTACCATTTCATCAGCAAGAATTCCATTGATGCCATTCTCATACAGCCGAATAAGCCAGTTTAAACCAGCTAATTGGTAATCTCTTAACTTCCCTTGAATACCTGTGATTTGAGAGGAAGAAAAAAAGATAAGCTTTCCAAGAAAATTTACGCTATACTAGCGAGTAACTGTGAGGTCAAAACAACAGTTATATGTAACAGAAATAAAAGCAGATCACAATCGCATTTCACTTCTTGCTCGCAGATAAATGATCAATATGCAATACTTCCACACCAAAGAGCAGAATACGGGTACTTACAAGAGGGCTGTGTGAGCAACCTCGTGTTTCCAGATCCAGTTAAGCCATCCTCTTCTTCCTTCAAGTACTCCTCATCTTCCTCCTCTTCAGTTACTTTGGAAGCATGACGACCCCTGAAGGTAAAAGTTAAAAACCCAATAAATCAGGGGCTATGCTCATCACATTTGTTCTGAGACCAGAACCAATGAACAAACCAATACTTAAGGAATCAATTGCATCCAACACACCTTCCTTTCGCTTTCTTCTGAGACGAAGATGGATCACCTTTAGCAAAGTGTGCAAATAACTCGGTTTGCTGCAGAAGATACTTGAGTCTCCCTTTTCCCTTATTGTTCTAAATAAGATGAAATGATTCAGATATGACAATTCCTTAAGAATACATTAAGAACAAAAAAAAACTTGAGATAATAACTTCAAACAACGCACCATATCCGCATCTATGGAAGCATTCTGTGATTCAAGCATTTCCTGAATCTTCTGCTTCTTCAACTTCTGCATCTCCTTAAGTCTGGCTTTCTCACGTTTGCTGATCTCAAGTTTCTCTTCGTCTTCTTCGTCCTGCATAAACCAAATTACCACAATGAGCGACCGTGCATGCATTCAACAAACTTTTCCCATCAGCAATAACTTTCAGAACAAACAGAAACGAAGCCCACTCAGTACACTAAGACTTAAATCTCGCACAATCGAGCATCAAAACCATTACATCAAAGGGGAATCAAAGAACAATAAGACGCAGTGAGACTGAGAAAAGCGAAAATCACAGCATCGGAACGAAATCGGGGAGCACAAACCTCGTAATCATCTTCTATAGGGGCGGCCTCTTCGTCAGAGACTGGGGATTCGTCGGGTACGGGCTCCTCGTCGGAGTCAGAGGAACGAGCGACAGCCTCAAGCTCATCCTCGTCTTCTTCTTCTTCTTTATTGTTCTTAACGAGCTCTTCATCCTCCTCGGACGAGAAAGCGTCATTGGAATTCGACATCTTCGGCATGGCGGCTACGAATTCGCTCGGGTTTCGGGATCCTTGAGAGATCGAGGGTTCCCTTTGCACTTTAAAAGTAATGAAAATCTATGGATACCATGTATTTGGTCGTTTCCACGAATCAGATTTACCCGCCCGCATAGGAAAATTCTCCCGCTTTGGACTTGCCTATTGGACCATAAGGCTTACATTCAAGCCTATGTATTTTTCTAGGCTTGAATGTAGGCCTTATGGTCCAATAGGCAAATCCAAAGCGGAAGAATTTTCCTATGCAACCAAGTACATCGTATCTATAAATTTTCATCACCTTTAAAGCGTAAAGTGAACCATCAATCTTTTAAGGATCTCGAAACTGCATTGCTCAAATCCGGAATATAATTCACTCCAGTAAATGATCTGAATCAGATCTAACTATATCTTCCTAATCAAAATAAAGATGGATGCTTTTGTTAGGACAATAAAACTGAACTGTTCTGTTTTGTCTAGGTAATATCTGAAGCAGTTTCTTTCTATGTAAAAAACATTACAATATAATACCTTCAAGCATTGCTATGTGATCCTCATATATCTTTGAATGCACAAGAGAGTCCATGATATGCGCATGATGCACTTCTTCTTAAGCCCTTCGTCTTGGCCTTTCTCAGCTTCTGCAAACTCGAGGTTATAACTTCCCTATTGTTTTGCTTCTTATCTTTACGTCCCTGCTTTTCTTTCTCATCTAGCTCTTGGTTCTCTTTTGCAATCAGTTGACTCAGAGTGTTACTTCTTTTTGCGAATTCCTGACTTGTGCAAGAATTCACAAACCAGTCAAACCTGAATAAAGGCGATGTCCTGAATGCTGCCTTCAGCTCCTCCTAGTTCTCATACCCAAGTTTGTGGATCATGCAAATTTATTTTCAACCCTTGGCTGGAACCAAAGATTTAATACGCTCAGAACAAAGAGAAGTTGTATAATGAAGACTGTTCCATGGTCTGTCGTTTTCACTTTTTCCTTTACGCTCCATTGTTTCAGAATTCTATTTTAAAAGCTTGATCATTGAGAAACTTTTGATAGTTGAAAACAGATCTGCATGATCCATAAATTGGGGTATGGGAATTGGGAGGAGCTAAAGGTGGCATTCAGGACATCGCCTTTGTTCAGATTTGACTGGTTTGTGAAATTCCGCACGAGTCAGGAACTCGCAAGAAAATGCGACATTCTGATTCGACTGATCGAAAAGGAGAACCAAGAGCTTGATGAGAGAGAGGCAATCCTGTAAAGACAAGAAGAGAAACAATAGGGAAGTCATAACCTCGAAGTTTCATATGCCATCAATTTGATTAACAAAAAGTGATTCATAAAAGTTATCCAAATAATGCAAGTGTCACAGAAGGGAAACTCATCGGTAGAGGCTGCATGGACATAATCAAAAAACTTTCCTGTCATCACCTCCATTTTCCCTCACAGCTATGTGTCTTTGTGCAATCTTTTCTTAATGAAAACTGTTGGATAAACAAAATTAAACATCATTAACAAAAAAAAATGTAGGAAACAAAATTTTCTCAAAATAAAATTACATTGACCAAAAAAAAGAGAAAAAATGTAAGGCATTGTACTAATGTATTATGGGACCCTTCACCGACAGCATACAACATAACAATCCCTATTTTGCAAAATCAACGTACAATTCAATGTTTGTAACTCTTTTTATGTGTTTACCACATAATATGATATGGTTTATCCCTTTAAGATGGTTATTTTTTACTCCGTGATATATTTTTTAAACGTCTTTACCTAAATACAAGTTTAATTGGTTCATTTCTTTAATAACTTAAAACTTAATTGCATAAATGAATTATATTGATATCATATAGATCAGATACTTGAAGATTATCTACCCGATGGCGATGTAGATGCTCTTATGCACTGAAATCTAAATTTTCTTCATTTATTTATTACTAGAATATTGAATTATAAGTTATTCATTTGAAAACTAACAGGAGAATCATAGAAGATACCGAGATGATGTCATAGTCGCACAAGGGTAACTCATCGGCAAAGCTGGAGACATCACTAGAAAAACTTTCCTATCCTCGCGTCCATTCTCTTTGCAGCTGCGTTTCTTTTGTGTAATCTTCCATTGACAAAAAAACAACAGACGGTTAAACTCAGATCTATAATTTCTAACATCATTTAAAACAAAAATAAAAAGAACAAACTTTCATAGTACAAAATCACATCGATAAAAAAACAAGGGATTACACAATAATGGGATGCGGTCATGAACGATATACAATGGGACGATCCTTATATTGAAGAATACAAAATAATCTAAATTTTGTTCATTGTTGAATGTTTCATTAAAACATTGTATGTGTTAGTACTTATAGATGTATCATATTGTTGATCTTTTATAAATAATTTTTTTTTCTCTGTAATGATCAATATTTTGACACGTTATTATTAGGATAAGTTCATGCATTGAAATCTCAATTTTTTTTAAATATATTAATTTTTTTGGTCAAATTCTTTTATATAGTACTATATCGAACTTTTTAGCTGTCAATTTTAAAAATAAAAAACTAATCATATAAGTTACCGAGATAATGTTGATATCGCGCAAGATAATTCCATCAATAAAACTAGATTTAGCGCCGAAGAAAATGCCAGAGATCAAATTAAAAAGACTCTTATCATTGCATTTGTATTGATACACCCTTAGAGTTGGTTGGTAAATCTATGGTTACTTAGTAATGATCAATATTTTGACACGTTATTATTAGGATAAGTTCATGCATTGAAATCCAAATTTTCTTTTATATACTATTATAGCAAACTTTTTAGCTGTCAATTGGAAAAAGAAAATCGAATCATATAACTTACCGAGATAATATCGATATCGCGCAAGATAATCACATCAATAAAGCTAGATATAGCACCGAAAAAGATACCAAAGATCAAATTGAAAAGATTCCTGTCGTTGCATCCATTTACCTTAGCAGGGTAAATCTATGGCTACGATCTATCTGGTAGTTTCGTCGCATAAGATTTACCGACAACTGAGAAAGAGAGTTTTGGAAAATTCCTAAGAAGTGGACTTTCTTTCGTGATAAATGGGCTTACTGAACCCATAAGGCCTTTCACTCAAGTCCAATATACTTTTTCTAATATTTCAAGCACAAATCGATAGCATATTTGAAGATGTGTAGGTTCTTAGTAAACTTGGAATCATTTGTATATTTTGTTTGAAACATGTTAGGTGTTATTAAGATACGAAAGAAAAAAACCATGATAGCGATTCATATATTATTATTGTTAGGTCTGACTTTGTATTTTGTTTTCCCTTGACATGTGTATCTATGTCTTGGTATCAAGATAACGTTTGGTGCTTTTGTTAGGACAACAAAACTGTTCTGTTTCGTACATTATCTGAAGCAATTTCTTCCCATGTTAAAACATTACAATATACTACTGGACTTTTGTTTCTTGCAGTTCAATGTTTCATACGATAAGATATCATTTACATAGTTTACCTGCAGCCACAAGTAGAAAGCAAAGTGGCACCTAAGAGCATATATAAAAATTACTCTTCTATGCAAATTAATGATTGTTTAACCACTCTCCACATTTCCTTACTTTTTAATGTTTTTATCATATTGATTATCAACTCCCATTTCCTCACCAACCTTTCTTTGGGGTTGGCCTAACATATTCTTAAGTCATCATTATCCATAGTTATACATATAAACATACATTTGATTTTTTCTAGATTTTGTTTGCACCTTATTTTAAATATGTAAACACAACTGAGAAGTGAGAACCCAAAAAATGCCATGTGTACATATTATACTTGTTTCTTGGCGTGAGGGTAACCACACTTCATCACTAAGACTATATATACACACGTATATTGTAATGTAGCAGCCAATTTAATAACTCACATCAGTCCAACTCGACCTCAAATTATAACCTCCATCGACATCCACAAAAGAATAAAAGTATATATAGCTAACCTTTTGATGGCATCTACTGAAAACCCCGACCCAGAAACCGGAAAATCTGAACCGCTTCCAGCGTCGGTGGAACAACCACCACCGTCCTCAGCTGCCGGTTTCTTAGATTGCCGGAAAATAGACATCGTACTAAGAGTTCTGTTTTTCTCCGCCACACTAACTGCTCTAATAGTAATGGTGACCAGCGACCAGACCGAGATGGCTCAGCTCCCTGGAGCTCCGTCTCCTGCTCCTGTCTCCGCCGAGTTCAACGACTCGCCCGCTTTCATGTCCGTCTCTTTAAACTAAACTCAATCTTGGATCATCATATCATAATCAAGACTTCTTGATCGAAGTATATGTTTTTAGTTCAAATTTTATGTTATTCCAGATATTTCGTGGTGGCTCTTGTGGTGGCTAGTTTCTACGCCTTAATCTCAACACTTGTTTCCATTTCTCTACACTTGCGACCTGAGTTCGCTGCACAGTTATCCATTTACCTAGCCTCCTTTGACATGGTAACTTGTTTTACAAGTATGTTTGAATCACTTCCACACAAACTTGCGGTTATTTAAATGTATTTTCCGAAACATAAACGTGAACAGGTGGTGGTGGGGATTTTGGCGTCTGCGACGGGAACGGCGGGAGGAGTTGCGTACATAGCGTTGAACGGAAACGAAGAAATTGGGTGGAACAAGATTTGTAATGTCTACGACAAGTTTTGTCGTTACATTGCAACATCGCTTGCCTTATCACTATTTGCTTCTCTTCTGCTACTAGGTTTATCTATTTCCTCTCTTTCCAAGAGAACTACATGAACAAACCGCAATGAAAAATCCCTATCTCGTAACGTGTGTGTATCTTTTGTGTCTGATTTGGTTTGTTCGTAATGTTATATTATTATGTATATCTCTGTATCTCATGATGTTGTTGTAACTTGTAATCATAAGCATGCGTTTTTATATTTTGTGTCTCTCTTTTTATTTTTTTGAGATCAACGAATCATGTGATTTCTCATATATCTGTTTAATTGTAATCTTGTTAGTTACAGAAATTCATTATAATTAACGAAAATTACATGCATAAAGCATGTGGAAGATGTGGTTGATATAATTGATAGAAATAGTTGCAGCATATTAGAGACAATGTACGTTGTTAGTAGTCTATCCTTTGGTCGTAAAATCACGTAACGGTGTTTTGTCATTTGAAGTTCGCAAGTTACTCTAAAGGGGCCACATTCATCATGGGGGCCTCATTAACGTAGGCCCAATAGAGCTATTCTTATCACAATATTTCTTTTTCTTTTTTTCCTAATTTTGATCGCGCCAAACAAAGGTGAAAAAATAATAATAATAATTGATTTTTACACACAATCAATCAAGGGATATATGACGTAAATGATGTAAATGAGCTGTATTCACACACATTCAGACTTGAAAGTTGGGTTTTGGGGAAGAAGAAAGGCGGGGTTTTGCTAATTTTGTTTTTTTTAGGGTTTCCCTTTATCTGACTAGTTTGAGTAAGGAGCAAAATGATGTCAAAGGGTTGTGAGGTTGAGGTGTGTTCTGAAGAGGAAGGTTTTGTAGGCGCCTGGTTCCGAGCAGTCTTAGAGGAGAACCCTACCAAATCTGGACGGAAGAAGCTCTGTATCCGCTACATAACTTTGCTAAGCGACGACGGTTCCTCTCCCCTCACCGAAATGGTCGAGCAGAGACTCATTCGGTCGATCCCGCCGGAAGATCTACAGAACAGCGTCGTTTTGGAGGAAGGAACGGTGGTCGACGCAGATCATAAAGATGGGTGGTGGACGGGTTTTATCTTAAAGAAGAAATCAGAAGGTGACAAGTTTTTGGTTTACTTCGATTCACCACCGGACATTATCGAGTTCGAGAGAAACCAGTTGCGGGCTCATCTTCACTGGACCGGTTGGAAATGGATCGTACCGGAAACTAAGGTACGAGGCTCTGGTTTCAATCGAAGTGCTCGTCCTTTCTTAAATCGGGTTATCTTTCTTAAAGTTTGCTGCTTTCTTGCTGAATGTTGATGCTTTGTCGTCTCTGTTAAGTTAAAGTTTGCTGCTTTCTTGCTAAATGTTGATGCTTTGTGTCTCTGTTATGTTAAAGTTTGCTACTTTCTTATTAAATGTTGATGCTTTCTCGTCTCTGTTATGTTAAAGTTTACTGCTTTCTTGCTAAATGTTGATGCTTTGTGTCTCTTGCAGCATGCTATGATTGAATAGTTAAACGTTTTTCTCTCTTTGTTTTTTTTTTGTTGCATCGGATTTTGTGAATCTTAAGAGTAGATTTTTTTAACTTGCCTCTTTGTTGTCCTTGAAGAAATTGGATAAGTCCATGTTTTGCTCCGGAGCAATGGTGGAAGTCAGTCCTGTCAAAGATGAAATGGAAGGTGGGTGGTACCCGGCAATCATGGTTACAGAGGTCGAAGAGGATGATGAGAAGAAGTTCATTGTCAAGGACATTAATCAGCAGTTGAGCTGCAATGGCGGTGAGGCAACACCAACCACGACTGTTGATGCGCACCGTCTTAGGCCCACACCGCCTCCTTCTTCGGCTGGAGAATATCGGTTGTTGCAATGGGTAGAGGCATTGCATCGCTCTGGGTGGTTCCAAGGGTCGGTGAGGAAAATTCTCTCTGGGAAACGTTACTCAGTTAATTTAGCGGCTACAAAGGAGGAATGTGTATTTAATCACGCTGAGCTTAGGCCTTTGATGGTGTGGGACTGGGCAAATCGGGTTTGGCGTAACGCACCAAAGGTATCGATTCCACTAGTCTCAATCAACATATCTGTCAACTTTGGTTTGTTGGTCTCAACTGAAGCTGTTATGTTCTTTCCATTTTCAGCAAGGATCCGTGAAGGAGACTCCTTCCAGCATCCTAAACAAGAATCCAATTCGCACTTGTTCTGGTGCTAAGCCACTCACTAAAGCTAAAACTGCAACACCATTGAAACAACGTATTGTAGCAAAAGATTCTGTAACCCCGTCTTCGGTCATAACTGCAGCACCATTGAAACAAACAGAGGCCAAAACTGTAGGGAATATATCCCCATTGAAGTCACCTGAGCCAATGATGAATCTGAATGAATCTGGAAATGATTCAACTCCACATAAGGTAAAGTTAGTCCGTTGTTTAAAACATAACTCAGTCTCACTTTCTTGGTAGTTTGTCAGATTGTGCTTTTTATATTAGCCTTCATGATTGTTAATTATCTTTGAATGATGGTTTTACATTCTGTGCGCAGATCCCTGAGGAGGAGAATAGCGAAGCTACGAGTAGAAAAAGGAAAAGAGAACAAGAACAACACTCGAACCTGAATGAAGAAACTGGTATGTCTCAATCGGCATTAGCCCATATTAGTTTTGGTATCTTTGTTTCTTGCCAAATCTTCTTAATCATGCCATTGGTTGTATAATTTGTAGATGGGACTAGCAACGGTTCAAAAGCTGAGATCAATGAATCAAGTAAAAAAATCTGCAACGATGGTGAAGTTGTTGATCAGCCTCTCTCTGTTTCGATAGGAAACTTATCCACTGGTTCGTAAATCTTTATACTAAGCAGATTTATTTTATAGTAGCTTAGATGCGTCCTTTTTCAAAAACATATGCTAAAACAGTTTGTTTTTCCTTTTGTTCTTTCCACAACGATCTATCCAGAGCTATCCTGTAATCAGAGCTTGGACCTGGTGAATAGCTCTGCTGCTGCTGCTTGTGTTGAGGAGTCACCGGCCAAAGACACTCTAATGGATTTGCCTTTTGCAAAGAAGTCTCCATACTGGAAGAGGTGTGAATTAACAGACGGTTTCAAATCGAAACCACAACGACCTCACTTCAGCCCTTTGCTTGAGGTTAAAGACGATATCCGTGAGTGGTCAGCAGTTGGCATGATGGTGACCTTTTACGGCTTACTAGACGAAGCTAAAGATCTGAAACTCGATGATCCCACGAGCAAGCTCAACGACCTCAGTGTTTCCTTTGCCGATCTAGAGAAGCATGGTTTCGACGTTGTATCTCCTCAGTTACTAATCAGCAGATTGTTGCATCTCAAAGATTTGCGAGCTAGGAACGCGGAGGAACGAAAATGTTTTGAGGAAGACATCGAAGATGAAGAGAGTGGACGTCGCGAATTAGAAGAAATGAGGGCTGAGTTGGCACGCAAAATTTGTGAGCTGAAGAGACAAGAAGCAGATGCGAAAGAGAAGAAGGAAGCCGCTGAGAAAAAGATAGCTGACATGAAGTCACGTGTGGAAATGCTTAGCCAAGAAAATGAAGCTGTGGAGCTTGAGTTTCAAAAAGCCATATCGGCTCCATGGTAATAAGTTATAACCTCTCCCTGTTTTGGTCAATGAAACAAGTAGAACTGCCCTTTTGTCTGAGATTGTTGGCTCTTATGCTTCTGTTTTAAGCTTAACTTATGACCGTGTTGACGAAGATGATGAAGTTTATAAGTAACTTACTGGTTTTTGGTCTCAGTGACCAATTCAGCTTTACCACGTCAATTTTTTTCCTTCTTTCTAAACTCGTAAGGACACAATCCAAGAATATTTTTTTTTCTTTAAATAAAGTAGGATTCAAGAAAATTCAATGTCAAGTGATTCCCAAAAATTTCAAAGAAGTTCCCAAAATTCAATGGTGATTTCGTGGTTATGGAGAGATCATAGAGAACCTTTAGGACGAGAATGCAGCGATCACGTTCCAGTGAAAGAAGAGGAGAATGCTGCAGCCAAGACGTTAAGCACAAGCTGCTTGCATCTCTGAGAGAAATAACATATTTCTGTTATAGAGTAAATTATTCTGCGGAAAATGTCTTGTAAAATTCTATAATCTATAGTATTCAGACAAGAATCTAACGTTCTCATATTTCTGAGATTCTTCTTTGCGTCAAATACAAAAAAAAGGATACAACAGACAGATCCGAATGGTAGTGAAGAATCCAGACAAATACTATCAAACGATCCTGAGATTTTTTTCACGAATATTTCACCATTTACAGACAACAACAATAAGTACAAGGAGGTGCTTAAGGTTTGTCTCTTCATCATTCACAGGCGATTCTGGTCTCAAAACTGCTCAGGCAAATCGCAAACGCTTGAAACGCAGAAATCGGATATCCATAATCCATGGTGAACATGTCCTTCCCAACTTTACCAAACTGGAGTATAATCCTCTCAGATGGCTGCTCTGTTTCGCAGTCGCTGACCGCCACAAGCTGAAAGTTCTTGACCGAGGCCACCGTGACTCGACCATGGAAATTCAGGCACCAGCAACGTAGCTGCTCGTGCCATCGTGGAGTCTTATTGCTCAGCACCAATGGTGGGTCTCTCGAGCTGTTGTTACCTGAGTCGCTGCAAGATGCGCTGTTGCTGCGTATTGGTTTTGAGTGAGACCTAAAGAACGGCGATGACCGAGTAGAAAAGGTGCTTGTGGGTGTCGAAGCTACTCCTCGAGGCTCCAAGACACTCATAGGTACTGTATCCATTATGCAACGCATTCTTCTCGGTCCCCTGTTGTTATACAATCAAGAGATTGTAAAAGATCATAATGATCAAGAGACTTTAAACAAAAGGCTTCCATTTCCGAATGTGTAGAATAATTTACCGGGAGCCTAAGACGTTTAGCTCGTATGAGATGTGAGCGACGGGGTAACTTCCCTGAGGAACTCGAGGTGAAACTTTCATGAGATTAGAAGACCGGCTCTTCATCATCTTCGTTGCTCTGCTCTGTGGCATCAGGTTACCGTCGAAGACCGTGAATTTGGTTCCAAGGAAGTTTGATCTTGCGATAACAAAAACAGAGTTTAGATAAAGATGCATACTTTTATAAATTCTGCTCAAACTCAAAACTTTCACATCTGACAAGGAGATAGTGTTATATGCATACCTCACTCTGCCTAGATATGCGTTGCTTCTCCTTGACATATCGTCGGAGCGCAAAGACATGATGTAATCAGTGCAAGTTGCGCGCTTCAGCTTACAAGCAGCAAGAAGAAACTTCCCATTATCCGTCAAAGCTGCCAGAAAAAAATAAACAAAAAAGGGATCTTTACTAAGTACTAACAATTACAGAACTCGGAATTTAAACCCGAAAGAAGAACAGAGATGGCTTACAGTTGGTTAAACCGAGATAGAGATGATACGATTGCGCATTTCGGTTACGTTTTATGAAGCACTGAATCAGAGAATCTCTTGGGCCAGGCTGCGTAAACATTCAAAAGCACCAACCAATCCTTCAGCTTCTTTTTTTATTTATTTGCTAACAACAACATCAACTCAATAGCAAAACCAATATAAAGTGTCTATCAATCATCAAAAGAACTAAGAAGCTTTGTGTTTCAGCATAACAACACTTAGAAAATCAAATGAGATCATGTGATTAGCACAGTTTAGGAGAAACTAGCACAAAGCGCAAACTCAGACGCTGTATGTTATGGGATAAGGTTTACACACCCATCAGCAGATCCAGTTGCCCATTTTCTCTTGAGTTGAATGCAACAAATTAAAAAGGGTAACTTTTCCTTTCTACATATAGATAAAGAAACTAACTTTATGTTTTAAACCCACCACAGATACTCAAAATAGGCATAAGACATATGTACAGAAAGAGAACCTGCTTGAGAGAGACTGGGAAAGTCAATTTAGAGGATATCTCAGGAACAGCTACGATCTCCTTCATGAGCAATCGCCAGATTCGGCAGACGCCGGCGCAAGCCACCGCACTTCGCCGTGACGGCCAGTCGCCGCCGTCCACCGACTCAACCCTAATCAGGATTTCTCTCAGCAGCTCCTCCGGGAGCTCCGACCATTGGAAAGGGTCCGAACCAGAAGCGTTTGAGGCTGCGTCGTGTACCACACGGTGCGGTCTCGACCGCATTTCCTGGATCAAACCTCGGATCGCCGCCATGCGAGTCCGGTGAGATCTAAAGGGGTTTTAGAGATGTTATTGATCATGGAAACATGATCTGGATTGATGAATATGATGGGAAAATCATTTGGGGGGTAAGTTGAGGTGAAGAAGTTAAGAGAGGAAGTGGTGGTGTTGTTGTTCTTGTTTAGAGACGCGAAGAAGATTCGGACAACAATGGCGACTGGCGTTTTTTTTTTTTTCTCTCTCTAAACGCTTTACCGCTTCTTGGAGAATTTGTATTTTCTTTATTATTTTTCAGTGATATATTTGGGAAAATGATAAGGTAATAGGATAAGGATGATAATAAACCTGGCTGGAAAAGAAATAAAAACTGATAAATCTGACGAATTTGGTCAGAGTAATTCATATCTTTTTTTCATATATTTATCGCCTAGTACTAGATAAATGGTTGGAAACAAAAAAAAAGCTAGATAAATCCCCTTTTGTAATTTTTCCAATTTCCACGAATTTGTTAACAGAAATTAATGAAGAAATTACACAGATTCAGACATTAATTTCAACTTTTGTTTTATTAAATAACATTTGAGTTTAACTTGATAATCTTGGTATTTATTGTGAATATATGAAGTACTAAAATTTCAAAACTCTTAGTACCGTTCTATTGTTTTTCGGTATTCATCATGTTCCAACGAAAATATACTTTTGGCCGACCACAATGTGGAAGCCATTAAATGTGTCTCCACCATCATCATTCGTTTAAATCTTCTCGATTCCTTTTCTTTTTCTTTTCCTCATACGAAAACAAAACATAGAAAATAATTAAGAATCCAAGTAACTATTCTTTCTATTTCATCGTAGATATATATATAGATTCCATGTTACTTTTATGGTTCTCTAGGTATACTTTGAAACTGTATCTGTGATGTAAATTTTTCCAGTTGTAAATCTGGTTCAGATTAAAGTTATATGTAATGTATATACATGCACATGTGTGGCATCTTGAAGAAAAAATATATATAAATGTAGTAGATCGGACACAAAAGCATAGACCACGAGGCATTCAAATTGCCATATATGAACAAGTTTGGCCCACTGCTATGATTTTGCAATGTTTTAAATTCCCCTCGGGTTGTTCCAGTAACATTTGATCAACCAGTTCAGCATAAAGATCTTAGAGCATGTCTATCGGTAAAACATGTAAAAGCTGTATCTAGAAAAAATTATATTAATATTTTAATAAAATTTAAAAATAGATAAGTTTCAGATTTTTTAAACCACTTATATGTATATATGTGTCACCAATGTCTCTTAAAATCTCTTAAAAACATATCTGAAATTGTTTAAACAAGATACGATTGTTTCTCTCTTTCCAGCTTTTTCTTTTTTTAATAATTTTTTCTTACTTAGATACTAGGTAAAAACTCCCGATGGAAATGGCCTTATATATACGATGTAGAGATATTACGTAAGAAATAAAACAAAAATCGTAGAAAATGACCTTTACTGCGAAAAGGTTTAGTGGAGAAAATTCGTAATTTGAATGATACGAATGAAGCAAACATATACAACTACAAGTCAGAAGACAATGCATCGTGGGGGAAATGAATACAATGCCGCTTACTCTAAAGCTTTTATTTGCCAGTTATCATGTTACATTTTTTTATTATAAGAATCTAATTATATAGTAAGACTAGTATCATGGTCTTGTCCATTGCTCGTTTTAATTTGCTAAAATATCCATGACTTAATGTAGATTTAGTCTTCTACGAAAATGTTTTTTTTTTTGGTCGAACTACGAAAATGTTTTATATAATGAAAAAAAAAGCAGTGATAGTTAACGGATTAATCCCTCTCATAAAAACCATTGTCATGTAAATACTTTTCCACATTGACATGTTGTAACTTGAACTTTGAATCTAATGATGCTTTGAAATTACGAATCACATATTTCTTACGAAATAAAGAAGATTTTCCAAGAAAAAAAAAACGAAATAATGAAGTTAAAATAAATTTCAAAGGTTATGAGGATGAAAGAATACATGATGAAGAAAAATAAAACGAGACATATAATGATGAAATTGGCCCCAATATTGGGGAACACTAGAATTGGCTTTTGCTCTCCCTGAAAGTGCAAAACAAACAATAAGAAGAAGAGAGAAGAAAAAAAACACCTGGGCAACTAGTACAATATGATTTTTCAAAGGGTTAACAAAAGCCATTTCCTTGTAATGATGACTTAGTACTTTTTTACATCCAATATTTCTTCTAGTCAAGATCCATAATTTATAGCACAGAGGCAAAGTATTGCATAAAGAAAAAGAAGATAAATTAGCAAATGTGTGATCATTCATATTTACTAGGAACATCTTTGTATTTGTGTATTTATATTTGTTCATCAGAGATTCATAAAAGCCTAACAAATTCTCTTGCTAAGTTATATTTTATTAACCAAATGTCGAATCACAAAAAAAACATAAGAAACTGGTCATTGCACTTTCTTATGTTTGCTTGAAACTGGTCATAATACTAATATATCTGAAAGTATTAAGTTGATAACTCGTATAGGGTAAGCATTTACAAATTTGAAAACATATACGATATAAGATTATAAGGTGCCAAAAAGAATAGAAACACTAACACTATACATTGCACTTTGTTCCTAAAAAGAGAATAATCCTAAGATTATTTCACTTTGGTCGTCATATCAAAAGATTCCAAGAGGGTCATGTAAATAAAGGGTAAGCGTGTTCCCCTCTGTTGTTTTGACATATCTTTACACGACAACATCATCATTCATAACCAATGAGCTAATTCCACCTTTAGATAATCACAGCCGTCCATTCGGAATAGTTTCTTGAGATGGAGATACGAACGGTCAAGATGAGCTGATGTGAGATTTGAGGGCGTTGACATTCTCTGTCTCTCTCCACTTGGCTCTCTGACAATCTATAAATATATACGCCATCTTTGGCGGTCTCTAGTCTTCGTCCTCGTCTCTTTGCTGTCCTCCTTCAACGAACCCTAACATCTTTCTCCCTCTCTCCCTCTCTCCCTCTCTCTCTCTCTCTACAACCTAAGAGAACCATTTGTTCATTGGTCCTAACTTTGCCAGGTATGTGTTTGATGCTTAATCGAGTTTTTTTTTTCATTTTTGTTGATACTTTTGAGATTTTTTTACTGTAAATGGAAGTGTGAAATCGAATATTCCGGTGATGGAGAGAGACGGAAAGTAGATGTTTCGTAATGAAGTTTCAAATTTTATTCGAAAATTAGTCATTTTCTTGGTTTTTGTTTTAGTTTCTTAGTCTATTATAATTGTCTCTTGAATTTTCCAAGGTATTGAGATTCTTGGGATTCACACTTTTAAATAAATGTTGATTCTTCTCCTGGATTTTTCGAAATTTCCCGGCGGCTAAAGAGAAAAAATAGCCTTTTTTAGATACTTGAAATTCTACAAATCACGCATTGTTTTGTCATTATAGGAAATATACTCACGGAGATGGCATTCGGATTGAGCACAATGCTGGCGAAAACAGAGACTCTGTTTGCGTCGGATCATGCATCAGTCGTCTCCATGAACTTGTTCGTGGCTCTGCTTTGCGCTTGCATAGTCCTTGGTCACTTGCTCGAGGAGACTCGGTGGATGAACGAGTCAATCACTGCCCTTATCATTGTCAGCTTCTTTTTTTTCCATCACATAATCTTGAAAACAACACAAACTTTTTTGATCAAGAAGCAATGCTAAAGTTCGATTACGGAATCTTGTAATGACACAGGGTTCATGTACTGGCATTGTGATCTTGCTTATAAGTGGAGGAAAGAGCTCGAGGATTCTTGTGTTTAGTGAAGATCTCTTCTTCATTTACCTTCTTCCACCGATTATATTCAATGCAGGGTTAGTTTTTCAGAATTCCATGCAAACCGGTTATGTTCAATAAAACGGTTATTGAAGTCAGGTTTGAGCAACACATTTTGTTTTTTCCAGGTTTCAGGTTAAGAAGAAGCAATTTTTCCGCAACTTCATGACCATTATGTTATTTGGTGCTGTTGGTACTCTTATTTCATTTGTTATCATATCATTAGGTAACCAAAAAAAAAAAAAAAAACTCAATCAACTCCCATAATTTCAAAAATCTTGTCTCCTACATTTTGATGGATATTTCCCGTTCTGTTTTAACCTAGGTGCTATACATTTTTTCGAGAAAATGAATATCGGAGATCTCACCATTTCTGATTACCTAGGTAAATAAACCATAACTTGTTCCGGTTTCTTGTTCATTACGTGTCACACCGCTTAATATTTTTTAGTTTGCAGCCATTGGAGCAATATTCTCTGCTACAGATTCTGTTTGCACCTTACAGGTAAAAAACTCTCTCAAGCAGGATTCAAAAAATATTGCTATACTACATTTGCTAATCCATAATTAACATTCCCCCATCTTTGTTAAATATAGGTGCTTAATCAAGAAGAGACACCTCTCTTGTACAGTTTAGTCTTTGGAGAAGGTGTAGTGAACGATGCAACATCGGTCGTGCTCTTCAACGCAATACAAAGATTCGACCTCACACACATCAATTCAACCATAGCTTTGGAGTTTGCCGGAAACTTTTTTTACCTCTTCATATTAAGCACAGCACTCGGTGTTGCAGTAAGCTTCTCTCTGCCCCCTCAATTTCCACTGCTGCAATTTGGAATAAACCTGAAAAAAGATTTCACTCGTTTTTCATTCAGGCTGGTTTGCTCAGTGCTTTCATTATCAAGACGCTCTATTTCGGAAGGTAAAATGCGATATACGACGCGATTATACTATTTGTTAAATATTTCTTTAATTTTTTGTTGTTGTAAATTCAGGCACTCTACTGATCGTGAAGTTGCACTAATGATGTTATTAGCTTACCTATCATATATGTTGGCAGAGGTAAAAAAAAGAAGATAAAATACGAAACATTTTGTTACAGTTTTACCAAAGCGAAATCAAAGCATGAAACATTTTTCCATTTGCAGCTATTCCACTTAAGCTCTATCTTGACTGTGTTCTTCTGTGGGATTGTTATGTCTCACTACACATGGCACAATGTTACAGATAAATCAAAGGTCACTACAAAGTAAGTTTCCTTCTTCTAATAATAACTAGAGAAAAGCCTATATTAAATTATTAATTTTTGATTGACTAAAATGTAAATATATATATTTCTTGGTGTTTTTTTTTGACAAAATTTTTTGGTGTTGTAGACACACTTTTGCTGCGTTGTCATTTCTAGCTGAGATCTTTATATTCCTTTACGTTGGAATGGACGCTCTCGACATCGAAAAATGGGACGTCGTACGCAACAGGTGAGATGTTATGTATATATAATAGTATATAATACAAGTAAAATACAATCTGTTTTTTTTTTGTTTTTCATTTTGCATGCATGATCTTTTTTGAACAATTTTGGACAGTCCTGGGCAATCGATTGGGGTGAGTTCGATACTCCTAGGGCTTATTCTTCTGGGTCGCGCAGCGTTCGTGTTCCCTCTTTCGTTCTTGTCGAATTTGACAAAGTCTTCACCTGATGAGAAAATCGATTGGAAGAAACAAGTCACCATTTGGTGGGCTGGTCTGATGCGTGGGGCAGTCTCAATGGCTCTTGCTTATAACCAGGTATGTATGATCCGTGAGCTACAAGAAACATAGTTAAACCCGATTAAACCATCTACTTCAATTTGACTATTTTAAACAAAATTTCACTAATCTCTTCTCTGTATACATCACATAGTTCACGACTTCAGGACACACCAAGCTTCTTGGAAACGCTATCATGATCACCAGCACCATCACTGTTGTTCTTTTCAGCACTGTGGTACGTTTAAAGTTAAACGCCTTAGGCGCAAACCGGTTTTACGTTCTGATTTATTATATTTTCGGTTAGGGATGCCAATCCGGTTTAGTCAACTGAATCAACGAGAATATAAACCAATTCGGTTTGTATTAATACGTACTTTTTTTCTTGGACAGGTGTTTGGATTGCTAACCAAACCACTAGTCAAACATTTGCAGCCACCATCAAAAAGGTCTACAACACCGAGGTCTTCTTTGGACGAGCCGCTCATCAATAGCGGTGGCAGCTACATCCAAAACTACGAGCCGTTAATTAGCAGCCAAGGGCAATCAGATTACAGCCTTGATCAGCCGATAAGCGTGAGAATGTTCTGGAACGCTCCATCCCGAGCCATTCATTATTATTGGAGGAAGTTCGATAACGCGGTTATGCGTCGCATATTTGGCGGCCGAGGCGTTTCGCCGATAGTTCCGGGTTCACCGGTTGATACTAGTGTTCGGCAGTGGAGTGAAGAAGTAGAAGAAAACAAGGAACAATACACCGAACCTTAACTGCTGGTGACGTATGGGTAAGAAGATCTTTGACTTGTTGATCGCGTTTTTGGCGTTCTTGGACGCAAACGCAACATGGACCGGCTCTCTTAGCTTTTTCGCCTTTAGTTTTGCTGTATTGGCTTTTGCTATATGGGCGCAGTTTTGGGTGCGATTTTTTTTGTCCGGTTTGATTTTGGGTTTTGTGGTGTGATTTTTTAGAGCCGGTCCAATGTATTGTGGTTTGAGTTTTGGGTTCTTGGATCAGAAGGTGTTTTGTTGTAAAATTGTGATTCTTCATGTAAATAAGCACTGATGTAGGCGTGACTTGTGACAGTGAACTGTGAGATAAACAAGAAAAGATCAATGGAGGATTATCAACAGTCCCGGTTCGTCTACATTTTTCTTTAAAAAATGCCATTCTATTGGATGGCTTCTTTATAGATTTTGCATGTTCCCATTTAATTCAATTCACGGGACATATACAAATCAATTGATATACTAATGATAAGTTAGGATTATGAAATTATTGCTTATAAAGTTATTTTTATGTTTCTTGTTAATTTCATTGTGCTTCCCACTAAGGACAAAATGAGTGGGTCTCAACTCTCAACCAACCTTATAACGTCATATACAATCTGTCACGCATAAAACCCTAAACACATGATGTGAAATAAATAAATGTCCTTTATATATTGTTTTTATAACTTATGTATAAATTTAGGGACAAAAAGGCACATTTGCTTTTGCCTGTGAGGTAGCAATATGCAGCAGCGCACATGTGCCACTAGCATTTTTACGAATTATGCTATGTACTTAATTAAAGACCCTTATTCACAGAATATGTATACATTGTTTCCTTTCAAATTCATAATTACCTCTTAATATATTAAGACCAAAACAATAATAAAATCTGGTTTCCTATTTATCTAGTATACTTAGATTTTGCATATCGTATACTAGTCTACTAGATTAATAGATATATGTTATTTGTAGTCCATGACTCGAGTGTTATTAATTGCATTCATACAAACAGTAAACTGTAAGGTTTGATAATACGAACAGGAACAGTAAACTGTAAAGCATATGCCACTTTAATTTGTAACGTGATGTCAACTTTTTCAAAAGGCCCTTTAGCAAAAATGAAAAACTATAAAACAAATAAAGCAAGTGCAGAAACGAACAAATGAAGTCCATAACAAACATAGAAACTCCTACCTCCTAAACTCTAAAGGAATATATAAAATGTAATACATTTCATTTTAAAATTTACATTTGATACTTTCCGCCAAACTATCGTAGACTATATGAGTTCTTCATGATAAAAACAAATCCATAAATTAATTAAGGTCCTAGAATTTTAGGAAAATAGTAATTGTTCTGTTTGCTTTATATATGCTTAATATTTAGGGTAATCAAAATGTATATGTGTCTTTACTATCTAAAGTCTTGTTTTACATAACCATACATAGCACGTATATATAAAATGAAATCTACGTTATTCTGCTTTCTTAGTTACAATTTGTGACCTCATGTTAACATATATAATATATTGTGTGGTTGACGTCATAATTTATTTACCGATTGAAGCGTAGATTATTAACAAGAGATTCACAATACGAAGATGGGGCAAAAGGTGAAATGGATTGAAAAAAATGTTTATTCGAGATATCCAATGATTTTTGTTTTTGGGACAATTAAACTCATGACAACAAATACGTACGTGGGTATATATAAGATAAAGTAACTACAAAGCTGAAACGTTAAGAAGCCGGAGCGAGAAACAAGAGACGACGGCGAATGCGACGGAGAGGAGAACTCCGGGAGCTTGAGAAGACGGAGTAGCGAGTGAAGAAGCCGGCGGGGAAGCGGAGGGAGCAAAGGCAGGATCAGGATCGGCAAAAACGTCGTCGGTTTCTGAATCGGGGAGGGTTGAATTAGAAGAAGGGATAGTTTGAGTGGAGGAGGCGGCGGGTGAAGGGAGGAGAGGAGCGATTTCGGGCGAGATCTGTTCTTCAAAGGGAGAGATTGTTGGAGAAGATGGTATTGTATTTGTCGTCGGCAAAGATAGAGAAAGTGGGGAGAGAGTGAGAGAGATGAAGGTGATGAGTGTTAAGATTAAAGATGAAGCCATTTTTTTGTTACTGTAATGATGAACAAATCAAAGCTAGCTTCTTCTTTTTTGGTTGTCTCTCTCTCTTTTCTCTCTACTGATCAGAGTGCATTTTGTGTTGTAATGATACTGTCTCTCTATAAAGAAGCTTTTTCGCTATAATAGTAAGAAAATAGAATTTTATTACTATAATGAGATTTGTCTCACATTATTAATAAATTAAAAGGATGTGTTCGGTGGAAAAGGTTTTGTTTTTTGTTGAAAACATTGAAGAGAACGTAGATCGAGATTTAACTTTTTTAATATGTAATATATACCATTTTCTTACGAATATATATAATTACACAGATGACTAAATTTCCAAATGAAATAGATCATTTTTCTTACGAATTTGGACTTTGCTTGAGACTCGGTAAGAGTAAACTTATTATATTGTTTTGTTCTTTCCGAGATTCGAGACTAAGGGTTAATTAATTACGTAAAAAAACTCTAACCAAACTAATCCAACTTATAAATCTTACTCGAAGTACGAGAGGGATTATGTTTGTTCGTTGGACGTTCAAAGAAAAAGCACACCAGCAGCAAACTATACATACGTATTTTGGAATTTGGGTGGGTTCCAAACCAAATGCTGTTGTCTTTTGATCTAAAATATGTTGGTGAGGAAAAAGCTTAATGGTGTAAGGTTTTTCTTTTCAGTTGTTGTTCTCAATGATATATCTATTTGAATATATACGAAGTTGCTTAAGGTTTTGTTTACTTTAGTGTTATTCTATCTCGATAAAACCGAACCAAATCCAATTAATTGGAAAATGTATAAATATGAAATCAAACAAAGTTACAAAAATGGTTTTGGCTAAAAACAATTTTATTTTTAGATATAGGAAAGCACTTGAACACAAATCCAAGTATATAGTCTCTAGGCCGACAACAAAACTAAAGTTATATAATATCATGCATGAAAAAACATAAACACCATATTCGATCGACAGATACTATATTCTGTTTCAGTCTGGCTAGTAATTTTCTAAAAACGGATATCTGAATCGAAATTTATCAAAACGATCTAAACTACTTGGTTTAAGCAAACGTCTTAATGAATCAGGAATAAGAGTTAGTGGAACCTCGACTAACCCCAATGGTAACACCAATAGATTTAATAAATATTTTTAAGAATATAATTGAATAAAAAAATTATAAAGAGTGTCTTAATTTTTAGACCGATGTCTAAATTAGGATTTTGTTTTTATTTAAGAACGGACACGTGACAGATTATAAGTAGATAGGGAAAATTGACAAAAAAAGTCTTCTATTTTTATTTTTCGTTTCTGTCTTCCTTTTTCTTTCTAATTGGTTCAGTTCGGTTCGGTTTGCTGAATCGAACGGTTACCTGAATTTTTTTAAAAAAAAAAACAAATTATATCAAAATATATCAAATTATACCGAATCGAATATTCAAACTATCCGAAAATACCCGAAATAACCCAAATCTACCCGAATTTAACCGAATTTAACCTAATTTTAAAAAAAAAATTAAAAGTTTGGATAGTTTCAGATAAGAAACTTCGGTTATTTTCGGTAGAATTTCAGTAATCCAAACTATCTGATTATCCAAATTATCCGATTCAAATTATCCGAAGTATCCGAAATCTCATGCCTAGCAACAAGCACTGGAATTCCAAAGGAGAAGGCTTCTCAACAAGCACTGAATTGCATTTCTATAATTTATATGTTTATATGTATTACTTTTGTGAAAATATATTATGATTTAAAATTTGTTAAAATAAATTTTACATAAATTTATTAATTTTTTTTTTAAGACACTCATCAAAGTGTCTCTATTGTATGCTTAAAGACAACAAAATTCTACTAAGTATCTTATATATATAAAGTACACAAAATATTAATAATTAATTATTAAAACTTTTTCTAATGGTATTACCATTGGGGTTGCTCTCATGAACCAACAGATCATGCAGTCTATGCATTGGTGTTAGTGTATGATTATTGTTGTGAAAGACTCTATATAATTTTTTCCGGAATTTAGAAGATTTACTACGGACTGGATTTTATTAAGTTAGCGATAATTGTCATGATTTAAAAACATAAAAATGAATAATACATATAATGAAATTGATTACAAACAAATTTTGAATATGTGATGTTTAACATGCTTGGAGAAAAAGAGAGTAAAATGAGCCTAATACATCATAGTTATTAAACAGGCTCATTTTGGGCCCGCTAAACCCAGCCCAATACTAACAATGAAAATTTGAGTACTGTCTGTAATGACGAGTTAGATATACTGTACAAGAACTTGCTAATCTTCTATTTGTTTGACTAATTTACCAATACCAATACTTTTGTAACATTTCCAACATTTTCTCTCTTCGTATTCGAAAACTACAGATTTCATATCAGACATGTATAGCTATGAAAGAAATACATTTTGTTATTGGCTCAAAGCAAGAAAAATATATTTTGCAAATATATTTTGTTATTGCAAAATAGCAAAAACTTTTGTTTTTCCGCCTAATGTCATCTATAGACTATAATAATATCCCAAAGCCACCTACCATTTTGGTTTAGTGTTTAAAAATGAAAAAGTGTACCAAATCAGCCTTAACTCAAATTTTGCAAAAGTGTGAAAAAAGCCGCAAGCTCCGTTGTTGTTTGACGCCTCAATGGCTTCTTCTTCAACTCGTCTCACCTACCCTCCTCACGTACTCTCCTCCAACCCACGACTTTCGCCAACCTCCGCCGCCAACCTCCGTTTCCCCGCCTCCGATTCATCTCTCCGCCTCAAATCAAATTTCTTATCCGCCGAATTCTCTTCCCTGCAAACCAGGAGTGTTCCGGTTCCGGTAGCATTTTCCGATCGACGGAGCCGTCGAAGCATGGAACCGAGCAATGTCTATGTTAGTGATTCTTTCCTCGGTTTTAATTTTCATTCGGGTTTCGGCCATCTTTTGGAAGAGTGCTAGAGAACGATAAAGAGTAGTTTCGCCGTTTATTCTTCTCCTTAATCGTTTAGTTCCTAGTAGTAGTTAGATGTGAAACTACAGCTAAATCAAGACAAAGCTAATGGATTCTGGAATTTTATCCTGTTTTCTGACCTCAGGTGGCTTCAAATTCCACGGAAATGGAGATCGGAAGTCAAGAAATTTTGAAGAATCCGAGCTTGATCTGTGCTCCAGTGATGGCGGATTCAATAGAGAAGATGGTGACTGAAACGTGCAAAGCCCAGGAATTGGGTGCAGATTTGGTGGAAATCCGATTAGATAGTCTCAAGGATTTCAACCCTCTTGAGGATCTCAAAACCATTATAGAGAAATCTCCTCTGCCCACTCTATTCACCTATAGGTTTGTGTCCTCAAGCTTTAAACTTTTAAAAAAAAAGTTTGGCATGGAACTTCTTGTGCCTGCTTGTGTCGATCTTTCAATTAACGATCCTGTCTTCTTTTCCTCTTTAAGTTACGGGATAGTTCTTGAGCTACAGTATGAGTAATGTTATTGTTTGTATTATGACTGTTCTCCAGACCAAAATGGGAAGGTGGTCAATACGAAGGTGATGAAAACGAGCGGCTAGATGTTCTCCGTTTGGCCATGGAACTGGGAGCTGATTACATTGATGTTGAGCTTCAGGTTACCATCGTAAAACCTCAATAGTTTTTTTTTTTGTATTGAGAAGGTGTTTCAATGCTGATTAATTTCTGCTGCTTCATATTTGTATTGTCAAGGTTGCAAGTGAGTTCATCAAATCGATTGATGGAAAGAAGCCTGAAAATTTCAGAGTAATCGTTTCATCGCACAACTATCAGAACACCCCCTCTGTTGAGGATCTCAGTGACCTTGCTGTAAGAATACAACAAACTGGAGCCGACATTGTGAAAATTGCTACTACTGCCGTTGACATCACAGATGTTGCTCGCATGTTCCATTTAACTTCAAATGCTCAAGTAAGTGCCTTGCGTGCTAGAATTAAGTCAACTCACAAGTTTGCTGATTTATGAACGTCTGAGTTTTTCTCACTCAATTTTCAGGTTCCCACAATTGGACTTGTTATGGGCGAAAGAGGTCTAATGTCTCGGATTCTTTGTTCGAAATTTGGTGGATATTTGACATTTGGCACCTTAGAATCTGGAAAAGTTTCAGCGCCTGGTCAACCAACGATCAAGGATCTGTTGGATCTTTACAACTTTAGAAGAATTGGTCCTGATACTAAGGTGTATGGAATTATTGGCAAGCCTGTCAGTCACAGCAAATCACCTATTGTTCACAATCAAGCTTTCAAATCAGTTGATTTTAATGGAGTATATGTCCACTTGTTAGTTGATAATCTTGCAAGCTTTCTCCAAGTATACTCATCCTCAGATTTCGCTGGATTCAGGTAAGCTATCATATGGTGACAAATTAGTTTATCTCCAGAGTAAAATATTTTAAAGTAATGAACAGGATCGTCCGCATTTTACTCTTACGTTTTAACGTTGCACTGGCAATAGAGGAATTTTTGGTTGAATGATGTAAATATGTTCTACCTGCAGCTGTACAATTCCTCACAAAGAAGCTGCATTGCAATGCTGTGATGAGGTTGATCCATTGGCAAAGGTATGATTTGCTAATTACCACCAGATAATTTTGATAGTAATCCCAATCATTATCAGTTGGAAGAAATCGTCATTCTGCTTCACCCTGAATAACTGAATGTAATATCTTACAGTCTATAGGAGCTGTGAACACTATACTGAGGAGAAAAAGCGACGGAAGGTTGATGGGTTACAACACGGATTGTATTGGTTCCATTTCTGCTATTGAGGATGGCCTAAGAAGTAAGTTCTATGTTTACTGGTTTCATCAGTTGTTGCTCCCTGTGGAGAAGCTGTGGCTTTAGTAACGGAGCGTTTTCCATTGCTTTTTTCAGGCTCAGGTGATCAAAGCAGTGTACCTTCTTCTTCTTCGCCATTAGCCGGTAAAACAGTGGTGGTTATTGGTGCTGGTGGAGCAGGCAAGGCACTTGCTTATGGTGCAAAAGAAAAAGGGGCCAAAGTTGTAATTGCTAATCGAACCTACGGTAACAGACATGTCCTAAATTAGTAGTCTTCGCTTTATGAGCACCTTTAATATTATTCTATAGCCGGTCATGCTCGGTCCTGACATTATTCTTCATCTCTCCAGCCCTCGTAACTGATGTTTATTTTTGTTCCTGATGTTTGTGTTTCCTTAAGAACGAGCTCTAGAACTAGCGGAAGCAATCGGAGGCAGAGCGTTATCTCTCACAGATTTAGATAACTTTCACCCAGAAGATGGCATGATTTTGGCCAACACCACGTCAATGGGCATGCAACCAAATGTTGACGAGACTCCCATTACCAAGGTAACACCCAGCTTTTCCTTTTGGTTTCTGTCGGTAACAAAGTAGCTCCGCTATTCTTTTTTGTTATGTAAAGAACAAAAACCAGTCTTCTCGCCTGCAAACTCTCTTGAGAATCTATAATCTATAACACAAACTAGTAACGTAGCTTCTCTTTGTTTCCCCAGCATGCGTTGAAGCACTACGCGCTGGTCTTTGATGCGGTCTATACTCCTAGAATCACGCGACTGTTACGGGAAGCAGAAGAGTGCGGAGCCATAACTGTGTCGGGATCAGAGATGTTTGTGAGACAGGCTTACGAGCAGTTTGAAATTTTCACCGGTTTGCCCGGTAAGTGACTCGTACCGAACAAAACCCTTGCCATTAAACATAGCAAAAGAAGCTGACTTTTATCACTCACTCACCTCCGCTAATATGAAAGCTTTACGTTCCATTGTTTGTGCAGCTCCAAAGGAACTCTACTGGCAAATCATGTCAAAGTACTGAGATCTCGCTTGTGTGTAATGTGTATGTCTGTATCTTCTTCTTCCATGGAAACTCAATTCAATAAAACTTTGGAAATGCCATTTGTGTTTTGTGAGAATGCACTTTTTTGAGGCCATACCTGTTTCTCTGTGTATTTATATATAAACGGTAAAGCTTGTTGTTTTGATGGTATCTTCGATTTTGCAAGCACGATATCGGTTACCACTTACTATCAGATATATACGACGAATTATATCAAATCTTCAATGGATTACACGTAAACTGGGGGAAAAGTTGATAGATTATAATCCCAATATTGTACTGTCGTTAATTAATTATGATTATAATCCTCTTGTTTGAGTTGATTTATCCGAGTTATATAGACCGGTTTGTCAACTTTGAAACCTCCTTAATTAACGATTGATCGGTACTATGAAGCTGTAAGGTTGACCAAGAGTTGGGTGTAACTCGACTAATTCAACTCAAATTTAGAGATTATATTAGTTAATGAGATAGTTAGAGTCTGACTCGGATAAATTGAGAATTTTTTTTGCCACAAAATAATGAAATATGATGCTATTTTTCCAATCTGGTTCGGACCAGCCCAGACCAGACCAATCCACCGGTTTATACAACGACATCAAATAAAAATTGGTTTTAACACCTATTTTGACAGTTTTCGCAATTGATAAGCAAAATTTTTTTTGCACGTATGCATCGGTTTTTGAGACTTTCCAGTTGCACGATTTGATTCCCGCCAAAACATATTGGCAAATGTGAATTTTCCCACGCGAAATTGGGATTATATTAAAATCTCACAAAGAAAGTTGTATTTTACGCCAGATCTTATTTTTTTCTCCGACGTATCGTCTCTCCTCAGCAAAAGTAAGCTTCCTTTTTTTGATTCTTATGTTTGTTTCCATTGTTGATTTCGGAATCTCTTCTTCTGATCATTTCATACTCGTCTGATTCTGAATCTAACTCTCAACGTGTAGCTTTCATTGCTCTCACCTGTGCTTCTCTAGTTTCCCAGATTTTGATTTCCTTGTCTTTGGCTTCAATTTTTTTTTTCTGGGTGTGTTTTTTCTCCCTATTATACCTTCTCGAATCGCAATTTGATAAGGGCGTTCTATGAAATCTTCCGACTGTAATTTCAAAGTCTGAATTCTAATTAAAATTGAAGGGTTGATATGCAATTAATTGAGAATATGCCCATCTCGCAAACAACCCCAAAGTTAATCAAATTTATTATAAAACCCCAAAACAGCATGAACAAAATAGTAGTTGTAGATGGCTTTTAGTTTTACATAAACTTAACCGGAGCACTTCCTCTCCGCCGTTCGGCTACTGCCCTCCGGTGAGCTCTTGAAATTTGCACTCACTTTCCGACCAATTTACATCTGATTCGTTACTCGTCGATCGTATATACATTTTAATTGGTAGAATTTTACTCTGTTTCCTTCTTCTCTCCACGATTCGCCTCTGTATTGTAGAAATTCGCCGTCGGGTATTGGTCTCAGCTGTTCGAATTGTATTTTCTCGTATGATTTCGTGAACTGCTTTGATGGATTCCTTAAATTGGTTTAACTCTCCATTGCTTTGCTTTTTAATCACATCTGACTAAAAATGGTATTGTAGAGAACGTAGACACATGGCTTAGGGTTTTTTTATTTCCGAAATTTTCAATTTGGACTCTTATTTTGTGGATCTCAATCCTCGAATAGTCACAAAAGGAACCTTTTCCTCTTCTTCTTCTTCTTCTAATTACGTTATGTTTAGGTTACATTTAACCTGAATATGTGTGTTTTTCGAGATCACGAGCCCAAAATATGTTTTCATCTGTATATATTTGGTTCATATTTGTGTGTGTGTCTTTACCTTAGCAATTGTAGAACAGTCATAAACTGACAGAAGCTTAATCGATCTGTAGCAGGATCCAAGCAGAGGAGGTCATTTGCATTCCTTTCTTGGGCTGTGGGGTTTCTATGATACTTGTGGTGAAGTGATAATGAGTATCAACAGAGACGAGGCTCTTAGAGCCAAAGATTTAGCGGAGGATTTGATGAAAAAGACGGATTTCACCGCTGCTCGTAAGCTTGCACTCAAGGCTAACAAAATGGATCCCAGCCTGGAGAACATATCTCGCATGACAATGGTGTGTGATGTGCACTGCGCCGCGACGGAGAACTCGTTCGGGAATGAGATGGATTGGTACGGCATACTCCAGGTTGACCTGAACGCTAACGATATCGCCATCAAGAAACAGTACAAGAGGCTGGCGCTTCTTCTCCACCCGGATAAAAACAAGCTCCCTGGTGCTGAGTCTGCTTTCAAACTGATTGGTGAAGCCCAGAGGATGCTCTTGGATAGAGACAAAAGGATGACTCATGACATGAAACGCAGAACTTGGAGAAAGCCTGCACCATCTTATAATAGACCCCAACAGGTGCCGAGTTATCAAACGCAGCGGGCAAGCGTTAATATAAGGAATATCTACAGCGAGAACAGGCATCATCCTCAGCAGCAGACAGCTCAAGCACAACCAGCCGCGTTCAGTCACCATCCAACCTTTTGGACCTCTTGTCCCTTATGCCGGTCGAGTTTTGAATATGGTAGGGAGCATATCAATAGAGAAATGACTTGTCGGACTTGCACGAAACAGTTCACTGCTATTGAATCCCCTTTCCAGAGTGTACCGCTGGCGAAACGCTCATCTCAGACTACTTCTTTCCCACAACAGAACAAGTTTCCAAGCCAAAAGGCTGGCAATGAACCGGAGAAGCGTCCAGTTAATCCTGCTACGGTTTCCTCTAGAAAGGCGAGTTTCCCTACGCGTTCTACCGCAGTAAACAATAATGGAAAAAGGAGGAGAAACAACATGGTTGAATGTAGTGACAGTTCTGACAGTGAAACTAGCAGCGATTCTGACGATGTTGTAAATGATGTAGCACGAGATTTGAAGTCTAACGGAGGACAGCAGCCTAGGAGGTCAGTCCGTAGCAAGCGGCAAGTTTCCTATAATGAGAATTTGATTGACGACGATGTAGACTTAGCCAACGACAATGGGGAAGGGTCTGGGAAAAACATAGATACTGAAAGGGAAGAAGAGTCAGAAGACGAAAAGCAAACACATGAGGATCATCGCTCTACGGAAACCTTGCCGAATGGCATAAACCCGAAGGAGAAGGTTAAAGAAGACGAGGTGGAGAGCTCTGCTGGTGACAGTGACCCGGAGGAAGATTTAATTTCAGGGAGTGCAGCAAAACCAAATATTATCAACTGTGATGATCCTGAATTCTTTGTCTTCGATAAGCAGAGGGAAGAAAGCTGTTTTGAAGTTGGCCAGATCTGGGCTTTATATGATGAAGGAGAGGCAATGCCTAGGTTTTATGCTCGCATAAAAAAAGTTACGACTCGAAACTTCTCGCTTAAGTACGTATGGTTAGAGGCAGAAGAAGATGAAGAGGATGAAACACGAAATCTGCCTGTCTCTGTTGGCAACTACGAGCTTGGGAATGAGGAGACGACAAATGAGTGTAACATGTTCTCTCATTTGGTTCGCGGAAAAACAAGAAGCAATGCGCGGCGTATTAAGGTGTTCCCGGAGAAAGGAGAAACGTGGGCACTTTACAAGAACTGGAACATCGACTCCTCCTCTGACTCAGACCCTCCTCGTGAGTATGAGTTTGTTGAGATCCTGTCTGACTATGCAGAGCAAACCCCGATATCAGTCGCCTTCTTGTCCAAAGTGAAAGGCTTTTCATTTGTTTTCTGTCCAATGCCAAAGGACGGATCAGGCACTAGTGAGATTCCACCTCATGAGTTCCGTAGATTCTCACATAGGATTCCATCATTCAGATTGACGGGAAAAGAAGGGAGATGCGTATGCGAAGGTTGGTTCGAGCTTGATCCAGCTGCTTTACCAGCCCGTTACTCTCAAAACGCATCAGGAGAAGGAACAGCTCAAAACCAAGACCATCAGTCTCCACCTTCAGGATCTGCCTGTTGATATTATCTTTCATGGCTTGCTCAAACCACGATACATGGATCCGGTTTATTTTGTTCGGGCGTACAGGTTTACTGACAAAGAGAAACCGGAGCTCCCCAGAGGCCTTTTGTTGAGCTCGATACCTCTGTGTTGTCCTGTGACATGGTGCACTCGTGATTCTTTTTGTTATTTTGTCTACTCCTTACGTTTTCTCTTTCTTGGTTTACTCAGACTTGTAGCTTAATCACCATATACTTTAAAACTCCGTTGTTGCTAGCTACAGTAAGAATTTGGTGAAAAACCCTTGGCCATATTATACTTATTTTATCCATTTTTCATTTGTAAAATCGCATCAGTTACATCCAGTTTCAACTTCTATCTTGGATTACGGTCGCGAGGAAGAATATGAATGGTAGTGACTGGTGACTAAACTTGACATTCTCAGTTGTTACAATGTGAGGGCATTTGGTCTAGTGGTATGATTCTCGCTTTGGGTGCGAGAGGTCCCGAGTTCGATTCTCGGAATGCCCCTTTTACACTTTGTTTTACATTTCTCCCACGGTCACATCATACCTACGACGGTCTAAATCTTCAGAAAACGACAAATAGTGGAAACCCTGTATAGAAAAAGCCATGAAGAATAGAACCTTTGCATTTTTATTCAGAAGAGAAGAAACATACATACATAATAGCTCTTTTTAGTTTTCACCTGATACACCTTCTCTTTTACAAACTATCATCGTCCTCCCCGGAAAGAAAAAAAAAAGAATACTAAAGGGGGCACGAAAAAGGAAACTTCGAGTAACATTTTCGAATAAGAGTGGATGTATAATGTATTTACACCTTACACGTCACATCTGGATCAGCTGAACAACTTTTTCTTCTTCTTCCACAATACAAACTCAACGAAGAACAGAGAAACCAAAGGAAAGGAGATTTCATACTGAACTTGAGTTTTCTGCAACGCGTACACGCCAAGAGAAATAATGAAGGTACAACGAGTTTAGGCACACGGCTATCCCAAAACCAAGAATCCCTGCAAAAAGTATAGAGTAGATCGCCGATAGTCTAACCTGAAAAAACAGAGAGAGATTGAGAAAATGTTTTGATTTCCATTAGTCAATGACGAATATGAAGTGAGAGTCTTGCTTACTGTAGTATACAATAGATGAACCAACATCCCCACAAGGGCGAACTCAAGTGCTGCGTATGTCCATATGTATTCTCTGATCGCTGCAGAGTCAGATGGTAATAACAAAGTTTTCAAATTTTGTTGGCGAACAAAAGAGGAATGAGCGAGAGACATTAAAGGTCTCTGATGCAGAGTGGTTGTGTTTACCGAGGACAATGGCGAAAACGGATGCTAAGATGCCCAACGTAAATGAAAATGGCGCTGCTATGTAGATAGCTTTCGTGCCCAAGTCCCGAATCTACAAAAAGAAGCATTTAACACAACCTTTGTCAATATCTTTTTTTGCAACAGAGTATCAACCAAAACAAATAATTTTGTAACGGTGGCTACCAGTAATTGCTCGAGGAAGAAGAAGTAGCAGACTGTGCTGATCAGAACTAGCACCACAAACTCTTGCCATGCACTGCACCAATCCATTCCGTTCTCAGTTGTGTTATTTCGAAGAATAATGGTGAACAAAAAAAAAAAAGACTCTTGAAGTTACCTAGCGGTTTGTGATTGCATATTCAGTTGACTCCGATCACGCCTGTTGTTCGTCTGATTAGTTGTGGGCACACGAAGTAATGTAACTGGTAAGTTCCGGACTTCTTGTCTACAGACGTCACAGGTTCTTGTCCCCTTTGTACTAAACCATTTAATGGCACACGCTTCATGAACAAGTCTGAGATCGCCTTTGCAGCTGCACTCCATTTTCAGAGTGTTGCCTTCTTCGCACACGTCCAGACAGATCCTGCACACCGCTTCTTCTTCTGGGATTTCTTCATCGGTTTCTTCCGTAGGAACGGGAGAGATTTGATCTGCCAAAGAAGGAAGAACCAGCAAACACAAAGGTCATAATCAGTATGCTACAGAAAGCATATGACTGCACCTATATGCGCTACATTTCTTTCAATTCTCGGGTAATAATTGTTGAATCAACCATATAAATATGCAATTTCCCTTATCAGTCGATATGCGTACACCACATGAATCAATCTATTCCTCATATTTTTATGCAGAGCTCTAAGTTTTCTCACAATTCTGTATCTTTTGATTCATTGACAATTCAAAAGCAGCGGATAAGAAAAAAAAGGCTCCACTCAAGAAAATCAGCATAAAACACTTTAGTTGACTGCTTAAACTCAACATTCAGATGATAAAGATATTAGATGTGAACATCTGTTGGAAACAAGTACCTGCACTTGTTTCAGACAAAACACGAGCTTTGTGGTTGTCAAAAGAAATGGATCGCACAATGACTTTGTTTCTTCCAGGCATGGACAAGGACCTTGGAACTGGTGGATGAATATAATCTTTCTGCAACAGAATACAATCTTTATGTTTCAGCGGGCAAGAACAGAGACTCCTTCAGTAAATTTCAACTTTTTACACACTGTAATTGCAAGATAGCAATATAACTCACAATAGGCGGTTCACCGGGGACACCAACTGAAACATGAGCAGATACCACAGGAGACAATTTCGCGGCATGTCTAGATGGAAGCGACAAGCATCTTTTCCAATAAGGCGAAGTCGTTGATCCCTCAGTATGGGGCTTTTTAGCTGTTTCCATGAGACCGGGAGATAGTAGAGAGCTTCTCTCGCTCTCAGGTTGAGCTACAACTTTCTTTTTCAAGCTGAGATTCCTCAAGATCCCTCTTGGTGACGATGCACTGCCACTTTTGAATGAACTCGTAGACTTCAGTGAACTCTTTGGGTTACGGCCGCCAACAAATGGAACTGGTCTTGGGGGTATTTGTATTGACAGATCCACGTGGGTTCCGCTCGGCACATCTTCAGTAGTAGATTTCTCTTTTACCTGATGATCACCCTATAAGTAATACATTTCAAAGTTCAGGCCTTCAAGTAACACTAACAAAAACCCAAAAATGATTACAACATTTTCTCACATATAGAGAAATCCAGCATTTTCAATTCAAAAAGCAGACATTTTTAGTCTTTCAGGTCGTTAATAGAAACGTAAGCTTGCTTTCGTCATTTGACTCATTCAAAAATAATAACTTTGCAATGGCACACATATGCAAACTAGACCTCAGGCTCAGAATAAACAAATCTTTCTCCAATATTCAAACTTTGAGAAAACATTATTCTAATATGTTCAAAATGAAGACCCCCAAAAAAGCTGTGTAGTAACTGAAAATCTCCCCCAAATTATAACTGCAAGATGAAAACAAAAGATTTGAACTTCTCATTTCTCTTTTTTTCCACAGAAAAGCTGAAAACTTCTTCTATGTATAAAACAATCCCAAGTGGCTTAGTTTTTTTTTAATGTTTATCTTTATAATAGAAACATAAATAAATCAAAAGGAGAGATTCTATGGCTACTCAGTGGATCAGATAGATCAAATCCAGATTCCAGACGAACAGAGAAAGAGAGAATATCCCTAAAAATAATGTCTAGCCATATAAACCCTAGAATTTTACAGGACAATTCATGGAAAATCCAACCATAGCAACAACAAAGAAAACCCAAATACGTTTTCTAGCGATTCACCAGACCAACCCACGTTTAAATTAAGAGATAAGACACAAGCTATGAGGAAAAGCTTTCAGATTTACCTTATAATCTACAAACCCAGCATAATAAATCGTATTGGGTTTTAAACGAAGAGACAAATATAAGATTTTTTTTTTTGGAAATATGTACCTGAGAAGAAGAATGAGGCGGAAGAGGAAAAGAAGATGAAGACGAAGAATCATCCCCCACGATTATAGCAATCTCGGGTTGTTGAGCTGCCGAATCTTGCATCATTATCGAACCAAAAATTAAACCGATAATCAAAAAAATTATATCAATACGAAATCAAGCAGCTCGACAAATATTCTGAGAGAGAGAGAGAGAGAGAAGCAATCTATTTGATGAAATAATTGTGGTTTAATATTCATTGAACTTAAGCTGAATCCACGACTGACATTATACGAAAAGGCTTGTACTTTTATTTTGCTCACTTATACAAATACGTTGCCACTGACACTCATTTACTACTACTGTTCTTTTTCTATTTTTTTTCGACCACATTTATTACTTTTCTTTAATTTCCCTGTTCACAAACAAAAAAAATTCTCATAATCTAATTTAATAAATAATTAGATATCGACATTCAAAAAACGAATCGTATTCTATTCTTGTCGTGATTTCGGCGAAGATGACGAGGAAAATTCAACGTTACGACTTACGAGTTTCGAACATCATGTTCATGTCGATAAATGTCGATTGTGTCGCTTTCAAGGAAAATCATTCTCTTCGTTCTTACGCATTGAAAATATTCTCACTGCAAATATGTTATTTTGGAAAATTAAGTATTTGATTTTTAAATTTTAACAAAAAAAGTTGGGTTTGAAAGTAAGAAGAACAAAACTACTACTATATGTAATCTATAAATTTAGGTTGATGAACTTTATAAGTGGGTGTGGCATTTTATATTTACTTATATACACAATATAGTGATATACTATCAAAATCACAAGTCACGATGATAATTAAAAATAGCGTCTTTAATTTCCTCATCATAATTTCTTGTAATCCATCTGCTACAATTATACACTTCAATAATTAGTGATATAGTTTGGTGGGTTGTACAAATTTGTGGTTTAAATATGGGCAAATAATCAGTGACGAGCATTAAACCCCTTTAAAATGACTTTCCTTAGTCCTTGCGCATTGAAGGTTTTTGTGATTTTCAGAATTTTAAAGTATTATATAAAAAATAATTTATCAACAAGATAATGGATGTACTGGGAATCACCTTTCCTAAATACTTGAAGTTAAGAAGAAAAAGCTACTTTTAAACCAAAATAAATAAATATCATCTTTAAATTTAGAATGATTGATTTTATACGCCTTCTCACACTATAATTTCCCATGCAATATTATACCACATGCTATGATTATACACACAAAATAAAGTATAACCTAGTTTGTTAGGTCGTGTAGATAAGTAGATTACTGGTCTAAAATATTAATTATATATTGAAATTAAGAACACTAAAACATTTCTTACAAGTTACCACAATACTTGGCAAATCCTTTGAATTCTGTTAAACAAACTATTGGTTGATTGGATTTAAAGTTTTGCAACTGTTATCGAACAAATGTAATAGAACAAGATTTCTAAGACCAAAAAAAATAGTTTTTTTTGAACGCTAATTTAAATGATTAGTATATATTTAAACATATATGTTAAGTATAATACTAAATTGGTTTAGTAATAGTCAAATGCGATGCACATCTCCAAAATGAAGTTGAGTTCATAAAATTCTCGATTATTAACTGTCTCGAATGTCATTCATCAGCTCCCTAGTAGAACCCACAAGCTGCTTCTAGGAAAACTAACAGCTCATGTTGGAACCTACTGTTTCTTCTGCAACATGAAACAAGACAAATGTGCTTTGATCTCTATGGACCCATAACAAATAACCATCTATGTAGTTTTATATTCGGATTGACACAAAGGTATGTACATACGAAACGTTAGGCTGAAAGTCCAACTAGTGTTTTAGGTGATGCTAAGGAAAAATAAAATCAATTAACAAAACAAAGAAAATATCTGATGAAAGAATGTCCTTAACTTGCAAAAGACGGATTGTTCAAGTTTGATGAAATAGCTATATGAGTAGTTATTAACATAAGAACCACTCTCGTCTTATTTTGTATATACATTTTTTAAAAAATCTAACCACTCATCTATAAGTGAATTAATTCATATGTCCTTGTTAGTTATTTAATCTTCTAAGTACAATTCTATGACAGAAAGTTCAAATTCGAGGCTTTGTCTAGACAGTTCCGGAGCTTCAACCGTTTGAATTTGAAGTCTGGTTGTGATGACTAAGAGAATTAGTCACTTTACACTCAAATCAATGTGCAACACAAGTAGATTAGTTCAAGAATAAACTGTACTGTTCTGATTTAATTATTGTATGGTCAAAGTCGTAGAAGGGAACATTGTGTCCTACTCCTATCCTATATCATAATCTTTACCAAACTCAAAAAGGAGAGTAGAAACTGATCAAATCTACATATGCTTAAAACATCATTACATAACCACCAACCCAAGAGAAGTGTTCACTTAATCAAACATAAATGGAATTTAACTTGCAAGATAGGTGACTCATCTCGAAAGCATTCACATATAAACGGTAGGTCTTTTTAGGAATTAGGCTATCTAAGTTTGTGATTCGCCTTTTATTACGCCAAACAATTCGGACGATCAAGTATTAGGCTAAGGTTGGTTCATAATCTAAGAGTGAATGAAATCGGAAAAGACAAAGGAAGCTCCTAAGGTTAGCTCGTTGGGTAAGAAACTATCAACTCACGCTCTAGCTATTGCTTGCCGCTCGACCTGGCTTACCATCAGTCTTAAGCTCTTCAATGGCACTGAGTGATTATATGAACATCTAAGCACTAAATAACATGAATGATTTGATTGTGTCTTATATTCGTCTTGAAATCAAATTGAATAAAAGGGTATCTCGAAGTACAACCAAACTACACTTAAGGATTAGACTCCTAAATTGATAAGTTATTTGCTTTGATGAAAGTAACTTGGCTTCTTCACTTCATCTTCTGCTCTGTAAAGAGGACATGACGATTGACTCGAGGATCGTACTTGCGGAACTCAAGCTTCTCAACAAGTCCCTTGCTACTCTTCCTCTTGACATAGAAGAATCCAGTTCCAGCTGCTGAGACTAGACGAATGAACATGAACGTCTTCTTCCTCTTGTCACCCATCTTCCTCACTTCAAAACCCAAAATCGACTATGAGACCAAGATATTAACGATTAAGCCCCTGAAATCGATGAAACAGAGGGAACAAAACGTATAAAGTTTGCATTTTTTCTTCATGTTTCTTCATACTTAGAAATGATTATCTTTGGCTAGAATATGTGAAGCAGAATATTAGATAATTAATCGGAAATGAGATCTAGTACTTGGAAGCTAGAGATCTCCGGCGAAAAAATCTCAGCTCGAACACGATAAGCACTAGAAGAATTCTTGCCAAGAGATTAAATTATCGAGCTAAGTCCTAATCGAAGAGGTTAGAAGGTTACGCATACCGGGAAAACAGAGAGCGACGGAGCCCGGCGGAGGAGTGATTGATCGGAGGACGCTTTCACAGAGAAAACAGAACGCCGACGAGGATGACGGGTGAAAAAACCTAGGATGAAGAGAAATTGGGGTTTGTTCAAACAAAATAGGCCTTTTAAGATGAGCCCAATAATGGTCTGATGGTTGCGAAATAAAAAACGCAGCGTTTTAATGACGACAGCCAATGTGTTTCACTTGTTTTGCTGTTTTCGTCTTGTAGGCTAAAGGATCTTCACGAGAAATGGGCAAAGGAGATGGATGCTTGTTAAGTCTGCGGACCCTTAAGATGTAGACTTTCTTCAAGGAGGCGACAAAACAAGCACAAGTTCGAGTGAGATGGACTGAGTATTCTCTGGACTTGTTCTGAGAAACAGAGGATGAGGAACAGAGTATTTGAGACAAAGACAGAAGAAACAGGGTATCGAGAGAGAAATAAAAAAAGGGGGGGCACTCAGAGAATTTTACGAGTTCATTCCCTTGCGGGTAGCTACGTCTCGCCGAGTCCTAGACTCGGAATCCACTAGTTTATAAGAGAGAATACAACAGTAGGAGTTACAAGCGATCCACCCTAATGCCCTTCACTAGCACTTAGAGCACACTTCGTAACACCTATGTAACAAGAAGAAAACGATACAAGTTTATACTTTAAAGCTTTCTCTTTTCTCTCTACTCTCAAGCAATCTTATGACTTGCTTCGACACCTCTCTCTTTCGCCGTTACCGCCTCTTTATAGTGGCTTCTCCGTAGGGCTTCCTCGCTTAATGCCAAACACTCATACACAGCTGTTCTTTGTACCAAACAAAAGAAAAAGAAAGGGCCACCGTGTGCAAGCCGACAATACTACCGATTTGCTGTCATTAACAGACCGTTGCAGACTCCAGATTTGTAGTATTCGGCTGTAACAATAAGTGGTCCAAAAAGAAGCTGCTCTTTAACTCTACTCCGATTAACTTGACTAGAGTTTGAACCATGAGTAAGCCTTGTTGGCATATTCAAATGTTGCTTGTTCATCACGATAACAGTCTTCACAAATCTCCACCTGTTAACATGATGAACAGATTCCACAACAATACCCACACGAGTTTAGAGAGAGATCACATACCTTGCAAACTAGTTACAGGATTCCAGACTCGGATTATCTGAGTTTTATTACTCAGAAGTGACTTGGAGCAGCTTCAATGCAGCTTGAAATTTGCTCACTGCCAAAACCTTAGTGAAAATGTCTGCAGGATTCTTTTCAGTCGATATCTTCACTACCTCTACCTTTCCATCCGCAATAACCTCACGAATGTAGTGATACTTCACATCAATGTGCTTTGTTCTCTCATGATGGACATTGTTCTTTGAGAGAGCAATAGCACTCTGTGAATCACAGTGTACTTCAACACTTCTTTGTTCATACCCAAAATCCTTCAACAAACCTTTCAACCAAACAGCTTCCTTGACTGCTTCAGTAAGTGCCATGTACTCTGATTCGGTGGTTGAAAGAGCAACAACACGCTGCAATCCTGACTTCCAGCTTATGGTGTTGCCTCCTAGAGTAAACACCAGCCCCGTAATAGATCTTCTCTTATCTGGATCAGCAGCGTAATCAGCATCACAGTATCCCACGATCTTGAACTCTGAGCTTTTCTTGTAGCATAATCTCGTTTTAAGAGACCCTTTGATGTATCTCAATACCCATTTTACTCCTAGCCAATGTTCACTGATCGGCTGGCTCATATAGCGGCTGATAATACCCATTGCATATGCTAGATCAGGTCGAGTTCCCACCATTGCATACATGACGCTTCCGACTGCATTTGAGTATGGAATGCTTTTCATAACATCAGCATCTCTCGCTAAACTTTCTTCAGTTGCTGCACACATCTTCAGGTGAGCTCCAAGTGGTGTCACTGTATGTTTAGCTTCGCTCATGTTGTAGGTCTCCAGAACTTTCTCTAAATATCCTTCCTGAGACAGCCAAAGAGACCCTGCAGCTCTATCTCTCGTGATTTCCATTCCTAAAATCTTCCTTGCAGCCCCGAGATCTTTCATCTCGAACTTTACACTCAGCTCCTTCTTAAGTTGCGTGATTGCTTCCATATCATTAGCAGCAACAAGCATATCATCCACATACAGAAGTAAGTACATCATTGAGCCATTCGACAACACCTTAGTGTAGGCACAACTGTCATAATCGCTTCTTACAAAACCGATCTCAGCCATATAGTTGTCAAACTTTTCATTCCACTGTCTTGGAGCTTGTTTAAGACCATATAAAGCTTTGTTGAGAAGACATACCTCATTCTCTTTAAACATGGATTCATACCCTTCAGGTGGTGTCATGTAGATCTTCTCTGTTAACTCTCCATGGAGGAAAGCCGTTTTCACATCTAACTGTTCCAACTCTAGATCTTCTTGAGCAACTATAGTGAGTAGAATCCGGATTGAAACATGCTTTACTACTGGAGCAAAGATCTCATGATAATCTATCCCTTCTCTCTGTGCATAACCCTTGGCGACAAGCCTAGCTTTGAACCTTGGTTCTTCCACCCCTGGAATTCCCAGCTTATACTTGTATATCCAGCGGCTCCCAATGATTCTCTGCTTTTCTGGTTTAGTCACTGTAGTCCAGGAGTGATTCTTCATTTGAGAACTTATCTCCTCGTCCATAGCACTACTCCAATTATCCCAGTTTGAATCCATTCTTGCTTCTTTGTAGTCTGCAGGCTCGATAGTATCTCCATCTTCTGTTGTACAGAGAGCTTCTGCGTAATATTCTTCATCAGCAAAACGTTTTGGAGCTTTGTGTATTCTTCTTGGTCTGTCTCTACCAATGTGATAGCTTCTTGGTGATCGAATTACTTCAACTCCAGCATCACTTTCAGTTTCTTCTCCCAAGCGTGTAGAAGAGCTTTGACTAGCAGGAATTGGTGTAGAGGGTGCATCGTCTTGATCTCCACCCGAAGAGATATCCATATCTGCTTCAATGTCAAGCTCCATATATGACCCGACATGGTCCTCTTCTTCTGTGACGATATCTTTACCTTTCTGCAGTAGATCCTTGTAAACTGCATTTTCTTGAAAGATAACATTCCTGCTCACTACACACCTCTTCTCTTCTGTTAGCCAAATCTTGTACCCCTTTACCCCACTTGGATATCCAATCAGAACCCCTTTCTTAGCTCTTGGATTCAGCTTGCCATCGTCTGTATGGACAAAGGCAACACAACCAAATCTCCTTAAATAACTGTAATTTGGAGATTTACCATACCATTTCTTGTCAGGTATCTCAAAATTTAGAGCCGCTGAAGGTGTTTTGTTGATCAATGTCACTGCTGTATGCGTTGCCTCTGCCCAGAACTTCTTAGGAAGTCCTGAATCGCTGAGCATACTTCTGACTTTTTCCATGATCGTGCGGTTCATCCTCTCAGCAACACCGTTCTGCTGTGGGGTGTAAGCACATGTCCGATGTCTTTGAATCCCTCTTTCTCCGCAGAACTCATCAAAACTTCTATTGCAGAACTCAAGACCGTTGTCTGTCCTCAACGTTTTGACTTTACTTTCACTGAGATTCTCCACCAGACTTATCCATTCCACGAATCTGTCAAATGCTTCATCTTTGGTTTTGAGAAAATACACCCATACCTTGCGAGTGTAGTCATCGATGAAGGAGATGAAGTACTGACATCTCTCAAGTGATAATGGTACTGAAGGTGCTCCCCATAGGTCTGAGTGGACATATTCTAGCTTCTGTGTTGTATCGTGTTGAGCAAGTGTGAATCCGACTCGCTTTGCTCTTCCAAACACACAGTCTTCACATAGATCGAATGTTGAGACTTTCTTCTTGTCCAAAAGACCTTTCTGCAGCAGTATCTTCATGTTCTTCTGGCTCATGTGACATAGTCTTCTATGCCAGAGAACAGTATCATCTTGTCTTGCTACAACAGCATGTGACTCCTCAATTGCAGCACTCCACTTAAGCAAGTAAAGTGTCTCATACCTTCTTCCAGTGAGCAAAACTCTGTCCCCAGCTTTAATGCTTAGAGTACCATTTTCAGATTCAAATTTGTACCCCGCTTTCTCAAAAGTTCCCAAAGATAAGAGATTTCTGTCCATTTCAGGGATGTACCTCACGTTGGTTAGCAATACAGTCAAGCCATCTTCATTCTTGATTCTGATGCTGCCCACTCCTTTTACCTTCGATACTGTCTTGTTTCCCATTCTGACAGAACCTCCTGCATCCTCATCCAAGTCCTCGAACCACTCTTTCTTGTATGTCATGTGATAGCTGCAACCAGTATCCATGATCCACTCATCTTCTAGATGAATCTCTGTTGATGACAGAGCCTCTGAAACATATAACCCAGCCGCTTCAGCTAAGTTTCCTTTTCCATTTGAGGTTTCCCCTCTACTGTTTCCACCATCCCGTGGTTTATACTGAGCTTTGTTCTTGTTGGGACAGGTATTCTTGAAGTGGCCTTTTTCTCCACACGTCCAACAGCCCTTCTTGCTCTTAGACTTAGAACGTGACTTGTTACCTTTCTTTCCCTTCTCACGTTGCTCGCTTCTTCCTCTTTCATTCTTTCCTTTTGCATAAAGAGCTTCTGCTTGCACTTTAATACTCTTCTTACTTGAACCAAGTTCCAATTCCTTTGAGTATATAGCAGTAACAACCTCGTCCAGCGTCAGAACCGTTCTTCCTGACCCATATCTTAAGGTGTCTTTAAACTGATCGAATGGCTTGGGGAGAGACATTAGTAAGAGAATCGCTTGATCCTCATCTGAGACAATAACTTCCATGTTTTCTAGATCTTCTACAATCAATAGAAACTCATCGATATTGCCTTCTACAGACATGTTCTCAGACATCTTGAAGCCGTATAGCTTCTGCTTCAGATAGATCCGGTTTGGGAGAGCCTTAGACATGTAAAGCTGATCTAGAGCTTTTAACATTTCGACTGCAGTCTTCGCCTTTTTCACTTTCCTCAACACCCTATCTGTAAGACTTAAAACGATGATGCTCCTTGCTCTTTTCATCTTCTCTTTATATGCTTCAATCTGTTCATCAACCACAAGCTTTTCAAGATCTGAGCTGGCTTTAGACTTATCGAAAGTTGGCTCCTTGAAAACAACACTTAAACCCAAAATATCCAGCTGAGCTTCCAGCTTCTCTTTCCACATCGTATAATCTCCCTGACCATCAAACTTATCCATTTCAACCCTCGTTGTAGTCATGGCTCTTGTTTGTGAAAGCTACGAGCCACAAGCCGTAACCTGGCTCTGATACCAAGCTGTTAAGTCTGCGGACCCTTAAGACGTCGACTTTCTTCAAGGAGGCGACAAAACAAGCACAAGTTCGAGTGAGATGGACTGAGTATTCCCTGGACTTGTTCTGAGAAACAGAGGATGAGGAACAGAGTATTTGAGACAAAGACAGAAGAAACAGGGTATCGAGAGAGAAATAAAAAAGGGGGGGGCACTCAGAGAATTTTACGAGTTCACTCCCTTGCGGGTAGCTACGTCTCGCCGAGTCCTAGACTCGGAATCCACTAGTTTATAAGAGAGAATACAACAGTAGGAGTTACAAGCGATCCACCCTAATGCCCTTCACTAGCACTTAGAGCACACTTCGTAACACCTATGTAACAAGAAGAAAACGATACAAGTTTATACTTTAAAGCTTTCTCTTTTCTCTCTACTCTCAAGCAATCTTATGACTTGCTTCGACACCTCTCTCTTTCGCCGTTACCGCCTCTTTATAGTGGCTTCTCCGTAGGGCTTCCTCGCTTAATGCCAAACACTCATACACAGCTGTTCTTTGTACCAAACAAAAGAAAAAGAAAGGGCCACCGTGTGCAAGCCGACAATACTACCGATTTGCTGTCATTAACAGACCGTTGCAGACTCCAGATTTGTAGTATTCGGCTGTAACAATAAGTGGTCCAAAAAGAAGCTGCTCTTTAACTCTACTCCGATTAACTTGACTAGAGTTTGAACCATGAGTAAGCCTTGTTGGCATATTCAAATGTTACTTGTTCATCACGATAACAGTCTTCACAATGCTTACGTTGGGTCCATGTATTACTACACCAATGACTTTGATTTGTGTCGGAAAGAGCAAGAAGCGTTCGAGAAAGCCTGTCTGTTGAAATGAGTTTCGACAAAAGTCAAGTTTATTGCCTCCTAATAAGCAAAAAAAAAACCTATTTTGAATTTTGAGCTTTACTCTAATTAACTGCTCTTCCGTTACCTAAAAAAAAAATCGTGTTTTAAGATCAGCCAACCATTAAAACCATGCCATGTTACTTAATTATCTTCAAGAAGATGTATATGCATTAATAATACACATAATTTTATGAATGTCTTGCGAGTTGCAACATACACTTTGAGAAAGTAAGACGCATCTTTCTCTACCAAGAACGGGCGTATCAATCTGCGTTTCAGGAGATCAAAACAAACTAATTACCATAAAAAAATCTTGATTACTACCCAACCTAAACTCAGAAGCATGCATTAGCTAATAAGCTTTACAATAATTCAAAAATCCTACCTTTTGCTTTTGGAGTTGGCCTGCAAAGGATGCCATGATATTTCCTTTCCATACACTTCCTCTCCACTTTAGCTTGGAACTCTATAAGATCTCCACTCGAAACCTCTCTAGCCATAAACGTGATGTACCACTTCAATCCATTCACCCTACACAGATTAGCCCTCACAATGTGTTCTAATGTCGCATTGCATTCCTACACACAAACAAACGTATATATTATATATTTATATATATATATATATTGTTATTATTGGCAACTTTAATGTCCCATACGTATGTATATTATATAACTTAACCAACCTTGATCTCGTTGTATTTATCGAGAGCCACATCTACCATGTTTTCCATGTGCTTACAATCTGTAAGTCCAATATGCTTTAACTCTTTATCAAGATCAAAAAGCGAAAAGAAGAGAAATTTTCCAGGGTAGCCTTCTCCATCTCCATCAAAACCCACAAAAGGTTTACCATATACATCCTCAAACTTTGGCCCTAACTTTTTTTTTTTTTTTTTGTCAAACAAGTGTTAATTTATAATTTAGACATTCAAAACTGAAAAACCAATCACCACAAGGAATCTAAAGTTAAACGTAACAGCTGGAAAATGTGGAAAAGACGTCAAAAATGAGGTTAATAAGTCAATACATGTAGCACATGGGCCCTGAATTAAACAACCTAAACACAAACTCTAAAAAAATCAATGAAAGATGGGAACCAACTTACCAGCATGACATGAAACCATGTATCTATCTAACATAAACGCAGGAACATAATGGTATATTGGATCAATCATTTGTGATGGGTTTTCTTTTTATTTCCAAATCCCCTCTTATTGAATCTTATTTGAAAAAATTATTTAAAATCCAAGGTTATTGGGTTAGTCTATTTATACAAATTCATTAAAATTTTGCTTAATTGGAAAATTGGTATTTCATTAATGAATTATATCAAAAAATGGTTTGAGATGATTTGAGAGATAATTTAAAGTTAAAAACTATTAGATTAAATTACCACCTTATATGATGATATATTTGAGATAATTTAGAAGTCAAAATTTGTTTAAGACATTTTAAAACTTTAAATTCATTAAAATCTTTCTTACATTTCGCTAATCAAATATGTTCCCTAAAGCATTGAATAGAGTAGTAACTAGTACCTTTATATCCGGAGGTTGACGATTCTCCTCGGAGATCCAATTACCTTCTGCGTTGGAATCCATCTCTGCATATGTAAACCCTAGATCCTACCAGAATCGAGGATCATCTAGGACGATTTAAACTTTTTTTTATGAAAAGAAATGATCCGAAAATGTAAGAGCTCTGCGCATAATTTTACCTACAACCTACAAGTAAAGACAGAAAACGAGCACACTCTAAACCCTTCAAAATAGAGAGTCCATTAAATATAAGAACAATCTAACTGATTCAGTAACAAGAGTTAAGAGGCGTTCATCAACGAAATACAACGATTCATCAGCAACAAGAAGATGAGAAAGCGAAGCTCAGTATCAAGAAAAAGAAAAGAAAACTTAATGGTACAGAGAAGAAAAAAAAAAGGAGAATTTAAACACATTCTTTAACAAGCTTTACAGCTACGCCTGCAATTTCCAGGGAGCTCTGTAGTTCCCACCATATATTCAGGGTTCTTTGCGCATTCCCCAAGCACTGCCCATCTCTCACAGCTCTCGTTTATATCCGCACAGCTACCGTCATGTGTCACAATCTTATCGAACGAGTCCACGTGGATCCACTTTGTTGCTGACCACTTCTCTCCTTCAATCACAGGACAGCCTCCGTGAAGGCTCAATGGATCTGGGATTGCGTCTTGGTGGAGGTTGAAGAACAAGAGTGCATTTCCTTTCTTCGGTTTCACTATGAACATCAGCCCCATACAAATCGTAAAAAACATCAAACAGTTCCTAGAGATAACAAGAGTTCTACAGGAAAAGAAGCTAACCAGCAATTCCTTTCTTTGCACAATCAGAAAGGTCGTCTTTGTTTTCAGAAAGCTGGCGGCGAGAAGATTCCTGTGCAGAAACTTTCGTCAGAGAGAGAGAGTAGTGGAAAAGGATATGATGTATTTGTACGGAACCAATGTGTATAGATGCAAATACAAACCGGTGCATCAGGGAAGACAGTTTCTCCACCCTTTGTGACATTGGATAGATACATGAGAACCGTCGCTATGCGGTGTCCACCACGGGCGATGTTGACTTTGTCGTGGAAGTAGTCAAAGTGAGCGTCGTATTTCTGACCGTGCTCATATCTCAGCACCTGAAGATCTTCCCCGTTTTCTGTCACCATAGAAGTGTAAAGGACTAGTTAGAAACAATAACATCTTTCAAGAAACTCGACAAGAGCTGAGGTTCCTTGTTACTTGATTTTCTGAAACAAATTACAGAATGTCTTGTTACCTTTTGGGAGGAATGTCCATGTGGAGAGCTTGTCCTCTATACCGGAAACAATAGGATCCTGTGATTAAGCAAAGAAAGCTTTACATTAAGCAAGTAGCAAACCCATCATCCATGATTGATCACCTTAGCTACGCACAAGTACTTTTGTTGACAAATCTAAACTGTTTTGGATCACTCGACCAAGATCCGGAAGGGTCAACGTCAATTTTGTTTAGAAAGATTCATAAACATGATCAGGATAACTCAAAAATCTGATCAACAATCCAATATGCGTGTGAACTCTTGGATTGGATGAGGGATCTATTTCATCAGAAATTCGAGATTTTTTTTCACTTATCAGATCCGTTACTATCAGGATCCACATCTGAGATTCAGAGCTCTTTTAGTGAATTTTCATATATTCGATTCATGACCAGTGTCAATCGAAGGAATTCAGTGAAGATCTGTTGTAACCAAGTTTATCGGCGAAGCAGAGAAATGGAAGCGAAACGGGAAGAAATTTCACCTTTCCTTTTGAGATAAACGTGCCGGAGCTGGTACGAACGTCACTGACTTGACTCTCGCCATTATTGTTATCAGCAACCGCAGATCTCTGCAGATTCTCTTTCGCCTTTTTCGAAAAACCAAAGTCAGAGACTGAAATTAGCAACATTCAAGGGGGGAAACATTCCAAATTAAGCTCAAATGGAACAATTTGCACTCACAAGGGAGATCAGATGATCACATTCCAGGTCCGTCAGAAAACCTTCATACACAAATGCCCTGAAGAAACAACACCGAGTAGATTTCCGATTCAGCAGCCGATACACAAAGTTGAAGCTCAAAGTTCCCAATTTTACTTGAGGATTTCGAGTCAGTTCTCACTAATTGAATCAGAAAATAGACTGTGAGAGAGAGAGAGAGAAGAAAATCGAACCTGGGCTTTGAAGAAACCTGTTTGACTTTAGAAGGGTTGATGATAGAACTGGGGGAACTAATCAAAGAAGTTGAAGACTGAAGCGAGACGAGGAAGGCGACGACGGACAACAACAACCCCCGGCGAGACATTGCGCTCGCTTGGATCCAGAAAAACGTAGTGGGATCGAAAACTGGGAAAAATAAAAGAGGGAAATTTTTATTTCTCTTCTCCGGAAAATGTCAACGGTCATGAAAAGTTGATGCTCTACCTAAGAAGATGGCGACGACATGCGCACGTCGTTTTGCAATCCGGTTCTTCTTCCAAAGGAACGTTCATGATAAATATTTCTTGGGCTGCTTTACCATTTTCCATGGCAAAGCCCAATAAATAAAGAGTCGAAGGATTTGATAGAGAAAAGCCCAATGTAAGCCCAATATAAAATATCCTGCGAAACCAAACGGCGTCGTATATCTGAAAAGTGAAATAATCCTCGCCGAGAAGCCGCCTCGACGGTGAGGCGTTGTTGAGCTAAACAGAAAACTCAATTTGGGTTGGTTTTTGATTTTAGCCGGCGACGAATGTGAATGGAAGTTTAAATAAAGAAGAAGAGAAGCAGTGGAAACAAAGACTATTAAAGAAAATTTGAAAAGAGATGGCGTTTACGCCTTTCGGAAAAAATAAAGGGCCGGCGATGAGCTCCAAGCCATCGCCGTTTACAACGTTCGGCACTTCTGCTCCTACGCATCCCACCAGGTGTGCCTCTCGATTCTGTTGATTTTCTCTGATGGATGTATGTACATATCTATGCCATAATCCTACTTCCATTCCACTTTTTTTGGAGGTTCTTAGATTGCTTTCACGCTATGGATCTATATGTACGTTCTAGAATTTTGTCCTGATTCTATTCAAGCGTTTACGATCACGCGGAGGTGAAAAGTATCACTTAGGCAGCTCTAGGATTCGGGGTTTTTAAAAGCTCATTTGATAATTGCGAGTGTAATTTGTGAGGTTTCTCAGGTTTTCTTTAGATTTCTAACTCTGCGAACTGGGGATTTGCTTGTAGTGATCCTCCGATTCAACCACCGGCGTCTCAAAACCATTCAGCCTACGCAGGACAACCTTTTGGACCAGGTGGAATTCAAAGGTGAGAGAAACCTAGCTCTACAGCTTGTTTGTGAGCGCTCTTTAGGACGAGCTGTTTTGCTACTTCTTGTGCTAGGGTTGTTAACTTTCTATGCCCTTCATAATCTAACCTGCATATGCAACGTTTGCTCGTAGTGGTCCTCCAAATCATCGACCACCGTCTCCTTTGGCTTCTCAGAACCCTCCACCTTTTATAGGGAAACCTTACCAACCAGGTGGGGTTCAAAGGTTAGACATTCTTAATTGTATGGGTTGATCTTCTTTTTTTGTGTGTGTTAAAGTTCTGCTTGAATCTTATGACTGTTGCACAAATTTTGATGCTGAGAACAATTTAACTATTTGTATTTCAGGAGCCCAGGACCTGTCAATGGGATACCATTGGGTGGTTCAGAAGCTTTTCCACGTCCAAGCCCCTCTGTGAGACCTTACCAGTTTCCTGGAGTTCAGAGGTAAAAGTCTACATGTGATATTTTTCGCAGAGAAGAGTGTCGTATTCGACAGCTTGGCAGCAGTGTTAATCACACAACTCGATGCTGTCAGTTTTCTGCAATAGAAAATATAGTACTAGGGAGAGAGCACCGCGTGGCGGAGTGCTATAGAATTCTCTGCCCATCTGAATGCTTAATACATAATGGTGTTCTATGGCAATTGCTTTGAAACTCCAAAGAGAACCACTGTCAGCGGGTTTTGCTTATAGAATTTAGCAACAAGCTGCTGGATTGTTCTTTACGTGTTACCTGAATTTCACCTGCTTCATTTTTCCATGCAGGCCTACTTTAAATCCTCAATTTGGGCATGATGAATCAAGGAATTTCTTGAAGGATGATGTTGAACATAGTCTAGCCACGTCTCCAGCTAGTACATCACACACTCTTTCCAGAAGTGGACCTGATGCTGTTGAGATTGGTCGATCACAAGATTCAAAAAGGAAAAGGTCCTTTATGCCATTTCCTTTACATGATAATCATTCTGCAATAATCACTCTGTCTGTTCTGTAGAACTGTCTTATCCTTGGTTTTCTTAACACTTTTCCGTCATGGTTTTTGATGTAACTAAATTAAATCTGAAAGATCCTCACTTTTTGTTGCAGTCGGTCCGATCTTCTTCCCAATCGGAGTTTGGGGTTTTCCCGAAGAAATCAATCGCCTGTATCATGTTTCGAGGATGGCAGCTTGGTAGATGATTTCCAGCAGCCTTCTAGCCAAACTTGGATGTAAGCTTTTTTATCTTCTTGCCAGTGTCATAAATGTTTTGGTCTCCACCTCTCTTTTCCGCTGGTGGTTAAAATGAAATAAGCTCATATGTGTTGAGCCTTGCATGTGTCTTTTCCTCCTTGATTTTTATACTGATTATTAGTTTGTCGTCTCACTGACTTTTGAAACTTGCGTCCTGGAACTTTTTTTCTCATGATTTTGTAGGCGCTCTCCATCTTCTACGGAGAATAATCCGGTGGGGTTGAGGAGCAACCTAAATCGGTTGATTCATCAAGAACAAACCCCGAGCCCTTCATTTCCTTATGCACATGAGGCAGTCGAAATTCAGGAAGCTACAAAAAAGTCTTCTGATAAACCTATCCGTGACGACCTCGTGTTTCCTCAACATGATTCTCGAAGGTAGACAGCATGAAACTCACCATATTTTGTAAACTTACTATTTTCTTTCCGTCCTCCCCATGTCCTACGTGTACTTATGAACGGCAGGGGAAATCACGATTTAGGATAGAGTTACAATCCTAATAAACTTTATCCGTAGCAAATCGGAGTATAAGCGTATTTACCTTAAAATTTATACTGTTTTGATGGAAATTTTCCTGCTACCAGCCTGTGAAGTCATGCTTACTTCTGCAACAATTCTGTATCTTAGTTAAGTGTGCTGTTCGTATGGTAGGTTTTCGACATCTCCTCCTGCGTCTGGCACAAAGTCATTTTTGCTTTCAAGAAGCTCAGATTCTCAATTTCCTGGGCAGCCCTCCTCTGTAAATAATTTCAATAATGCGGCAAAGACAAGCAATTCGCCTGCAACAAAAAGGACAAGATCTCCACCTTTATATCCAGCGGAAGAGGATATCCAGGGAAACTCTTTTCCTTCTCAAGATTGTACTGAAGGGTAGATTAAACCACACAGTAGTGACTCTTTATTTTCATATGTGGACCAGTTCTTAAGTTTTCTGAACTCTATGCATTTTTTACAGAGAAGAGCAAGCCAGGGCAAAGAGACTGGCCCGCTTCAAGGGTGAACTGGAGCCCATTGCAGCCAAACCTGTTGATACTCAACTTACTAAATCATCTGTAAATAAAGCTGTGAAGCCTCTGGACAACAAACAAACATTCAATTCACTGGAATCAAGTAGGGATGCCCTTAAGGGAGATGCCTTGTCTGATTATGAAAGCTCGGAGCAGCCCTCTCTCATCGTTGGATTATGCCCTGACATGTGTCCTGGTAAGCATAAGCCTGAGACATGCTTATTGAACAACAATTGAGTGTATAGTCTTTTGTTTATTTGATCTGATTAAAAAATGAATTGAGTTGCGGACATTATTGATTTTTCCCATAACTTATGTTTAGCTCGAGTGAGTACTGTGATTGTAGAGCAAATATATTGACGGATTCTCTATTTATCTCCCCAGAGTCAGAACGGGGGGATCGTGAAAGGAAGGGTGACTTGGACCATTATGAGCGTGTGGATGGAGATAGAAACCAAACGAGCAAATCCCTTGCTGTGAAAAAAGTAAGATTACGTTTTTCATATCAATTAAGCGTCAGATTCTTTCTCAGTTGACATATATACTAGACTATCTGTTCACTGTGATGACACTGATATATCTCTGCCTTTGAATAGTATACCAGGACGGCGGAGCGAGAAGCAATCTTGATACGACCAATGCCAATCCTGCAGAATACAATGGAATATTTGCTGAGTTTGCTAGACCGGCCTTACAATGAAAACTTTCTTGGCATGTACAATTTCTTATGGGATAGGATGAGAGCTATTCGAATGGATCTAAGAATGCAACATATTTTCAACCGAGAAGCTATTACTTTGCTGGAGCAAATGGTTTGTGTTTTCTGATCTTACATAATTTCTATGAAATACAATGATAAGCATTATTCTGTTTCGGATGTGTGTTCCGTACTATGGATGATTTGATTTCCTTGTTACAGATAAGACTTCACATCATTGCAATGCATGAATTATGTGAATATACCAAAGGAGAGGGCTTTTCGGAGGGATTTGATGCACATTTGAATATTGAGCAGATGAACAAGACATCTGTTGAGTTGTTTCATATGTATGATGATCACAGGAAGAAAGGAATAGCTATTCCTACAGAAAAAGAGTTCCGTGGCTACTATGCTCTTCTCAAACTTGATAAGCATCCTGGCTATAATGTGAGTCCTTCTGGGTAAAATTTGCAGGTCAGATTTCGTGCTAAGTTCTTAACCGTATAATTATTTTTCCTGGTTAGGTTGAACCTTCAGAACTTTCTCTTGATCTTGCAAACATGACTCCAGAAATAAGGCAAACTTCAGAAGTTCTCTTTGCCCGCAATGTAGCCAGGTTGTTCCTTGAATTTTTATTTGACTGTTAGTTTGGTACCTTGATCTAAATATTGAAACCAGTCGTGCAATAACAGAGCTTGCAGAACTGGCAACTTTATCGCCTTCTTTCGCCTCGCACGAAAAGCAAGCTATCTTCAAGCATGTCTAATGCATGCTCATTTTTCGAAGGTAAGGGCTTATTTGTGGTGTAGGTTTAAAAGCTATAATTCTTACTATATTGGTGTGTGGTTATTTCACCGAGATCTAAGCTTTATTCTATTTCATCAGCTAAGAACCCAGGCACTTGCTTGTCTGCACTCTGGTCTCCAAAATAATCAGGGTCTCCCAGTTTCAGATACGTCAAAGTGGTTAGGGATGGAGGTAATTTTTCCATCGCTTTGTTACTTGGTGTATCCCTTTCTTAGCCTGTCACAGAAATTGCTAGAGGTCTTAAATTTTTCTTCCTGTGATGGAAATCAGGAAGAGGACATAGAAGCCTTGTTGGAGTACCATGGATTTTCAATAAAGGTGTTTGAAGAGCCATACATGGTGAAAGATGACCTATTTCTCAATGCTGACAAGGATTATAAAACAAAGTGCTCAAAACTTGTTCATATGAAGAAGTCAAGTACCATAGTGGAAGATGTTTCTGCTCCCTCTCCGTTGTCATCCTTGCGGACAGAAGCAAATAACGGATATCAACCGCATATTACCGTTCATAAACAGGAAAGTCCGCCTGCTAAAAGTCTTAAGAAACAAACATCAATGCGTCTATTTGATAAAGAGATGGCCGACTCCAAGGCTTCCCTCTTACCGGAGGAGGACAAGCCAGTGAGGACATCTGTTATAAATCCAGTGTGGCCATCTGTTATAAGCCCAGCCGTGGATCAACAGAAACAAAATGACCTTACGCCGGCAAGTGGATTTCATTCTCCCCTGAAATTATATTCTCCTTTTGGTTCTCCTGGATTTTCTCAAGCTGAATCCTCTAATTTGAAGAAACAACCTAATGACGGCCACACTAGTATATCTCCCCGGGAAGTTAAATTTCCATTTGGTGGACATTTGCAAACGAATCTTTTGCCTGGACCAACTTTGCAACAAAGCCCGAAGTCTATGCCATTGGAGAGTGTGCCTGTAACTACCATTGCAGAGCCTCCAACGAGTGCAGACAACATATCTACTATGGAAGAGTCAGGGTCTGAAGTTGCAATGATTAGTACCATGGAGAATGACTTACATGACATTGAACAGGAAGACGAGGATGGGACAAATCAGTATGACGAGGAAGTGGCAAAGGCAAAACTCAAGTTGATCATAAGGTCTACCAGCTCCTCATGCAAGTTGATAATTTAGTTTTAGGTTGTTTGCTAAACTTTTCTTTTCTAATCTTCGCAGATTATGGAAGCGGTGGTCTTCACGTCAAAGTGAATTGCGGGAGCGTCGACAGTTAGCTGCAGCTGCTGCACTGAATTCACTAACCTTGGGTACTCCTATCCGATTAGGAAAATCTGATGTAAGTTTCAGTTTTCTTCCCCATAACATGTGCTGATCATTGGTCTTTTTTGTCAACGAAGCAATACAAGTCTTTAAAGGCATGTATATATGAGGTTGGTAGTCTAAAATCGGTTTCTCTTCATTTACAGCAATCGAGGGCATGTGGTGAGTTTAACATTGATCAGGCCATGAGGAGGAGATTTGAAGAACACGAAAAATCATGGTCAAGGCTGAACATTTCAGATGTGGTAGCTGATATACTAGTGGGAAGGAATCCAGACTCTAATTGCATATGCTGGAAGGTCATCGTATGTACTCAGATTAAACCAGCAAACACATCAAGTCAGGATACACATTCAGCAGCCAGTCGATGGTTATTATCAAAGCTTATCCCTCACGCAGAACATAGTGTCTCCGATGAGAATCTGCTGTTTTCAGCTCCCGGTGTGTCGGTATGGAACAAATGGGTTTCAAGTGGGCCTGACTCACATTTCAAAGGCTGTCTCTCAGTAGCGAGAGATGTGGAAGCTGATAATGATCTGCGTGAAACAACACGTGGTGCAAGTGCAGTTCTTTTCCTCGCATCTAAAGGCCTCCCTTGGAGTCTCCAGAGGGAACAGCTTAACCGCATTCTTGAATCAGTACCTAACGGCTCACTCCTTCCCCTTCTCGTAGTAATCAGCTCATGCAATGGGGAAAGCATGGATCCTGAGACCAATCTGGTCACCGAGCTAGGTCTCGATAATATCGACAAATCAAAGATAGCAAGCTTCACCATCGTTTCTATTGCTAATAAGTCCCAGAAGGGACAGGAAGTTCATTTTTTCAGCGATTCACGGCTAAGGGATGGGCTTAAATGGCTCGCGGGCAATTCACCGCTGCAACCAAATCTTCTTCATGTTAAACCGCGGGAACTTGTACTGACCCATTTCAGTTTTTCACTGGAGTTGCTTAAGCAGATGCCAGAACAGGAAGTTGGTCCGAACATCTGCATATCAGCCTTCAACGACGCATTGGAAACATCACAAAGAAACATCACTTCTGCTGCTGCAGCAAATCCGATTGGTTGGCCTGCCCCTGAGACAATGTTGGTCGAGGATAGAATTAAAGAACGTTTAATGGTGAAGGGGTATCTACCCAGCCTGGACTGGAGCAGTGCGGACACCATCGAACCACTCAACTCCATGCTCGAGAACTGTAAGCTTCCGTATTTTGAAGATGATTTGACATGGTTAACCCTAGGATGTTCTTCTGGTACTGAGATAGAGAACCTTACGCAACGGCTCGAGGGGTGCTTAGTTGAGTACTTAACACAGACAAGCAATCTTATGGGAGTCTCATTAGCCACCAAAGAAACACGAGTGATGCTACAAAGAAACACTAGACTCGAACTCCGTAACTCAAGCTACTACCATATCATCCCGAGATGGATCGGGATCTTCCAGAGAATCTACAACTGGCGGATAATGGGCTTGCTCGATTCGTCGTCTTCCTCAGCTTACGTACTGAAGTCCGATCTCACCATGTCTGCTTCAAGCTATGCCGATAAATTCTTGTCTGAAGATGCATCAAATCCATCTTGTCGTCCAAATCTTCCATTGCTTGATGAAATGATCCAAATTAGCTGCAGCCCTTTAAAGTCGTCTTCTCCATGTAATCACAAAGCTCAGAGAATAGTCGAATCGGTTGAGACAGAAAGGTTCATCGATGATCATAGAGACAGAGATGAGTCGCTGTTGGAAAAGAGTAGAGAAGCTTCTATAAAGATTGATATGATGATAACTGAGGATGACGAGGTAGCTGATGAAACCGAGAGATCATGGAGGAGTAAAGGAAAAGAAGCGGCGGAGAAGAAGACGATGAAGGATCGAGAGAGTGAGAGGTTAGATGAACTGTTGGAGAAATGTAACTTGGTACAGAATAGCATAGCCGAGAAGCTCTGTATTTACTTTTAATCTTTTTCATTCCTTTTTGTGAATGTTATTGTTGTTGCATGTCAGTTACAAGACTGCTGTTCCGATTAAAAACCCATCCACCAGCATAAAATTAACTTTGAAAGAACAACAAAGAAGAAGAGAAACCTTCTCTTGTAAAACTTATCTTTTCAATAAACAATTAACACAATCTTGGCTGACTTTTTTTTCTGTGTTTTAGGAAAAAGGGCAAATAAAAGAAGAATGCTTTGTGTTATATAAAAATCATTAACAAACAAAAGTTGCCGGCCATCTAACTTAGTTTACCATTCCCCTTAATTAAGCAAATTTAAAAAAAGGATAAACTCATTTCAACTTTTCACGTTCAAAGGGAAAGAGCTTTGTCAATGTCGATCAATATTAAATTGAAAGCAGAGATCTTTGAATCTAAGGAAAGCTTCACTACGCGTCATCGTTTACTAAAGAGTCCTTCTATTTGGGCTTTACCACACTCGTCAAATATGTGACTTGCGATGTTCTCCACCAAACGCATTGTCAGTGCGTGATTTTAACGCGCTAAAACGGCTACTAAAAAATCTCTAATCAGCGCGTGGGTCGCTTATTTCGCAAGCGCGTTTCATTTGTTTCAAAGATAGTATAAAACATTAAAAAAACTTGCTAATTCGGCAGAGCTTCTTCTCTGCAACAAAGCAACGTTTTGGAGCAAATAACGTAGTAAACACATGTTTTAGTTTGGTATAAAGAAGCTCATACACGAAAGCGAGAGAGAGAGAGAGCATTACTTTTTTTTTACTTGCTATATAGATGAAACTGGGACATAAAGAGTACATAAACAAACAAAGGGGCAAATAGGGATATGAATCATTCAACATTACACAGGTTTTTTATCTGTACAATGATAATTGTGATATCATCTGTCCTATTCTCATGCTCCAACCATAGTTTGTATGATTCCGCTGCAGCTGCTGCGCATCCATCGCGCGGATCTGCGTATCTCCCCACCTGCAAACACACACACACACACACACACACACACATTTCTCTCAAATCACATGATCCTTTCTACAAGATAACAAACACATTTGCCATCTTCAAACAAAAAAAAAAAAGAGTACTAGTGTGTGTTTTTTGCCCTTACCATATCAACAACAGCTTGGCTTGGAAGAAACTCGAAAATCCCATCGCTCGCAACAACAAAGAACAAATGGTTGGGCGAAAGATGAACCATCGACACCTCTGGTTCTGCAGTGACTCCAATGCTCTCGGCTGTACAGTCTCCAACACTTCTCGTGAACGCTGTCCCAGGATACATCCCGTTCTGTACCCAAAGTCTAGGCGGGTCTCCTCCTTCGCTCTCTTCGCTTGCCCACGTCTGTATATTCGGATCTTTCAGCCCTTCCACTTGATCCACACTCAGAACTCTCGCCCCACAAGCCTTCACCCTCTCGCATTCATCTTTCCTAAAAGGGGTCTGGTCGTAAGACAAATCCTCCGCTAGAATCCGGTTCCTGTCTTTAACAGCCAGCACCGCCCTCGAGTCCCCTACATTGGCAACATATATCTTATCCCCAACGACAAGGACCGTGATCGCAGTGGTACCGCTCATCGAGTCGTCGATCTCGCTATCGTGTAACTCCTCGTTCACCCTCAGGAAAGCAGACTTGTAAGCCTTCTCTGGATCCTCGAGCAAGGTTGGGTCTTCGGATAACATCTCCACGACCCTCTCCTTGGCGAAGTTGGAGCACTGCGTACCGAAGACGCCGTGGCCGTCGAAGACGCCGAAGAAATGAACGTTTGGGTTGCCTTGGAGCTCGGTCTTGATGCAGTAAGTGTCCTGGTTCTCCTTATCAGGAGAGTCTGGGTAATAGCCTCGTTGAGATAGCACAGAGTAGACCATTTCGAAATTGGGGGAAGGAACCTGGATTGATGATACGAGAGGTTTCTGAACGACGCCGTCTTTGCCCTTGAGCTCCTTGGCGTCTCCATGTCCCCGAGAATCCCCTTCTGATGATGACGATGGATATCGGCTACAGCATTTGCATTGAACACAACCCATCTAATGTTCGATTACGCGCAAAAAAAAAGAAGGTGAAATTCCTCAAAAAAGTCTCTGGGCTCGGCTAGAACAAGCAATATCCAGGAGAAGGAAGGGAAGGGAGTTGGTCAGATTCAACAATGGCGTCCGCAAAAGTGTAGGGTTTTGCAGATGTCATGTTAAACGCAGCAGAATCAGAGAAAGGGGGTTGAAGGAAACGAACAAAGAGAAAGGCGAAATTCACAGCCAAAGCGAGAATCTTTGTTTGCCCAATAACACGGAGAATTATTTGGGAATAATCCGAGAAGAAGAAATCGAGGAAGAGGAAGAACAAAAAAAAAAAGAGAAACTCAAAGGTTAAGAGACGGGAATTCGTTTCTTTTTCTTCTTCTTCTTGTTCGAATTCTTCTTCAACCTCTTCCTTTTCCTTCGTGTCTTCCTCTACCTTTCCCTTAAAGGGTTATTCCGTCAACCCTTTTAAGAGAAAGCGTCAAAATTCGAGAAACCCTAAAAGAGAAACAGAGGAATTTGTTCGAAAGAAAGAAAGAATAAAAGAAGAGAGAGAGAGAGAGATGAAATTGGTCGATCTGACGGATGGAGTACACGGGTGGGTTTGGCCTCTGCACAGCCGCGCACGAATTCCCAAAACAAACAAAAAAAAAATTGAGAAAAAAATCGATGAATATTTCTATTTTCCCGAGAAAATCCATACTTTTCTCGTTTAATTTTGTAACGGGTCGGTATAATGGGTCGGGTATCTCAACAATATTCCCGACCCGATAAAACAAAACATTCACGAAAATATCGTTTCCGTTAAAGAAATGGGCCTACTATATTTATTGGGCCCTCAGATATAAATTTACTTCTTATTGTTCAACGTACTAAACTTAACCAATTCAAAATAAGGATGAATCATCATCTTCATCCAAAAAAACTAAGAAATTGTGGGAGCCAGTTAAATATAGTGGCCCCCACAAGGAGTGACAGCTACGTTTCTTCAGTTTGGTGGATTTGTTTTTCGTTTAGTTAGTTAGTTTACTAAAGAAGTAAGTTGTGTTTAGCTGCCCACTCGCACTTGCACGCGCGAATTTCTAGTCTTAATAAATAAAATACACGACAGAAAAAAATAAATTACAAATGCATTGAATTTCTAGTCTTAAAAGATGGATTGAATTTAACCGGAAACTAGAGAAAACTGTAATATCCAAACCGTTTTTATCCTTATTCATTTTGTATATCCTCGGTGATTTAATATATGTACGTTGTTTTCTGTATATATATGTATTATATGAATAAAACTACACTTAGACCAACTTCAGAATTAAGAAACTTAATATTTTAGCAGGTTGAGTCGATTTCGATTTCAAATATTCTTCTTTGCAGATGGTATTACTTGGTCAAACCAACGTTTAAACTTAGCATGCGTAGTGTTTGGAGCACTTTAGTAATCGAAAGACTTTGAACAGATTTTTGATTTTCTAATGGATTTCCATCCTTTCATTAATGGAATTTTTTTTGATGTAGTGAGTAATAGCTCTGGTTGTAATTTTTAGGTGAATATCTCGGTGGCATGCGTGAATATTGGAGTAGCATACAAATTTCTTGTTGAAATGTGGAGTGAGTATCATAAGATTTCTTAACTAAATGAGATGGTACGTATGACCTTATCACAAGATGGCAACCAAATAAAGAGATGTGAAACATTTAGCTCTATCTTGATAGGATTCACATAAGGGATATATCTGTTTCTTTTCTTTTTCAAGCTACATGAAAACCATGCAAAATACATTTTAGGAGAAAGTTGTTATTCTAATTTTAGTACATTTATCAAAATTTCCAACTAAAAGAAACGACAGCAAAGCAAATGGATCAGCATAGTTTCGTCCTAAATATAAGCAAAACTTTGTTTCCCAAGAAGAAAAGAAAAAAAAAAAAAAAAAAAATAACACCAGTTTCTAAGAATCTAAAGAAGAAGAAACAAAATCTAAAAATCTCCCCTGTTTCATTGGACAAGAGACTTGTCTTGTTCCTATTTGTTAGGAAATTGGATTTTTTTGAGACAAAGATTGTGTGGGAAACAGTCCGAAGTTCAATCTCTTCCTCACATTTCGACTGCTAATAAAACAAGCCTCTCCCCAAATCCTTTATTCTAGCCCATCCCTAACAATGGCTCTATTAACTATTCATCTTTTTAGTTTGTAATAAACCCTTTTTTTTTATAAAAAAAAAAACAAAATAAAAGTAAAAATAAAAATAAAAGAGTTAACCTGAGAATTAGGTTCAGGATGGCCTCAAGGAGCCTCTCGTACACACAACTCCTAGGCCTCCTGTCCTTTATCCTCCTCATGGTCACAAGCACCACAATGGCTGTTCGTGTTGGAGTCATTCTTCATAAGCCCTCTGCTCCAAGTCTTCCTGTGTTCAGAGAAGCCCCTGCTTTCAGAAACGGTGACCAATGCGGGACACGTGAGGCTGACCAGATTCACATCGCCATGACTCTCGACACAAACTACCTCCGTGGAACAATGGCCGCCGTTTTGTCCCTCCTCCAACATTCCACCTGCCCTGAAAACCTCTCTTTTCATTTCCTCTCCCTTCCTCATTTCGAGAACGACCTCTTCTCCAGCATCAAATCCACTTTCCCTTACCTAAACTTCAAGATCTATCAGTTCGATCCAAACCTCGTCCGCAGCAAAATCTCCAAATCCATCAGGCAAGCCCTCGACCAGCCGCTCAACTACGCGAGGATCTACCTCGCTGATATCATTCCCAGCACCGTCGACAGGATCATCTACTTGGACTCGGACCTCGTCGTGGTCGACGACATAGAGAAGCTCTGGCATGTGGAGATGGAAGGTAAAGTCGTGGCTGCTCCCGAGTACTGCCACGCCAACTTCACCTATTATTTCACCAAAGCTTTCTGGTCGGACCCGGAACTGGTCAAAGTCCTCGAAGGGAAACGGCCGTGTTATTTCAACACAGGGGTGATGGTCGTGGACGTTAACAAATGGAGGAAAGGGTTGTACACGCAGAAGGTGGAAGAGTGGATGACGATTCAGAAGCAGAAGAGGATTTACCATTTGGGATCATTGCCTCCGTTTCTGCTGATATTCGCCGGTGATATAAAAGCGGTTAATCACAGGTGGAACCAGCACGGTCTCGGAGGTGATAACTTCGAAGGGAGATGCAGAACGTTGCACCCTGGTCCCATAAGTCTTCTTCATTGGAGCGGGAAAGGTAAGCCATGGTTGAGACTAGATTCAAGGAAGCCTTGTATCGTTGATCATCTCTGGGCTCCGTATGATCTGTACCGTTCATCAAGACATTCATTAGAAGAGTAGAGAGGCAAGAGGAAACAAAAAAAAACATGGCACATGTTATATAATAGGAGAGGAGAAGATCCAAGCAGGGCTTTTTCAGCGATCAAAGAGAGCCAAAAATTTTCATATTGGAAATCCAAAATCTGTGGCAAAAAAAGAGAAACCAAGAGAGAACTCATTTTTTAAAAACACACAACACACACTCTTAATGCAAAAGACGTTGTGCTGCATTGAGCTCAGTTAGTGTTCATCACAAGAGATGGTATTGGTATCAATATCATCATCATGTTTTTCCTTGTTCTCACTCTCTCTTTGATTCAACCCTTTAGAACATTCCGCGTGTAATATATAGGTAGTATTACTGCAAAAAAAAATGGAGGATTCAATTCATTCTTTTTAATTCAGATTTCTAGTATCTTATTCTATTAGAAACACCGTTAGGATCATACATCTGCCTCTTCTTCTCAAACCCTAGTCGAGTACTATTGTACAAACACAGAATCGAATCTAGATTCTCCAGAAACAAAACGATTCGGCATAGAAACTAGCGACACCGTTACAGAGAGTGATCGTAAGTCACCATAGCTACTAAAGCATGGAACTTTACAGCAATACAGAGGAAATTTTACCAGGATAGGAAGATAAACGCCTCGATTCTTGCAGGATTCTCGCAGGAGGATAAGTAGCAATTGTACAAGATTCGAGCTTTCTCTGCAACTCCAGCATTCAAAACCAACTTATGGCTTCTTCACTGATGTAAAACCTTCTCTGCTCTGGCAGGTTTATTTTGTCCTCTTCTTGTAACACGGAAGTTATAAAATTCAATTTGGTTTAAGCTCGGTTTAGTGGAATTTTTGGATTACTGAAAGATCAATTAAACCAAGATTAACTCTGCTTTTGCAATTGTTAAAAACAAAAGCTCTCTCATGATTTTGGTCATGCAGGAGATGAACGGTTTTCTTTTTGTTTTTTCTCCAATAAATGTCTTTCCTTTTTCTTAAAAAATGTAAACTTTATTAGGAAAGAAAATGAGTTTTTTTTATTAAATGAGTTTTGGAGTCCATGTACTGTTGTGTCGTCCTTTTAGAAAGTGAATAAATAGTACTTTTTAAAAATAATCAGAAAATTAGTTTATTACATCAAAATCTTAAATTTGGTCAATTGACGGATAAAAAAAGGGGGCTTTGCTTGCTTCTTCTCATTCTCTCTCCTCTACCTCTACCTCATTTTCTCTCTCTCTATATCTCTCTCTGTATCTTCTTCGTTGCAATCCCTAAATTGTGTTCTTACCTTCAATCAATCACCTTTACGAGGACAATGGGAACCGTCGAGAATTGAGACTCCAGTGTGAAGTCTGACTGCCACACAAACTGAAGCGTTTCGAGCTGTCTCTCGCAATCTCCGTCGGATAAAGAGAGGGTTTTGGTGCTTTCGCTTTGACTGCTTCGATGGACATGGAGAGGTAATCTTTTCGTTGCTGATTTGTGTTTGGATTTGGCTTTCTTTTTTTTCCTAGAATTTCATTTCTCGCCTTCAATGGGATTAGATGTGTGCTTTGATCTAGCTGCACTTCACTTCTTGTCTGATTCTCCATTGTTTCTTCATTAGGAGATTCCCAAATTATTTCCATTTAATCATTTTTGGTTTTAATAAGAAAGAATGGATGATTGTTAGAGATCTCATTTGGAAACCAATATCGATTTTGTTCTCATTTGGAAAAAAAAAAAATTCTGTATTAGTCTCTATTACACACATGTCGTTAGGACTAATAATTGTTCATAGAAGAATGTCTAGTTTTGGTTTTCGCATCGTTTGACATTGGTCGGATCGGGGGTTAGTAGATAACTGTCGTGTACTTTTTGTCCCTTTGGCCTTGTTTGATGTTGATGCAGTGCAGATACTGAGCCTACCAGCTTGAATCGTGGGAACAACATGGTTGTGAAAGCTTACCCATTAGGAATGGTACGGGTTATGAACAACAACGGCATTAGCGAAGACGAAGGAGACTCTGGAGTTGAACCATACGTTGGACTAGAGTTCGATACCGCAGAGGAGGCGCGTGAGTTCTACAACTCTTTTGCTACGCGGACTGGTTTTAAGGTTAGGACGGGTCAGTTGTATAGATCAAGGACCGATGGTACTGTTTCATCGAGGAGATTCGTCTGCTCAAAGGAAGGCTTTCAGCTTAATTCGAGAACGGGGTGTCCTGCTTTTATCCGAGTGCAGCGACGAGACACCGGGAAGTGGGTTCTTGACCAGATTCAGAAGGAGCACAACCACGAGCTTGGAGGTAATATGGAGGAGACTACTCCACGCCCCTCTGTGCAACAGAGAGCACCGGCTCCTACGAAGCTAGCCATCTCGGTTCCACATAGACCCAAGATGAAAGTGGTCGACGAGGCTGATAAAGGACGGTCATGCCCTTCTGGTGTGATCTCTTTCAAGCGTTTCAAAGGAGCTGAGGAGAGTGAGGAGCAGACGCAGCCCAAGGCTACTGAACCTTATGCAGGGTTGGAGTTCGGGTCAGCTAATGAAGCGTGCCAGTTTTATCAAGCGTATGCGGAAGTTGTAGGGTTTAGAGTCCGCATCGGTCAGTTGTTCCGGTCGAAAGTCGATGGTTCCATCACATCAAGAAGATTCGTTTGCTCGAAAGAAGGGTTTCAGCATCCTTCGAGGATGGGATGTGGGGCTTACATGAGGATCAAAAGACAAGACTCTGGAGGCTGGATTGTCGATCGTCTCAACAAAGATCATAACCACGATCTTGAACCAGGAAAGAAGAACGCCGGTATGAAGAAGATAACAGAGGATGTGACAGGAGGGTTGGATTCAGTGGATCTTATCGAGCTAAACGACTTCAGCAATCACGTCAACAAAACCCGAGAGAACACCATAGGCAAGGAATGGTATCCTGTGCTTCTCGACTATTTTCAGTCGAAACAGGCGGAAGACATGGGGTTCTTCTACGCCGTCGAGCTTGACACAAACGGAAGCTGCATGAGCATTTTCTGGGCGGATAGTCGATCAAGATTCGCCTGCAGTCAGTTCGGTGACGCTGTTGTTTTCGATACGTCGTATAGAAAAGGAGACTACTCTGTTCCGTTTGCAATGTTTATCGGTTTTAATCACCATAGGCAACCAGTTCTTCTCGGTGGTGCCTTGGTCGCTGATGAATCTAAAGAGGCTTTCTCGTGGTTGTTTCAGACATGGCTTCGTGCTATGTCAGGTCGTCGTCCGAGATCTATTGTGGCTGATCAAGACTTGCCTATCCAGCAAGCCGTGGCTCAGGTCTTTCCCGGGACTCATCACCGGTTCTCAGCGTGGCAAATAAGGGCCAAGGAGCGTGAGAACCTCAGGTCGTTTCCTAACGAATTCAAGTACGAGTACGAGAAGTGTTTATACCAGACGCAGACGACAGTCGAGTTTGACACCATGTGGAGTGCTCTTGTCAACAAATACGGCCTCAGGGATAACATGTGGCTCAGAGATATATACGAAAAGCGAGAGAATTGGGTACCTGCGTATCTAAGAGCCAGTTTCTTTGGCGGCATCCCTGTAAACGGCACATTCGAACCGTTCTACGGCACTTCCCTGGATTCTCTAACGTCTCTCAGGGAGTTCGTCTCGCGGTATGAGCAAGGACTCGAGCAGCGCCGTGAAGAGGAAAGAAAAGAGGATTTCAATTCTTATAACCTGCAGCCGTTTCTGCAGACGAAAGAACCAGTCGAAGAGCAGTGCAGGAGGCTGTACACGCTCACCATCTTCAGGGTTTTCCAGAGCGAGCTCGCGCAGTCTTATAATTACCTCGGTTTAAAGACCTACGAGGAAGGAGCCATCAGCAGATTTCTGGTGAGGAAATGTGGGAACGAGAACGAGAAGCACGCGGTGACGTTCAGCGCATCGAACCTCAATGCGAGCTGCAGTTGTCAAATGTTCGAGTACGAAGGACTTCTCTGCAGACATATCTTGAAAGTGTTCAACCTCTTAGACATTCGAGAACTCCCGTCTCGGTATATACTGCACCGATGGACCAAGAACGCAGAGTTTGGGTTTGTACGCGATGTAGAATCAGGTGTGACTTCACAGGACCTCAAGGCCTTGATGATCTGGAGCTTGAGGGAAGCAGCTTCGAAGTATATAGAGTTTGGGACATCGTCTCTGGAGAAGTATAAGCTTGCATATGAGATCATGCGTGAGGGTGGGAAGAAACTGTGTTGGCAGAGATAAGCTAACCAAGTAAGGTCATTGTCCTGAATATTCTCTGTTTCTCGAGTTTTATAATGGAAATATATCTAAATATTCAAAGGTGTGTGTGGTAGCAAAGTTGTTTCTCTGTTCTTGTCCTTAACTCAGTTTCTCATCTGGGTTTTGTGTTGCTTCACCGGCTTCAGATTCTCCCTCTGTTATTTACGCCTGTTTGCGAATATAAACAGTCTCATTAATTGCATTCATGTTTGAAAAGCTATTGGATCAGTTTGTGCCATTAGACTCAGTTTATATAACACAGCAGCTAACGAGCCTCGTCCTTCCGCTGTTACAGATTAAAAACAAGAGGTTTTGTTTGTTTGTTGTAGCCTGTTTGGGTATTTTTGTCCTCTCCGTTTGAGGAAGATGAAGCCTTGTTCATGGCAGCCGCCGATGTAAATCCTAACTCTTTCGTTAACTTCAGTCAACGCAAAAGGTGGTGGTGGAGGTGGCAGAGTCGTATCCGGTGTGGGTGGGACGACGACTTGTCTCTTCTCTTGTTGCTTTGTTTGATGTTGTTTCCATAAATTAGAGTTTTCGGAAAGATTCGGACATTTTGGCGGATCTATGCCTCTATGGAACAGAATGTTTTCAGCAGCTTGGGAAGCTTTATAGTAGAAACAAAGAATGTAATATCATCGTTAAGTTATTTTATATCCTCGCTAATCATTTTAGCTTTTAGGAGACGAATGTTTCAAGCACAAACATTAGATACTCGATATGGTTTTTGTTGATTTAAGATAAACAAAAGAAGACAACTTCTACTTGTAAAGTTACGCTTAAGAACATAATTATAAATAATCTAAGGTAGTCTCAATTTACCAAACGCTATTTATTCAGCTCTCTATACCAAATGTGTTTGGTGATATGAGGCTCTCTACGTACGTATTGGCCTCGAACCCGTCACTGAGCTTAACCCCGCGAATTCCCAGATTCCTCGATGCATCTGTCTCGAAATTGTACAGCACCATGTCTCCATCAAGCTCAAGAAGCACCTCCTCACCGTTCTTAGTCGAACACAGCGGTTTCATCGACCTGTACAACAAGCTGATCCGGATTCTTCTCCATGAACCTGCTTCGCCGTACACATTCATCACCCAGATATCATCGTGCACCTCGTAGCAGCTATTGACCACACAGAGACGCCCACTGAGATTCCCCACCACAAAGGTTTTGAACCTATGAGGACAATCCTCGGTCCCCTCAGGCAATGGCATCTCTCGAAACTCCTCGGTTCTAAGATCAAATGCTAAGACCAGCCTGTGGTTGTGGTAACCATCTTGATAAGTGAACACCCAGTGGATCGCACCGTTGAGATGCACACCGGAGTTGAAGCCATCGTTGTGTTCATAACTCAAATCACGGATCCATCTCCACGAGCCTGCCTTCAAGGAGTAGACACTCGCGCTGAGAACATCGTCGCTATCAGCGATAAGCTTCACCACTTTGTAATCATGGGTCAGGTCATCGAAGCCAAATCCATAAGTTTGGAATTGTTCTTCGTTTTCTTGGGATCCGGGAGGCATAAACTCAGGTAATCTCTTGGATTCTCCGGTGGTTGGGTTATACAAGAAAACAGCGCCTTCGCCTGGAGATATACACGCTAACCCGTTGGAAGATCCGACGATCTCAACCCAGTTTCTTCGATACGATTTGGCATTCTGCTTAAGCATCGCGCGACGATCATCTTCTTCGACCTCGGATCCACCACCGTAGAGATGCTCTCTCACGTAATTCCTAATCATCTCATCGAAAATACTCGGGTCGTCTTTAAGCGGGTAACTGAGCTCCAAAGCAACCAAATCCGTAACTCGTTCGCATCCGTCGCCGATGGAATCGAAATCCAACGCGTAAAGGTTATGTGAGGACACAATGAGCTTCCGGTGAACGGAATCGCATCGGACGGTGAGATCGAGGTGGGTCTTTGCGAAGCCCGGATCCGACGACAGAGAGCAAAACAGCTTCGACACGCACCTGAATCGCCCGATTGATTTGGCAGGCAATCGAATAAGAATCTCCCTAATGATCTCTGGAGGAAGTAGGAACGATTCCGGTGAGGCTTCATCCTTGCTCTCAACTTTGCCGTCGTCATCTTCCCTCCGCTTTTCCCTCTTTGTCGCCTCCATTATTGGAATCAATTGCTGAAATGGATAGAGCTGTTTTTTATTTAATTTGGCTCTGGATCCAGGTTTAACTCGGTTGTCTAAAACCGGTTTTAATCTCAAAATCGCGGTTATTTTAAATAGCCAAACCGGGTCACTCTCCCTGGGTTGCGGATCGGATCCGCCCGCCAGACCCGCCCCGCAGAGATTTAAAAAAAAAAAAATCTTATGACCGTTGTGATATCCGTCTTCTTCTTTGTTTAATCTGATTACAGCCACATTTCATCTGACAAGAAAGAACTCTGATTCCATTCAGATTCTTTTTAATTGTCTCTCCTACTTCTGTGACTCAACTCGGCGTTCGGATTTATTATGGAATGAACAACGGCTCCGGCAGAGGAACCAATTGGTGACGGCGATGATCGACCAGAGGGAGAGACGGAGGGCGAGGCTCTGGTTTGAATCGGCTTTAATCCGGCTGCGATTGGTAAAAGACGAAAGCAAAACTATTTCAATCAAACAGTTTTGTTTTAATCTTTTGTGGAATTTTGATTTTAGATTTGACTTTTTTTTTTGGTACAGTAATGGCGATTACTTATCCTTGTATCTGGAACTTGCGCCTGGATCTTCACCACCAGGATGGACAAGAAACGTGCAATTCACCTTCACTCTTGTGAATAGTCTCTGGCCTAACCCTAAACCGAACAAAGTGTTAGGTGATTTTTATTTTATTTCATAAAAGCTTCTTGATTTGGTTTAAGAATCTCTTTCTTGGGGTTGTGGTTGTGGTATGTGTGTTGATTCGTACCTAGCTTTTAAGCTCTGTGGTTCGTGTCATGTGATTTCAGTTTTATGTCCTGTAGAATCTCTCTGTATTTGTTGAGTAAATTTTGATGGAAAGTTTCGATTTTTTTGGACATGGTAGGAGGGCAATGCTGTTTCGATGCAAAGAAAAGCATTTGGGGTTTTGGCAAGTTCTTGTCGCTTGACAAACTTCGTGATGAACGTCGAGGGTTTCTGGTTAAAGTTAAAGTTCTTCGAGCTACTGTTAGCCAAATGGGACCTGTGAGTATTACTGCGTTATTTCAGAGTTGCAAAGAAGGAAACCAAGCGTCTGATGCATCTGTCGTCAAAATCTCAAGTGGAAGCAAGAAACTGAGAATGCATCTAACGAGAATAATGCATCTGAAGAGAGTGCGGATGACGATGACACGTCTGAAGAGGGTTCAGATGATGATGATGATGATGATGCTTCATCTCCTGGTTCAGATGATGGTGCACCTAAAGAAGATGTTGATGACGAGTTTTCATCTCTTGTTACCAATGATAATGCTAGAAACGGAACTTCTCTCATACAGTAGAGAATGGTGAAAAGGGGTTCAACACTGTGATGGCGTCTGTTGCTGAGACTTCTAATGATGTGCTTGGTCAAGAGATTTCAACCTGTGAAGGAAACAGTGGATGTCAATGGGTTTGAGGTTTTGGCTTCCCAGGTAAGAAGAGGATTCATCTTTTATTGTTATTATTAGAGAGAAATTTCTAACCTGGAACCTAAATTTATCTTCTTTGTGCGTCTGTTTTGACTTGCAGGTAGAATCTGTTAAGCGTATATTCGAGGTACACCCAGACTGATTACGAATGCTCAACAACTGCTGATTACGTAAGTTTCTGACCAAAGAACTCACAACAAAATCCTCTTTCTAATATCCGATTTCTTGGTAATACCTCATCTGTTAGGATATTTTCTTATATTTCTTCATTTTTTCAGGCTGCTAAAGAAACAGGAGCACTTCAGGATGCCAAGACTAAGCTGGAAACTGAAGTGGACGAACTCACTTCAAACTTGGAGCTTGAGAAACAGATGAGGGTACACATCTACTTTACTGAAGAAACAAAAATTACTTTATGAAACTTGTTGTAAGCTACTTTGTTGGTTCTGTATTGAGGCATCTGATCAGCGTACTTGTACAGATGGAGATCGTGGAAGCCAAATCGAAGCATTACAGTCATATTTAAAAGCTATAAAACTTGAGCTCAGGGAAACTCAAGAAACCAAAAGTGCGGAGATCTCAAGCTTGCAGTCCGCTTTACAGGACCTGCAACTTGAGATGGGTAACGATCTTTCTGCTGAAAATGAACAGCTTAAGGTTAGTCCGTAAGAAGTCTCAGGAATTCAGTGTCTGTGTTTGAGATTATGTTTAAGGTCTTTTACAAGACATCATCGTTGTTGCTTTGTCTTTTTCTCTTTCCTTACAAGGAGTTGGCGAGTTCTTTGCGAAAGAATGATGATGAATCCGAAAGAACACCAACAGCTGAAGCTCCTGTAATTAATCAGACTGCAGTCAACAAGCTTAAAGCTGAAAATCAGCAGCTCAAGGTATGATTCCTAGATACTGGTTTTGATACACAATCTAAACTTTTCCTCTTGATAATATATATCTCATCAAGCATAACATTTTTTTTAGGCGTTGGGAGAAGAAAATCGATGCATTAGACAGAAAACATGATGAAACAAGCTCAAATATCACAGAGCAGTTGAAGGAGAACGTTTCATCTGATCACGAGATGGTGAGCAATCTCGCAGCTGTATATATATATATTTTAACCTCGATATACTTTTATCAACGTTTTCAAAAAGCTCACAGTAGCTTGAACACAGGGATCTAATTCCGATTCCATAGAAAGTACGAAAGCCCCTCACAGAGATTCAGGAGTTCAACCACCATGTAGAGCATCGAGCTGTCGAGAGAGCAGACTTTGTTCAGAAAGTAAGGTTTTCAGTCATTTCAACATCTAAAGAAGTGTTTACATAACCTCTGAGTTGACAAATTACCATTCTATATGTAAACCAGATCAAAGAGAAGGAGAATCAGTACAAGAGATACCGTGAAGAGAGTGAAGCTGCAAAAATGGTATGCAACACTCGCTTTAGCTTGTAATAACATCTCACAAACGTTGCTCAAATGTAATACCTGAAAACTTGTGTCAGGTGGAGGAAGAGAGGTTTCTGAAGCAAATGAGAAAGACGATGGTGTGCCTAACTTCAACAAACCCTTCTTACCTCAGAAGTAACTTCCAGTTTGATTAAAGAAAATTCAAAGCACCAATCTTCTCTTGTTTTTAGTAATAACCAATTTAATTAAAATCACACACAAGTTTATCACGGAGACCACAAAACCAAAATCATCCAATCTTTAAAAAAAAGATACGTCCTCTGTTCTTTTTCTTTTTCTTTTTATTTATTCACATTAAAACCTAGATTAGATTAAAACCTAAATTAGTTTAATATCAATCAGATTTACATTAGACGTGAAACTAACCGGATATGATATCCAGCCATTTGAATTCATTTGGTCGTTAGAGATTATCTATATTCAATTTGTTTCCACAATTAGTGTAGATCAATCGATTTTTTATTATTAGAAAATAAAATGATAATAATATAATAATAATACTAAATGAAGTTTGAATATAATTGAAATATGGTATCTGATGTTGTTTGTGTATTGTTTCAGGTTAAAACTTTCTCCACATAACTAAACTTAACAAAGATACCGAGAAAACAAAATTCAAAAAGAAAGATATGTCTTCTTTTCTCTTTTTATTTTTTTATTTGATTTTAATATATACTAAAACATAGATTAGTGTTTCATCTAATGTTAAGTTAGATTCAAGTTTCATTTAATGTTTCTATTATTATTATTAATGTCATTTTCTAATAAAAAAATCGATTAGATTTGCATTAATTGTAAAACTAACCGGATAAGGTATCCATTCATTTGAATTCATTTGGTCGTTAGAGATTATATATGTTTAATTTGTTTTCACAATTAATGCATATCAATCGATTTTTTTATTAAGAAATAATATTAATAATAATAATAATAATAATAATAATAATAATAATAAAAACATTAAATGAAACTTGAATCTAACTTAACATTGTTTTTGTATTTTTTCATGTTAAAACTTGTTTTATATAATGAAAGGCAAGAACCAAGAGATGGCAAGAGATGTTGAGCAAAAGAAACTCAAAATGAAGATGTCTTTTATTTTATTTTTTTGGGTATTTATTTATATTAAAGTTTAAATTAGTTTAAAATCGATTGGATTTACATTAGATGTGAAACTAACCAGACAAGATATCTAGCCATTTGAATTCATTTGATCGTTAGAAATTATCTATGTTCAATTTGTTTTCACAACTAATGCAGATCAATCGGTTTTTTATTAGGAAAAAAAATGATAATGATAATTGTAACAACACATTTGATGTTATTTTAAATTATTTCAGGTTAAAGCTTTCTTACCAATTACCAAGCACATCATGCAAAAAAGCCATTAATCTTTTAAAAATTTGTAATTATATTTATTTTATGATGTTATATTTTGGTTGCTTTTTTAGGTTATAATTTTTGTTTGCAATTTTTTGTTTTCTCTATATTCAAATTCAAAATTTTTAATACAATAATCTGACATCAATTTAACAAATACATCATGAATATACATATATATTCTTTGTTCTTACGAGTAATTTCCTTCTCTTTTTCTCTCTCATTTTTTTCTATAAATATACCAGTTTTGTCTTTATTAATTACTTTTGTATGTATAGATAGTAATAATGCCGATCTTCTTGTTTAAAAAAATATAATGTATGTTAAAATCCAACCTCGTGGTTAGGATTAACACAGTTTTCTCACAACACAAGATACACTTAATCCAAACATAATGAACTTTTTTACCTTAGTAATAATCACCATAAAATTGAAAAATAGTTCTTCTGCTATGAAAAGCCAACAGAGGAGATGTTAGAGAAGGAAAGCTTGCTGAAGGCCTGATGATTTTCAACGCGTCTTTGTGGTAGGTCCTGGGCTGACGATTCCTTTTCTCACAGACACTTATGTGAACTTATCGGTTTTGATGTAAAGAGAGAGATTTAAAAAGAACTTATTTTTGTTTATATTCTTTAAGTTAGGATATAAAAAGTTAGGAAAAGGTGTAACACTGCAATTAAGAATATCATCACTTCCATTATAAAAATCATAAGATATAACCGCACGAAGTCACTAAAGAATCTCATTTAATGGAACCAAATACTTTAGTCTAGACTAGATTAAGGTATGGATACAACGACACTTAACTCATGACACTATCTTTTCCATCTCTGTGACAAGTATGAGGTGTTACTAAAAAAATATTCTCTTGTAATTTCATGACATCAAAAGCATAGAAATGTGAAAAGAGAGTAATTTGAACCTATTTTCACTTAACAATAATTTTCAAATTTTAATATATTATAGTTACTCCTCAAAGTGTGGATTATATTTCTAGTTGATAAAGAAGGTAAGTGAAAAAACTTTGACGACCATTTCTTGTCTTCCATAAGACAAGAAAAAGTAGCAGTCCTTGACACGAGAAATTTCCCTTAAAAGTATTAGATTAGGTAAAGCAAATAATTATAATTGATATATAAGAGTCTGCATAGAGAAGAGAGAATATATGGAAGGAGATACAATAGTTAAGAGTACATGATTAATGGAATATACATTTTCTACTCTATAAGTTAATACACACTCTTCAAGATAGATTACGAGAGTCCAATTTTGACTTGCAATGCATTTATGTAGGGAATGAGATAGAAGTTTGGTCAATGCATCTGCCAATTAGTCATGAATGGAGACATAGAACCCACATTTTTTTTTCTATACCATAAGCTTTTCTGTATTCTTTAGGTACCCATAAATCTTCCGACCATTCAAGCAGTGATAGCATCTGAAGTAGGAACTTGTGTCTTTCCTTTTTAACAATGTGAGCAATCGTCACTTTCCTTTTTAATCTTCCAAGTAGGAAATTCTCTTCTTAAGATCAAATGCAGCCCACCAGGCCCACCACCACTCACTCCAGTGATACGCACCGTTTTAATGATTATTATATTATGTTAACTATAGTTTATCAAACTGATAATTTTCATTTGTTACGCACAGATTAGTAATTTCTCGAAAATCTACAGCCCTTCTTCCTTCCTTAAAGCACACAAGCAACAGAAGAAGATACAAATTTCTCTGGAATTAACTATGTCGTGCTTAGCTTGTTGCTGTGCGTCGGCGACTTGTGGGTTGTGCTCCTCGGTGGCTTCCGGTATCTCTAGAAAATCGGCGAGGATCGCTTATTGTGGTCTCTTCGGTGCCTCCCTTGTCGTCTCTTGGATTCTTCGCGAGACCGGTGCTCCGCTCCTCGAGAAGTTCCCTTGTACGTTCTCTGATCCGTCTTCCTCTATCTATGTTCAATCTCAGATGTTTCAGTGGGTTTGTAGATATCAGGTTCCTGTTAGCCAGAGATTTGATGATTGGAATTTGGGTTTTCTTTGTTCTTGTCGATTGAATTTCATCCGGTGGTTGATTTGGGCGATGGGCTATGCTAGAACGTTCTCCCTTTTCTGCTCTAGCTTTTTAATTTGATGGATATGAGATCTTAGTTCGTCAAGCTCTTGTTTTTCTGGAATTTCTATTGGGTCAGTGTAAAATCTGAGGTTATTGGAAAAGGAATCATCGCCTAATAAGGATGTAAATCTCTGTTTTGGCTTTGTTTCGGCTTAACAAACAGGGATAAACACTTCCGATGCATTTACCAAAGAATGGTATCAGCAGCAAGCTGTTCTTCGTGTGAGCTTTGGGAATTTCCTCTTCTTTGCGATATATGCTTTGATCATGATTGGTGTCAAGGACCAGAACGACAGGCGTGACTCGTGGCACCATGGTGGATGGCCTGTGAAGATGATTGTCTGGTTTTTGCTTGTTGTCCTCATGTTCTTCGTTCCAAATGTTATCGTCTCAATCTATGGTAAGTTTTTTTTATTGTGCTCCTCATACTTTCACTCATACAATGCTATCTCTCATCAGGATTTAGTTTATGAACTTAAATCGGGGGACCTGACAATATGTGTGGTTATATACTTATATACAATGCTTTGGTATAGCTGCATAAAATACCACAAAGAAGTTGATGGAAGTCTTCCTGTTTTGTTTCTTTCTGCTATAAGATTGAGAAGTGAAGTTGTACAATTTTCCTATCTTTTAAAGTTTGATGCGCTTTTGTTTATATATAGAACAGGGCCATATATGCGGTTAATCTCAGTGCTTGCACATTCTTTCAGGAACTTTATCAAAGTTTGGTGCTGGAGCATTTCTGTTGGTTCAAGTGGTCTTGTTGTTAGATGCTACACATAACTGGAATGATTCTTGGGTCGAGAAGGATGAAAGGAAGTGGTATGCTCTACATCTTTCCAATGCGTCTGTGCCATTACTCTGTTTTGGGACTTTTTGGGAAGTTTGATTAAGGATGATTTTCTGACATAATTGGTTCTTTATGTAGGTACGTCGCTCTGCTTGTCATATCTGTTGCCTGTTACCTTGCCACATACGCCTTCTCAGGAATCCTGTTCATGTGGTTCAACCCATCTGGCCATGATTGTGGACTGAATGTTTTCTTCATAGTCATGACGATGATCCTTGCCTTTGTTTTTGCCATTGTTGCTTTACATCCTGCGGTGAATGGCAGCCTTTTACCAGCATCGGTTATATCTGTGTACTGTGCTTATGTCTGTTACACGGGTCTCTCTAGCGAGCCACATGACTACGTGTGCAACGGACTAAACAGATCCAAGGCGGTGACGGCTAGTACTCTAATACTCGGAATGCTCACCACAGTTCTCTCGGTTCTCTACTCCGCCCTCCGAGCTGGCTCTTCCACCACATTCCTCTCACCACCGTCTTCTCCAAGATCAGGTACTTCTCCAAACTCTTCAATACGCCTAGGCATTGGGGTTTTTCGGTTTTGTGAATAGCAAGTATGAACTAGAACTCGAATTTTCGTTTCTCTTTGCTGGAAACGTTATTTGCAGCATTGTTAGAAGACCCAGAGGATGGGAAGAAGAAGAATGGTGAAGCCGAGGCACGGCCTGTGAGTTACTCATACTCTTTCTTCCATGTAATCTTTGCACTTGCGAGCATGTACGCGGCGATGCTTCTCTCGGGATGGACCGACTCATCAGAGAGTGCGTCTCTGATCGATGTGGGATGGACCTCGGTTTGGGTCAAGATATGCACCGGTTGGGTTACGGCCGGACTCTACATCTGGACACTCATCGCGCCGCTCATCCTTCCTGATCGCGAGTTCTACTAAAAGGGCATCTCGGCCATTAGAGGGTAACATTTATATAGTCCGGTGAACGTATGTATATATTTATGTGTAGCCACTTAAAAGTGGGTATGGTCTTGTAATGGTAATGGTAATGGTAATGGTAATAGTGGTAATGAATGTAGCTCTCTTGTCACTACTAGACTTGTAAGTAAAACCTGAACTTAAAAACCTTGAATGTTGCAAGTGTTATTGAACTCTTTATCTTATATAGTGAATTGTTGTTCTTGTGTGTTTATGATTGTTTCAATATTTATATGCAGTTATTTTTATTGTAGTAGTTGAATGTGTGAATATGGATGGTTTTGAAAACTGATATGGCTCGTGTGACTTGCGTGACGGAACGGTGATCGCAAAGAGTTCGTCAAAGATTCATTTGAGTAGACATGAGAAGTTTTAACAATAATCCACAGAGATTTTTGCTGTTAAAATTTTGAACTAATCCATGTTAAGCAGGTTTTCCTTGTTAGTATTATATTAGTTTGATGTCCATAATCTTCTTGAATGTATAATAGAAGTCCAAAAATAAGTATGTGCTAACCTTCTTCCATACTGCCACTATACGATTAACGACATAAACATATACATCATTATTACCACAAATGAAGAGGATATTTAATCAGAGATTATCACGCGAATAGACCAACATTATTTTTCCCTATTTTTTGGTTGACAATAAATATAAAGCTCATTTTGTCAATCTTGAAAACTTGAATGCAACCCAATCAACAAAGACATATACATTGTATACTCTCTTATCTAGCATTAATTTTAAAATCTCATTTAAATCCATTTTTATTTTATCATTATATATGCCTTATTCAACTAGCATACCCTTTTATCACATTACTATTTAAACTACTTTCTTATCTAAATTTAATTTTTTTAAAACATTTTATCATTTGAATATTTTTCAATTATGATTTGTCTTTTATTCAACTAACATATAACCTTGTATACCGTTTCATCATATTTATTAATAAACTCATATATATCTCTTTTACTATATAGTATTGTTATTTTTGTACTCAAATCTAATTAATTTTATTATGATATTTCTAATATACATATGTGTATATAAGGGAATGACATTTAAAATAAAATCTAATTATTTAATTTATTTTAACGATATATGATTTTTTCCGTAGTTTTGAGAAATTTCTCCTCCGGTGACAGTTTTATAATAGTTTCGGGATTATTACCAAATGTATAGATACATAGAGGCTTATATGTAAAGGAGCCACCGTCCTCCTCCTCCTAACATGCTCCATCTCCTCCTTCTCTCCGACGAAGATTCCACCAGCATGCCCCCTTCCCACGCCGCCTCTAGATCCGCCGCTAATCATAGCTCATCCTCCTCCTCCTCCTCCTCATCTCTCCACCTCTGCAAGCACTCCCCCTCCGCGACTCTCGACCTTCTCATCCTCATCCTCGTCCTCTTCTCCGGCGCTTTCCTCCTATCCTCCTACTTCTCCTATCTATTCCACTCCTTCTCTCTCCTCTCCTCTCACTTCCCTTCCCTCTCCTCCCTTACCCCCTTGATCTTCTCCGGCCACCACGACGACGAAGATCCATCTGGAATCTCTCCGGCGTCCGTCTTCTTCGCCTTCGCCGTATTCTTCGCCGCGTCGATTGCTTTCCTCGACCTATGTTGCGGGCCGAGATCGAGGAAATGCCGGAACCCGAAGTGCAAAGGTTTGAAGAAAGCGATGGAGTTTGATTTGCAGCTACAGACGGAGGAATGCGTTAAATCGGGAGGGACTAAGGAGATCGATCGATTGCCATGGAAAGGAGGCAGCGAGAGCAATCCGGATTACGAATGTTTGAGGGCGGAGCTGAGGAGGATGGCTCCCCCCAATGGCCGTGCCGTATTACTTTTCCGATCTAGATGCGGCTGCCCCGTCGCTAAGCTCGAAGGCTGGGGACCTAAGCGAGGCCGGCGTCATAAAAAGTAAGTCAAATTCGATTTTCATTTTGTTGAACATTTGCCTCAACTCAAATCCTCTGCCTTTTTCTCTTAGTCTCTTTGTTTTGTCTGAGCATAAACATTAGCCATTGATCAATTTAGATGAATCCTTGCGTATTGGTAGCTTTTGGATCTTGCTTCTGATTGATAAGAGTGTGTTTCCCTCTCTTAGTAGCCATTGATAATGATGTATTGAATTAGTCTCTTGGTAAAGGAGCAGCTTTTATACTCTTCATGGTGGGTTGTGCTGATCAGATCTGCTGCGAATTCTAGCTGATTGAATATTATAAAGTGAGAGAAAGAAAGCGAATCAATTGAACGTGATGTTTGGTGTTGTAATGTTCTTCTGCTTGTCTGTATAAGCCGTATCCATTTTTAATTGATCGAAACGATTTAATATATATCCACACGGCCATTATCTTGGCACATATGCATCTTGTTTCTGGAGTTTTAAGCATAGTAGGTTCTAAATTGAGGAAAAGAGTCATGGCTTGAGTCAGGTTTTGTGAAAAAGAGGAATTTCGGTCATGGAGTATGATTCTTCTGCCTTGCATCGTTCTAATTAGAAATCATGTTCCTTTTGAGATCTAGTCTACATTTCTTGTTCGAGATGGTGGTTCCACGGTTTAAGCATATTGTAATAAAACCCAAGAGGCAAGTAACAACAGTTGATTTGAAAATCCATCTTTGCTGCAACTGTTATTTTCCAAAATCTGTTAGTACTTTGCTTTCCAGTCTATTTTTTTTGTTTGAGAATCTGAATTATATTTATAGAGCGCCTACAAATTCTTGATTAAACAAAGCATTGTGATTCGATGTACACATGTGTGGCTCGCTTGACTTCAACCCCTGGAATTGTGGTGCCTTACTCATCACTAGATTTTATGATTTGTATCCGTTGGCCTCTTTATATGTCTGCCTCATAGTCATATCTCTCTTTTGATCTCTAGTCAGTCATATTAAAGCCTTCTTAGAGAACATTTTATTCCTCAACTCATTCTATTTTCTTCACACCGCATCCTGATTCAGTTTACGCCTTTTTATAATCTGCAGATCGCAAGCGAACTTGGCTCTGAAGGGAGGGGTAGACAATCGCTGATCAGGTGTCGTTAGGAACTCTTCAATCTATCATTATAAACTTATCTATGACATTCAAATGTTTGCAGAGTTCATCTTGGAAATGTTCCAATATTACAATTTGAACACTTGACTTTTTATCGACGCCCTACATTACATACCATTACCACGGCAAACTAAACAAGAGGCAATCTAATAGCGAACAATTAATTATCAAATATAATCTTGAAGATTGTCATGGCCATTATCATAGTTTAGATGAGTCGCTGACTATATAAACCTTATATGATGGTTAAATGAAATCTTACTGACTTCCTGTTGCTTTGGTACGATAAATCATATTCCAGTTGTTCGCTTTATGGTCTCAGATTTCAAAATGAGAGCTTAGTGACTTCCTGTATCAAACATTTTAAAACCAACCCAAGTCCTACAATCATCACTCAAGTCGAATGAAACTTTTCCTTGAGAGAAGAGGTTTCGGTCACAGAATCTTTGGAGCCCCAAAAAGAAAAAAAAAAGTAAGAAAAAAAAAACATCATTTCACTCTACTAAGCTGAACAACACAGATCGATCAATCACTAATCCTTTTACAATGACAAATGCACAAATCTCGACTCTTCTACAATTCTGTTTACCAACACCAGTCTCCCTCCCTCAGAGAAATAGTTACTCAATGTAACCGCTGCTTCACTCGTCTCCCATTCACGTCACAACCATCGGCATATAACTCCTTTCGATGCCCCGATGATGTTAAAGAATGCTCACTCAGCCTCGCCACATATTCCAGTAGCTCACTTAGTAAGCTCGGGCAGCTTTCCTTCAGATAATCAAACCCATCCGTTTCCATCACAGCTATAGAAATTACAAAACTTACAGTCAAAAGGGCGTTTTCAGATTTCAAAGATGATGTTGATTTGATCAAAAAAGTGATTCAAGCAAAAAGGAATGATCTTTTTTTACCTTTCAGGTTTTCTGGCAAAGCTATGAATTTGAGACATGCAGCTTTCAGCTGGAAACAATGATGCTGCTCCGCAAGAGCCAAAGTGGTTGCAACTGTGTTTATGCTGATTCCTTCACACAGTTTTGACTCGCAGATTGTTCTAAGCCGCTCAAGAGCATAACGGTCTGCAGCCGCAAGCAGATGCTGAGAAACAAGAGTCGATGCCCATTTCAAGTCTGTTCCCATCAAGTCTTGCATATCAGGCAATTCGTCCCAGTAGATAAAATGGAGCAACATCTGCAAACAAAGCACAATATAACAAGGGGAAAAGGGAAAACGGATTTGTATCAGCATACACTTCAGCCTTAAACTTTTAGGATTCAGGAACTGAAACTCACACGTAGACTAGTGACCAATCATAACAAACAAAACCCGCGATGCAAAGCAGAAAAAAGGTTCGTACTTGGCATTACTAGAACCTTTATAGGTTCTGCACTCAATTATGACATTGCAGCAATGTATAAGCAAAGAGACATTCATGCAATCGAAAGAGAAGCAGAAAGATTCAACCTTATCCCGGGTGAGTAATAACTGAGAACAAGAGAAGCGCCCCAGGAGAAGGTCCCGGATTGTACACTCGTAAACAGAAAATCCTGTATCACACCACAATCACTCACCCGAGAAAAGGCCAAAAACCAAGAATGCTATCTCTTCCTATAATGACCTTATTGACACTAACAGCCTGAAACTGTAAAACTACAATTTTACAATTTCTACTAAGACACACCAAGAAAGAAAACAGAGCAAAACCAGAAAGAGAAAGGTAAATGGAGGACCTTGAAAATGGGGGCTTCCATGTCTTCTACGTTTATGAATTCGGTATTTTGGTTTTTCAAGGGGCCAAAAAGCTGCGCCCTGAAAACTGGAGAACGAGCTGCAAGAACCAATTTGTGAGCAGGAAATGTTTCTCCATCAACATGAAAAGTAACATCAGCTCCTTTCCCACTTTCCAAAAGCTTTCCGAACTGTTGGCCCAAGTCGGAAACCGGCACCGGAATATTGTAACTCCTCGGACCCTCCGTGCGCGACTTCACCACGCCGACACAGCACCGCACCAAGAGGCAATTGTCCTTGAGATAGTCCGATGACTCAAGAAGAGACCTCTTGAAAAAGCGTTTGTATCCCCTGAATTAAGCAAAACATCAATAAACTAATTAACATTGAATGAACATAGGCTAGCAATTCTTGAATTCACTCATAACTCGAAAATTTTCCAGAAAGGGATAGAATTTAGTTACTCACCACATACTTCCTCGGTATTTAAGAGTATAGGGTCCGCTTTCGAGAGTTCTACCGAAATGGCTATGGACCTTGTGCCTTTCGTTGCCGCTTTGATCCACGAGAGTAAGCTCAAACAAAGCCCTAACATCAGCTCCTTCGCTCGCGAGAGCTATGAACAGAGACACGTACACGGAATTATCCTCTGGACTCTTTCCATCTGGGTAGAAGTAGATCGCCCAGGAGTAGCCACCGACCATGAACGTATCCGAGGCGACGTATTTGCCTATTCCCATCCCTTTCGCCAGAGAGTAGCCGCTGATCTTGAATTCGTGGGAGCCATTGATTGTTTCCGTCCGAGAGGTCGACTCCGTAAGAGAGGGGCCAGACGATTTCGAAGATCCAGGAACTTCCGCACAAACCCTAATTGCGTCCATCAGCAAAGACGAGATCCAAGAATCGCGACTTGTGTAAGAAATTGAAGATTTCTTCGATCTTCTTCCCCGGAATAAGTATCCCTGCGCGACTCAAGTCTTCGAATTTCGAAAGAAGCCGGGATTTTCCAGATTGGTAGGCGAAATCAGGGTCTCGAAATAGAGGGAAAATTCGGGAATTCGAGAGAGAAGACGAGAAAAGAAATGGGGGGATTTCGCGGAATCAGAACTCAAACCGATAATCGCCGGTACTCGGAGCTGAATCGTCGTGGATCGTGACGACGACGACGAAACGAGAGGAAGAGAGAGATGCGAGAGAGGAGCACTTGATTATCGGTTCAACTTTACCACAACAGTTGGTAGGTTGCGAATATAAATGATGTCGATAATAAATTATTATAAATAAATAAATTACATGCCAATTTTATTGTGTCTGGAAAATTAATAATATTTTTTTAGATTAGGAAGGAAAATAATTTATCCCCTTTTCTTCTCTACGTCTCAAAGATTTTTCGTCTTCTAAAACCAAAGATCATATATATCCTCTTGAAATTAAATTAGAATAAAAATTTGATAACAAGATTCGATCCTTCATGATGTTTACAAACAAATGTGTATCTAATTTTTTTATTCAAAACATTAACCCAAAAAAAAAATGATTATTAACATGCTTTATGATTTTGTCATTCCTTCTTCAGTTTGTCCACTTCATAATTATAAGATTTCAATTATGTCAAAAAGAAACTCTGTTTCAACAATATATTTCAAATGAAGATAAAAGAATTTACAAAATGAGACATATGAACGACTAAAAACCCTAGATAATAATTATTATATCGTGCTAAGAGAGGATACGGTTAAAATCGCGGCGAAGCAACGAGAAGATCGGTGGCTCGAACCCGAAGAGTATTCATCGCCGCCGAGTGACCCAATCCACTGAACAAGCGAAGGTTCAACCTTTTGGGATCTCAAAGACTTGTCCTTTAACCTTTTGAGATGTTTCACAGGCTCTCTTCTTCTTTCTCTCGCTCCATCATCTTCCCCAAATCCATCTTCACCTCCCGCTCTTTCCCTCAATCCCTCCGTCGCGCAGCTACTCTCTCTTGTTCCTCTTTGAAAATGACCGATACCCAGACGCCCGGTAACCCCAATTCGTCCCCAGTTCCGTCTCCGACCAAACCCGAAACCCTCCGCTCCCTCGAATTTCAAATGGGTTCCTGTTTCAGCGGCGATCCGATCATCCCGCCGCCGAATCAGATCGTCATCGTTATCAGCGGTCCGAGCGGAGTCGGCAAAGACGCGGTGATCAACAAGCTTCGAGAGGTTCGGAAAGGTCTGCACTTCGTCGTCACCGCCACTAGCCGCCAGATGAGGCCCGGCGAAGCCGACGGGAAAGACTACTTCTTCGTCTCGAGGGAGAAGTTCTTGTCAATGGTGGAAAAGAAGGAGCTGCTGGAGTACGCACTCGTCTACGGCGAGTACAAAGGGATACCGAAGAAGCAGATACAGGAGTTCATGGCGAAAGGGGAAGACATCGTCCTTAGAGTCGACATTCAAGGAGCTCAGACGCTGCGGAGGATACTTGGTAACTCCGCCGTGTTTATATTCCTGGTGGCGGAGAGCGAGGTCGCGATGGTGGAGAGGCTGGTCGACCGGAAGACGGAGAGCCAGGAGGAGCTGCTTGTTAGAGTCGCCACGGCGAGGGAAGAGGTCAGGCATCTAAACAAGTTCGATTACGTTGTGGTGAATGCAAAGGGGAGGCTTGACGATGCGGTGAACCGCGTGGAGTCCATTATCGACGCCGAGAAATCTAAAGTTCATCAAAGGGTTGTCAGGATTTGATGTGCTTGCAGGTACTACTTGCTTCATTGCTTCCTTCAAAAATCGACTATAAATAATGTGGAGTTGCATTGCTAGATAAGGTGATTGATCACGTTTCTAAGCTGTTAACATAAGCAAGCTCATCTGGATTGGTAAAACAAGCGGAGATATAGAAACCATTATAGAATGTTGACGTTCTTAGTGTTGCAGAATTACTGAAAGATTTTGTTAAATGCATCACAACCTGTAATTTGGGAACTATGCTGTCGGAATTGCAGACTATACACATGTTTTTTTTTTTTGTTCCAACGGTTTTCGTTTTCACGATGATTTATTGCAGATATCATTGGGAATGGCTTGCTCTCTCCAGTTACGGTTTCATTCATTACAGACCAAACAGTTTTGGTATCGGTATGCGCAAATTATTCCAAGGGAAACGAAAATTCACAATGTTTGCGATGAATCCCTTTGATTAATCCTATCTTGACAATTTACTTGGATAGATTCTGTTACTAACATCCTCACAGTTTGATTAATCTTGCTACTCAATATCATGGAGCACGGTGAGAATAGTTTTAAGTAGTATTATAATTTTAGGAACTTTACTAGATGGCGGCAAGAACTTCGGAACATGTTTATTGTATCCCCTTATTAATTCGTGAAATTTCCAACATAAAAAGATCCAAGATATTCTTCCTAATACAATTAATTAAAAGAGAACGGATAATTTCATTACTTAATTTGGTGAGGATAACCCGATTTAAAGCCTTTTAGCTTGACACCGGAAGAGTTTTGCTGTAATGTTGACTTCCCAAGTCACCGCCCATAAACCATAATCAACTACTTAAACACGAATTATTTGGTTACGATTAGTTAATAAACTATTATAGTGGCGTGTGCATCAACTCTCAAATTTCCAATAATTCATGACTTATCTGAACATAAAATATTGCATTGGGGGCCCAGCCTATAATTCAATTTTTATTTATTTTACGTTAGATTCTAAAAACTGTTCGATGCTAATTTATGTGAGATACGGCCCAACAAGCGTAAAATGTATCTAAGGAACCTACCGAACAGTCCAATTAAGAACTTTTTTTCGTATTCACTAGCTGTGTGGTTTAATGTGAAGATGATGACCTGATTCTAGTGGTGGATATGCTGCTAATCAATAAACAGGTTCTTGCAAATGTCGGACTAGTAATTTACAAAATAGTTCTATTTGTTTGCTTATTTAGGCAATCAATTTAAGGTTGTTTGGTTTGTTTGTGACACTAAGGCAGCATAAAAAGGCATTGCGCCGGCTTTGGTTAAAAGACATAAGTCAAGCAACATAGATATTTGTTCAATAAGCCAGAGGATTAGAAGAAGCTCGTCTTCCTTATGTAATGGTTGGATAAAAGAAGCTTAGAAAAAACTTTTTTCCATTAATTAATCGAGCAAATTGACAGAAAATAAACAGCAACTATAAGCTACAGTTTCTTGTACACTTCCTTTTTCATTTTTTTTGCCTCATTGGTGTCTTTCTCTCCACTCTTTGCCTTTCTTTCTTCGTTATCCATCTTATACACACAACTATATGCAATATATATAATCATATATGCCTTTTCACAGTTGTTTCAATCATCAACAACTCCTAAACTTTTTTTGGACCAAAGGTTTAACAACTCCTAAACTTAACAAACCAAAAAATTATAACGAAAAAGGAAATATCTAGCAAGGTTTAATGGATTCCGAGAAATTTGGAGAAGATGATCGGAGCATCCGTTTGCAGGTTTTATTTTCTTAATACTACATATAAAAACTTTCTACTTCGTACTTTTTCTTTCGCTTTGAATTTTTTAATTGTTTTGAGTTCTTTTCAATTGAAATTTCTTATATATGTACAATCTAGTTCATAAATATCAGACGTCAAGACAAATCTCAGTTTAGCTTCGATTAGTGTCTTAACACATTTTAAGATATTGTTGATCACGTAGATTTTATCCTTGTATGTAACATAACTCAGTTTACTCTGAAAATGCATATGGTGTTTCAATGCGTAACTGGAAGTAGAATTTTGATATCATTATTAACCTCAGATCTTTCAGTGATAAACTTCATAAGTTAGAACTCAAATGCTCAATAAGATTCGCAAATTGCAACAAATATATTTTATATATAAAAAAAAAAAATCTTCATTTTGGGTCGTATATTTTTAAAAGAAAACTCCAGATATAAAAACTTTCAAAATTGAGTTTCAAATATACAGTAGTGGGAAAACAAACTCATATAAATAAATTATTATAAACAGATATTGGAGCTTCAAAAATTAGAGGAAGCTCGAGCTTCAAGCGACACCGTATTGGAGTTCAGAAACAGCGTTGAGAAAAGAGACAGCGGCGAGACCGCAGACGCAGCGTCTGTCTCCTCCGCGATCGCGTTCCACAGATCATCATCATCCCCAGCGCCCGAGCAAAAGCTCACACTTTTGGCTCTCCGCCTTGCAATCCTCGAGAAAATCGCTACTTGCCTCGGAACACTAGGTTTCATCTGGGCGACAGTGGTTCTCCTCGGCGGATTCGCGATCACCCTCGAAAAATCCGACTTCTGGTTCATCACCATCATCCTCCTCATCGAAGGCACTCGAATCTTCAGCAGAAGCCACGAGCTCGAGTGGCAGCACCAGGCCACGTGGACGGTTGCAGGCGTCGGAATCAGCAGCTTCCGCGCGCTCCAATCAAGCTCGATTTCACTTCTCAGAAACCTAAAACGAATCAGGTTTTTTTTTTTTTGCTTATTCGAATTGGAATCGATTAATCAATTTAGGCCTTACATTTTGATTTTGAGCTACGATTGTGTTTCTTGAAAGCCGATTGAGAGAGAGGGATTGCGTCGTCGGACGACAAGAGACCTTCGATGATCTTCGAACCACTCGGACATGGAAGAAGAGCTCAGAGGCTCACCTTCTTCCGTACGCGAGATGGCTCTACATCTCCAGCTACGTGAGCCGGCTTCTCTACTGGCTCCAGCTCCTCTCAGCAACCGCCTGTGTGGCTCTGTCTTCTTACAAGCTCGTCAGGCACGACTACGGAGATGTTCAGGACGGAGAGATGGACGAAAGGAACAGACAGTCCGCTCTGAGCATCTTCTACTCGCTCGCGCTTGCCGAGGCGTTGCTGTTTCTTGCGGAGAAAGCTTACTGGGAGTGGCAGGTCAATGTTTGTAGCTTGCTTGAGAATGTGACCAGAGAGTGTGGGTTTGGGGTTACTGGGATGGTCTCCATCAAGAGATTCTTCTACGACGCTTACTCAAAGTCTGTCAATGGAAGTATCTTTGACGGTGTGAAGATGGATATGGTGAGCTTTGCCATGGACCTTTTGGCCTCTAGCTCCTCCGATGAACAGCTTATCGGAGCAAGGATTCTCAGGCAGTTTGCGGTAAATGAACGGTACGCTGATGATACACTTGAGAAGATCGGAATCAACTTACCCGTCATTGAAAGGTTTTTGCTTCTTTATAAGTGTGAAAAGTTGGTAAATTTTGTTGAGACCTGAATCATATTCATCTAAAAGATTTGACTTTTTTTAAAAAAATTTCTTCTTCAGGTTGGTGGAGATGTTGAACTGGAAAGATGTGCAAGAAGAGGAAATTAGGAGATCCTCTGCTGAGATACTTTCCAAACTCGCTGGCAAAAAACAGAACTCTCTCAGAGTTGCTGGAATCTCTGGTGCGATGGAATCAATTTCGTCGCTGTTGCAGAGCACAAGATCTTTAGGTGAAGCTCCCGACGAGATTGGAGAGAAGAAAACATTCCACGACCATCATCTTCAGTACGATTTCTGGAGGTTCAACAATTTGGGCCTCTTGATTCTAAAGAAGTTATCCAGAGATCATGACAACTGTGGGAAAATCGGTAACACGAGAGGGCTTCTCCCCAAAATCATTGATTTCACGCACACAGACGCAACACTCTTGAAGGACGAGGACGCAGATATGGTTCTGTCACGAGTCTTGACAGTGAAACGGTCCCTGCAGCTAGTGAAAATGTTGGTAAGCATGAGCGGGAGCACTGGGAAATGTCTCAGGAGAGAGATCTCGGAGATCGTTTTCACAGTCAGCAACTTGAGAGATGTTCTGCGTCACGGAGCGAGATACCCGAAATTGCAGAAGCTCGGGATCGAGATACTTAGCTTCCTCGCGCTTGAGGAAGATGCGCGGGAAAGAATTGGCGTGACTGGAGGTGTCTTGAAAGAGCTGTTCAACATTTTCTTGAGAAGCAAAACGCATGAGGATGGGAATGAGAGTCGGGTCAGAATCGCTGCAGGGGAAGCTATAGCGATGCTTGCTCTGGAGAGCAGAAGCAACTGCGTACACATTCTAAACCTGGGAGTGTTGGGAAGACTCGTGGATGCACTTGAAGCTCCTTTGGTCCGTGTCAATGCAGCGAGAGTGTTGAGAAACTTGTGCGTATACTCTGGACGTGAATGCTTTCTTGACCTGAGATTCATTAAAGCAGCTGCTCCTACGGTGAGTATCTAGTGTTGGTATAAATGCGGAGGCTAAACCCTTCAAAGATTTAAAACTTTGTTTCGTTTTCTTGCAGGCGTTGAAGTCGATAACATCAGGAGACAATAAGTTACAGGAAGTGATGCTAGGGTTAGCTACACAATTGTTCAGATTCATGAGTTCAGAAGAAGCAGACGTTGCTCTGATGGAGTCAGGGATCAAGAAGCATGAACTAGCGAACTCGTTGGTTTCGATTCTGAAAAAACATGACAAGCCAGCGATCAGAGTTCCGAGAATCAGGAGGTTTGTGATCGAGCTGGCGATATGGATGATGGAAGATGATGTGGAGAACGTTGTGATGTTCAGAGATTTGGGTATGGAGGGAGAGCTCGAGAAGGTTCTGGAAACTACGGCTGAGCTCGAGAACTTCGATGTTTTCTCGGGCACGGTTGGTGTGAGCCGCAATAGCAGAACGGTTCATTTGTTAGCTGAGTTGGCTTTGGAAATGTTTGACACTTGACAAACTCAGAGCTCTCTCTGCATTTAAAAGCTTTAACTATTATATACTCCTTGTTTAGTAAAGAAAAAGAAAGGTGATAATTATGAAACACATTATGTTTGTTTAATTTATTGTTAATTTTGACAACACTAAAATAGTTGCTCACAGTTCAAATTGTGTCTGATTATTTTCCTAAAAAAGTTCGGTAAATAACTTGTCGATTCTGTTTTAATATCTAACCAATCAAATCATTAAATCTTTTTCCCGCCTCCTGCCGGGTTAAAGATCTTTCCGATATATTTGCTAATTAAAAATAATTGTTGTATAATATTAGATATATATCGGCAAAAATAAAATCAGAACAAAATCAAGAAAAAACTAAAAGATTTAACAGAGGCAAAGAGGAAAATAAATCGTTGTATAAAGTTAAGAAAGATGATTCTCAGCAACAAAGACCTGATTCTCTTGAAGACCAATCCTTCAACAACAACACGATGGCTCTCGTTAGAAACAATCAATTCCTCAATCTCAAGCTTTCTCTTCCAAAAGTTTCCACCACTTCCGTCCCCTGCTGCTTCCCCATCGCAGCAGCCTCCACAACAGTTACTTCCTGCACAAGTAACACTGTTTCTGTTTCTGAACTAGAGAGAATCAACGTTCTCGGCAGCGGAAACGGCGGAGCCGTCTACAAAGTCAGCCACAAGACAACCTCGGAGATGTACGCGTTGAAGAAAGTCAAAGGAGACATGGATTCTGCTTCCCGTAACCAGCTCCTCCGCGAGATCCAAATCCTCCGCCTCGTCGACTCTCCTTACGTCGTAAAGTGTCACGACATCTTCGAGAAACCTTCTGGAGAAGTATCTATTCTTATGGAATACATGGATCTAGGCACGCTCGAGTCACTACGTGGCAACGCCGTCACAGAGGATCAACTCGCTTCGATCGCTCGTCAAGTATTGAAAGGGTTAAGTTACTTGCACGGGCTCAAGATCGTTCACAGAGACATCAAGCCAGCGAATCTGCTTCGTAACTCGAAAGGAGAGGTCAAAATCGCAGACTTTGGAGTGAGCAAGATCATGGTCAAGTCCTTGGACAAGTGCAACTCGTTCACCGGCACGTGCGCCTACATGAGCCCCGAGAGATTCGACAGTGAGGCTGCCGATGCAGAGGAAGACAAATCAAACGTTTACGCCGGAGATGTGTGGAGTTTTGGGCTTACGATGCTCGAGATCTTAGTGGGTTACTTCCCGCTTCTTCCTCAAGGACATAAACCAGATTGGGGCACGCTAATGTGCGCCGTGTGCAATGGAGAACCACCGAAAGCCCCCCACGGATGCTCCGGTGAGTTGAAGAGTTTCATCGATTGCTGTTTACGCAAGAAACCGAGCGAGAGATGGACAGCTTCACGGCTTCTCGCCCACCCGTTTCTTCTCCGCCAAGACTAGGGCAAATTTTCTTAGCTGAAGACATGCATGCAAACCAGGATTATAGGTTTATCCCCCTTGCAATTTAATATCTACACATTTGTTTATACGTGGCTATATTTTTCCATTGTAGAGAATGATAAGATGTAAATTTATATATCGAGTAAGGAAAATTTTCTTGAATCAATTTCAGAAAATAAGATCAGACTCTTTTATTAAGTATAGTGGTACAGAAAATAGACTAATAATACTAATCTAAGATAAGAAGAAAAAACGATTTCTTTCTTATATTGTCGCATCTAAAATTGTTAGTTATACTAAATCCCCAACGCTATTTTCCCTTCTGATAATTATAACGTCTTGCTTCCATTTGAATTGGATAATTAGTAATTACTGAATTGGATAATTAGTAATTACTATCTTCTTTTTTTTTTCTAGCAATTGATTTCCATTTAAAGTACTCCGGTGTCCTCTTATTTTTTATTTTTTATTCCCAATTTTTCTTTGTAAAAAGAAATCAGTACAGTATTTTATAATTAATTACACCCTGCAGAGAAATTGGAGCGGCGGTGCGCGGCAATGACAAAACAAAACAAAGGCATGTGAGGCCAATCACCACCATACACGACGAATTAAATGTTTGACTGAATTGACAAAAACACCCCTAACGCCACACCGACGCGATTTCAGAAAACGCATCGTTGCCCACATGTCTATCCTCCATTATTTAGCGCGGTCATCGGTCTGTGGTCACGGTAAATCCAGTGGAACAACAGGGATATAATCGTCTAGACATAAAATTGTCTTTTCGCCCTCTCCACCTCCATTAAAATGCTTTTTTGGCTGCACCTGGGCTGTCCTAATTTTTCCTGGAATTCAATTTTTTTAGCTGTCAAATTTTAATTTTTTCCTTCTTCTTGATCTTTGGTCTGTTTAATTTTTTTTTTTTGTCAAACTTGATGTTTGGTTGGTTTAGTTGAGAAGTGAAGACTTTTTAATCCTCCCCTCTCTTCCTTTTAAAGTTCTTGGTGAATATTGGAATTAAAACTGCAAAACCTAGAAGGAGAAGGAGTTTCTTTTGTTTTTTTCTGCTAAAAGAACGAAACTTGTAGATTGTTTATCATTCATCGTCCTCGTCATCATCATCTATAAGTACGGAAGCGAAGTTTTCCATCATTAAGCATATAGAGTAAGTTTAATGTTTGATTTATGATATCTTTATTTAAAGTAAGTGTTTATTGGATTTTAATGATTTATCGGTAGAGAATCTAAAGGCGTATTCTTTACTAAGAAAAAAAAAAAAACCTCATCTTGGAAATTTGGCTTGTCGTCTAATTGATTTTTAGTAATCTCTTTCTCTTTTTGCGATTTTCTCACTTGAATCCTCATTTTCTGGGTTTTTGTTTGTGTCGAATCCTCAGAGATGCCGGAGAAAGGAGCGATTCTGTCTCCGGTGGCAAGCCAACTGAATATTCTACGGCCGAGCCATCTGCTTCAATGGCGGCTCGGTGCTCTTACAGCACTCGTCTTCTTCCTCATGTTGGTCGTCTGGAGCATTGACGGTTGCTCGATCCAAAGCCTCGTCGAGCCATGGAGATCCAATGCATACTTCATTCGACTCAATTTTTCTCCGTCTCCTTCTCCTTCTCCGTCACCAAAACCTCATTTGGTATCCCAGAAACCCCACCGACAAAATCTCACCATGAACACCACGACGGGTCCACGGAATCTGGATCCGAAGAAGACGAATCTCACTTCAAACTCGACCCGGGTCCAATACGGGTGGATTACCGCCGAGTTGGAGAAGAATTTCACGGCGAATCTGATGAGAAATTGGTTGGCTCCGGGAGGAGCGCCGTGCAGGGAAGCTAAAACCGTCGAGATTTCCGTTCCCGGTGTCGACGGGGTTGATTCGGTAGAGCTAGCCGCCGGCGAGATCCACGAATTCAAATTCCAAGCCCTTGACGAATCTAAACAGCCCGTTTGCATTGGCGGGGACTATTTCGAAACTGACTTATCCGGAGAAAGTTGGAAATCTAGGCCGCCGGTGAAAGATTTCGGCAACGGAACTTACTCGATGTCGTTACAAGTTCATCCTGAGTTCGCCGGAGAATTCAACCTCACCGTCATTTTGCTCTTCCGCCATTACCAAGGCCTTAAGTTCAGCACCGCACGTTTAGGCTTCGACCGTAAGCTTCGAAACGTCCGATTACGTTTCGTCGAGAAGCCTGCCATTGCTCTGCCGGAGCTCCGATCGTGTAAAAAATCCGATTTCACTCGAGACGCCTGGTCTGGAAGATGGACCAGGCTAGGGAAAAACGACGAGTGCCAGATCAGCAACGACGGTCGTTACCGGTGCCTCGCCGCTGACTTCCCTTGCCGGAAACCGTGGTGCGACGGAGCTGTTGGAGCCATAGAGAGCAACGGTTGGGTTTACTCCAGCCATTGCTCTTTCAAGCTCTTCTCCGGCGACTCGGCTTGGGATTGCTTGAAAAACAAATGGATTTTCTTCTGGGGAGACTCGAACCACGTGGATTCGATCAGAAACATGCTGAACTTCGTCTTGGGTCATCGGGAGATCCCCGCTGTTCCTAGAAGATTCGACTTGAAGTTCTCCAACCCGAAGAACTCATCGGAGACGGTGAGGATCACGAGCATCTTCAACGGTCACTGGAACGAGACAGGGAACTATCAAGGCCTTGATTCGCTTAAAGACCGAGACTTTAGGGAATTGCTCAAGAAATACTTCTCGGAGAAGAGCGTTCCGGATGCTATGGTCGTGAACTCGGGTCTACACGACGGGATTCACTGGTCCAGTCTTAGAGCCTTTGAGAAAGGCGCTGAAACCGCAGCCGCGTTTTGGAGACAGGTTTTCGACGGTGTCAAAAGCAGGGGACTGCGACCGCCTGAAGTGATTTTCAGGAACACGATCGCTACGGGCGGTTACGCCAGAACGCTGGCGTTCAACCCGAGCAAAATGGAGGCGTTTAACGGTGTGTTTCTTGAGAAAATGAGGGATGCAGGATTGGTCACAAGCGTGGTGGATAATTTCGATATGACGTATCCGTGGCATTACGATAACCGGTGCAACGACGGCGTTCATTACGGAAGAACTCCGGCAAAAATGCGGTGGAGGGACGGTGGGATCGGACATCAGTACTTTGTGGATTTGATGCTCGTTCACGTGTTGCTGAATGCATTGTGCGTGAGATAGTGTGATGATCAAAGTTTGGTTTAGGAGTCCAGGATTCTTTATTTATTATGTGTAGATTTTTTTTTTTTGGAGAGTAAAGATTATTATTATTATTTGGAAGAAAATCTCAGATTACGCTGTATAATAATAATAGCGAGAGAGAGAGATTGGGAGCAACAAATGTGTAGTAAAACATTTTCCCTCCTGATTATAAGTAGGTTTGTTGTCTCTGTTGATTCCTCTGTTCTTATTTCTTATGGACTTGTAAGTAAGAACTTAAGAATTTAGGATTGTAGGAGTTACCAAGTGACAACGATTCTGTCCTTGTCTCTATCACCGATCAATAATACTTGGTTTGTGTTTGGTTACGGGTGATTGTAATATATCTACATAATATTGTCTCTATTCTTAAAGGCTTTTTTTTTAAAACTACAGAAAGAAAAAGAACAAAAAGACAGCTTGATATCAATCAATGATATGTCTTTACTCGCAGCCAAAATCTTGCATTCGTGAATGTTTGGAACATATATTGGTCGTCAAGGAAACGAAAATGTCAGTAGATTTTACTACTTGTGTAAAGTACTATAAAAGAATCAGGGACTGCTCTAGGTAATAGTAATGCATCAATTAATCATTTCAATTTGGGTCAGATAAATAATCTTTTTTTTTCATTGTAAAGCCTATAATAAAGAATAAAAAGGAGTTAATTAGAAACCAAAAGGGAGATTACTTCATAATGGTAAAAGTTCAAGCAAAGTGTGTGTGTGTATTTTATTTTATTTTGCAAGAAGGAAGTGAGGTATATTATCAACTTGCTAAAGAGAAATAACAAAGTATTTGTCGGCGTCCTTGATTTTTGGCTTATTGTCGTCCTACACACCAGTTTTACATTTTCCTTCACCACAAGCTCAAGATAATCAATTTCCAAATATTTGGGATACGTATTCTTAGATTCGATGGAGCATGTTTTTTTGATAAAAAAAATATATCAATATTAACTGAAACATAAATATTAAAATTCTATGGCTCCATTTGGTTTATTTTTTCGTTAAATCAAAATTAGTCGACACACACTCTAGTGAGAATTAAATATGCTCCAGTGTTAATTTTACTATTAAACTAATATTAGCTTAATATATATATATATATATATATATATATAAATCTTGAACGATCTGTCACCCTAGACTTAGTATTTAAACTCGACTTATCCAACATACGTTTGTTAGCACCAATCAAATTATAAAATTTGTTTTTTACGAGTTTTGTCTGGTTCGGTGAACAATCAGTAGGCATTAGTAAACCGAAAATGTTTCTCCTTTATTTTTCTTTCAAACAATTCATAAATGTTAAGTACAATGATGATATTGCTCTTGCATTCACACACATATAAATATACAGTACACAATACAAAATCCAATATTCCACTCTTGTGAACCATAAAAGAAGAAATAGAAAAAAATGGATATGATAAAAACATCAAAAATGAAGTTCACAAAAGAGATGATAGAGTCTATCAAAGACAAGCTCCCAAGACTCAGCCTCCTCCTCCTCTTCCTCCGACAATGCTACGGCGGTTGTGGCGACCGAGCCCACTTACTCCCCTGCTCCATCGCCACCGCCTCCACCCGCTTCTGGAATCTCTCGGATCGTCCCGTGGAGCTCCAGATTCGAGTCGGGTCGATCCTAAAACGGGTCCACACTCTCAAACCCGGCCGTTCCAAGAAGCTAAGACACAGTAACATCCACAGAGCCTATGTGCCTGACCAAGAAGGACGTAGATGGTTGTACTACGACGACACGTGTCTACCGTACGTATGGGTGCACGAGACCGGTACGGACTTGTCGAAGATGGTGAAGCAACAGTACGTGAGTCTCGAGGATCTGAGGGATTGCTCGGAGATTAGGGTTTTTAAGGATTTACACAGAGGTTGTGTCTCTGTTGAGAAGAGAGACAGAGCTTCTGCTTTGTGTTGATTCTATATCCTTCTTCAGAATTTCTTAATTTTCTCCTTGTGAAATTCATCATTACTGGTTTAGTCAATCTAAATCTTTTTTTTTTGGGGGGTCAAACTTCATCTAATTAATTATGGGTTCTATATTAATATATATAGATATGTATTTTATTGTGATACATGATGCATGTTATCTATTTGTAGCTCCATCTCCAATATTGACTCTTCTTGATTTTGGATTTAATGGATTAAACAACGTGATCACAAAGTTTATTTTGTACCAAAATGGGGTAACTAGATCTACTTCTCGGAAATTTGTGGTAGTTGAGGATTATATATATTTTTTTAAAAAATCACAAGGTGACATTATTAAGTTAACACAACTTGGTTAGTCGTTATATAGTATAAGTGATCTCATTAAAATTTTAAATGTATTATAACTTGTATACGAATGAACCATGAATGTGGTTCATAATCCAATTCTTTTGACGTTTCTTTTAATGTTATTTTCCTAAATAGTGTGAAATTAAACAAAGTTTGTTATAATGAAGACTATTCCTGAAGATTTCTATCGTCTTCTTTTTTGTTCATAAACAAAACATCACTGCAAAAAATGTTATCTTTACACATATCTCGATGATCAATAATGTGTTGTATTTTCTTCGCTGGAGAAAGGCAACAAAAACCAAGTGAGGTGCTTTGATGGCAGGCAAAATAATGACCTTCCCCTCAGATCCCCCCACTTTGGTAGAGCACTAATAAATTAATCCATTTGTGTCATATATTTATCCAGTGTCCTGTATTTGATGCAATAAAACTTGCGGTAAAAACTCAAGAAAGAATCAGTGGAACGTCTATGCATGATGACTGATGATACGTATGTTTATATGAGGTTCTAAAAAATCGATATTCCGCATGAGACTTGGTAACAACATGTCTCTATTCTGTATAGTTATAGAGTTGACTTTTGAGGAGCATCAGTTAATAATGCACGCCACGGTTAGTGAGATTAGGTGGGAAATATATAAAGTCAGAGTTATGAAGAAAACTGTAAACCTAACCAATTTTTTTATAAGTACGACTACTCTTAGTTTTTTCATATCTTAAATCTATTATGTTAAACATGATTTTATAGAGAATAATCATAAAAATTAAAAAGGTGTATTTTTAGATCTACACAACATTTGTCCTTAAATGTTAAGTATCTACTCAACATTTCTCAAACTGAAATCTATTAAAACATTTCTTCTTTTCCAATGAAATAATCAGCAGTACTATTTACGCCCTCACCTTTTAAAAGCTGCAACTTCTTCAATGCATCATTAGCGTTGCTAACACACACACACACAAGAATTCAATTAACATAAGAATGTATATTTACGCATGATACATTATCAGCTCCCATAGAAACATCTCTTTGTTTACAACTTTAATGTTGCGTAAGGATTAGAAGACCCTAGAGAAAAAATATTAGATTAGTGATAATGGATTCTGATATTGGAAAAATTGGTAAAGATTTCTCAATAAGTAAAGTAGATAAAATTATAATATGAATGTTAACCGAACTAAAATAAAACCAAACCAAACAATAAACCAAAAGAAATGTTTTGATGCGCGATCGGTTTAGAAAGTAAGAAAAAGAAAAAGAAAAGAAAAAAAAAAAGTCAAAAAAGCTTTACCGAATCTTCAACAACACATCTCACTTGTCTTCCAAAATCCAAATCTTCTTCTTCAGTGTGCTTCTTCTGTTCTGCTGTCTTGTCCTCTTTCTTTCCTTTTCACTCTCACCAATGGGAATCTCCTTTAGCACAAACAGAAGACGAGACAACAACCGCCGTCACCTCCTCCACCATCCTCCGCCGCCTTACTATTACCTCGATCCTCCTCCGCCATTTCCACCGCATTATGACTACAGCTATTCCACTTACCAGGTATCTCCGCCTTTACCACCACCGCCACAGATCAACTCTTGTTCCTACGGTCACCATTACCATTATTACCCTCAGCATCAGCATCCTCAGTATTTCACCCCCGCCCAGCCCAATTGGTGGGCCCCAACGATGAGGCCGGGATTCTGCGGTCCACCTCTGCCGCAACAAACGCAACCGCTTCCACCGCCGTACGTTGAGCAACAGAACGCAAAGAAGGTGAGGAACGATGTCAATGTGCATAGAGACACGGTGAGGCTCGAAGTGGACGATCTGGTCCCTGGTCACCATCGAGTTTCCTTCGTCTTCGATGCCATTTTCCACGGCAGGTAATACATTCACCGATCTGGCTTTAACCCTTCTGTAGTTAGGGGTCTTATCATTGACAACTGCGTCAAATGTGATTGAATTTAGAGTAAAAGCCATAATTGGGAAGAAATTGGCAAATGTAGGTCGAGGGAACTGGGAAAGGAAAGATCTTTATGTGGGAATCACTCTTTCCGATTAAAAAGGCTCAAACTTTACATGATTTGCTTGATGGGTTTGATCAAGAATGCGTTATTTTAGATCAGAAACGTTGAGAGATCCTTGTAAATCCAATCCCATATTTCTCCAGAATTCGATTAACCTTACTATATGATTTGTTTTCCGATCAATGTTAAGAGTATATAGAAAGATCCTCACTGTATTCTCATTTCGTTTTCAGTTTCACTATTACCTTCTTTGCGAAGGAGGAACCAAACTGCACGTTTGTCCCGCAGTTTCCAGAGGTTTATTCACCGACAAGATTCCATTTTCAGAAAGGTCCTGGACAGAAGTTCTTACAGCCTTCGGGGACAGGAACCGATTTGAGCTTCTTCGCCCTTGACGATCTGTCAAAACCTTTACAAGAGGACGTGTACCCTCTTGTAATATCAGCTGAGACGGTAATCTCGATCTCAGAGCAATCATCAGTTCATAAGCAAGTCACACAAGCGGTTCTTGAGAAGGATAGCGATGGATCTTTCAAAGTGAAGGTCGTGAAGCAGATTCTTTGGATCGAAGGAGTTCGATATGAACTCCGTGAGCTGTATGGCTCGACCACTCAAGGTTCAGCGTCGGGTTTAGAAGACAGTGGTTCGGGTAAAGAATGTGTGATCTGCATGACTGAGGCTAAAGACACGGCCGTGTTGCCTTGTAGACATTTGGTAAAGCGTTTCTGAATCTTTTGCTTTTGGTTTCATAATTTTGCATTTTCATCTTGCAAACCCCATTGTCTTATTCTAATGCCCAAATGCGTCTTATGTCGGTCTTTGCAGTGCATGTGTAGCGACTGTGCGAAAGAATTGAGGCTTCAGTCCAACAAATGTCCGATTTGTCGACAACCCATCGAAGAGCTCTTAGAGATCAACGTGGACAGTAGTGATGAACAACACTAATATATTAAAAAAAGGTTCTTCTTTTACTTAAGCACCATTCTTGATTCTTTCTTCTTCTTTATTCGAAATCTGTATTTCCGATCATTGTTGTGTAAGTTCATACCGCATATAGATTTGTTTGTTCCAAAGCTTTGTATTTGAAAGATTTAAGCATCAGTATATGTATAGCTAATGTGCTAGAAAAGCTTTCCTTTTTTATATTTTTATCCTCTTGGAAAAATTTTCTAGCACTCTCAACGATCCACTTCATGTGTGTAATTGAATGCGTTTGTATGTGTATGTTTCATGGTATAATTGTGGATATTCAAATCTGCAGAGTTACTTAGCTATAACTCTACACCTTCGTCTCTTTGTTATCTTGCAAACCTTTATGAAGACTTTGGTCTATGCAGATATTCAAAAGAAGAGAGGTAAAAACATAGCTGAAGTTGAAGAAGAAAAGCTTTTTCTTCTTTTTGCCTATTAGGCTATAAATTTAAAACATCCATTGACGAAAAGCTGCTGCACGAAAAAGAATGTTTCCCACTGAAGTTATGCTTAAAAGAAAGGAAAAAAATAAAATCCTCTTTTCTAAAAAAAAATAGTCTAATAAAGTCATTCTTTTGAGAGAATCTTCAAACTTTTGAAATGAGAAAAGTCTTGATTTGATCTGTTATTGTTGGGCTCAAGTTTAAACTGAACTTAATATCTAATCCAAGCGATCAATTGGCATAATTTTTTTTTTATCTCCATACTAAGCTAATTAAGACTAAACATTTTCAATCGATAACGCATTACGAAATGAATAGTTTCGTACGGTCTGCGACATGCAACACTAAAATATCATATAATTCACTAAGATGAATTGTTATCAACGGTGAGGTCCGTGAGGTCGATGAGAATTATTATTTACCTTTTATAGTCCAAAACGTACAAGAGTGCACTTTCCTAAAATATGATCCTGAAAACGAATCCAAAGGAAAAGGTGATAAACACAAGAAGAGAATCGGACAAAAAGCTTGAGGAACTAATGTCATTTTGTGAAGAAGAAGAAGAAGAATAAGAAGAAGAGATATGTCATGTGCAGAGACCACTCATGTGACCAACAGCTATTAAATTAGGCAAAACTGCAACGACAAAAGTCAATTATTAATCTCAACATGCTAGTTTTTTTTTAACCCATCAAGTACTTTTTCAATTATACACGACTCTTTTGGGGCTTTCCAAATTTGTAAATTATTCTTCTTATGGTTTAATTCTCAATAGATCATATCAAACAAAAGTTTTGGAGATCCTAATTTTAAAATTTTCTATTACTTGGTCATATTTAGTTAAGATGTGATAATTATAGAATCAGGCATCCATTAAAATGTGCCTTTCACCAAGAAACCCGTTCCATTCTTTTTTTTTCCAAAGAAAATCATTCTATTTATATAACAATCAATTTTATTTTGGCTCACTTTAGATGCTCATCTATATGAAAAAAAAAAAAAAATCCTTAAAGAATTATTTTAACCCAAAAAGAAAGAAAAGATAGGCAAGAGAGTTGTGTTTCATGTTATGTTTTAGGCTTTAACAATGACTACCATCGGTAGTAAATGCGTCGAAGAAAAGTGTCTGAAAAGGAAAATTAATATCGTTGGAAACAAATATATATTTATAAAAAAATAGGGGAAACCTATTGAGATCCGTCCGAAAACGTGATTATGTCTAATATCAAATATGAAATACGAGGCCTTCATCATTCTAAAGAATCATAACTCAGTCCCACTCTCTGTTTCTATTTTCATATAACCAAATTTTGACTAGTTTACTAAAGTTTTGAGCCTAGAAATTCTCGAAAATAAAAGTTTGAAAATGTTGTTTTTCACATCTCATTTTTTATTTTTATTTTCATCTGCACATCTCTACTTAAATAATTAGGAAATATATACTATGTAAAAACTAATTTGACAGAACAAGAACTGAATTTTTTCTAAAGAGTTTATTGCGAGAAAGTTATTTTTGTCTAAGCTTTTAGGCAAACAAAAGAAGATAATATTGTTCACTCCTTTCTTCTAATAAATTGAAGCAGCGACTTTGCTCTTCTCTCTCTCTCTCTCACTCTGACTCTGAAAAAGATGAAGTGGAGAAGTTAATATGTTCACCAACTTACTGTAAAGCCTGAAACTCTCTTCTTTCTTATTTGCCTTCTTTCAAGTACGTCTCTCATTCTCCACCTTCTCTGTTTTTTTCTCTCCGCCTCTCTGTTTCTTTGTTGTTTTGAAAAAAGAAGGTATATTTCTCAGCTATCACATGTACGTTATATATGTGATGTGTCCCTTTGCTTGTCTCTTGAATGTGTTTTAAGAAAAAAAACATTTTCTTGATTTTTTGGTAGTTTAGATTGAAGTTGGGAGTGCCGAGTTATCTCAGATCTGGTAATAAAGAGAGAAACAGAGATTTGAGTGTCGTCACCAGACCATTCTTCTTCTTTTTTCACCCAATCCTGTTAAGAAAAAATGAGTAAAGAAGAGTTCATGAAGATCCAGGTTTGTTCACCATTTCAGTAAGATTCATTCTCAGTAAGAATAAAAAAACTTCTCTTGACTTCATCTATGATTTTTTATTTGTAGACTTGTGTTCTTAAAGTGAACATACACTGTGATGGTTGTAAGCAGAAAGTCAAGAAGATCTTACAGAAAATCGAAGGTAGAGAAAAAAAATATACAAAATCTCTTTTGACTTTTTGAAGTATCGAATCAAAGATTTATCAGGTTGTTGACCAAAAGTCTTGAAACTCATTTTGGGGTTTTGTCTGAAACCAAAAACCAGGTGTTTTCACGACCAAGATTGACTCAGAGCAAGGGAAAGTGACTGTCTCTGGGAGCGTAGATCCCTCAGTTCTCATCAAGAAGCTCGCCAAATCTGGTAAACATGCTGAAATCTGGGGAGCTCCAAAGGGTAACAACAATCCGAACCAGTCCTATTTGGCCAATCAGTTGAAGGGAATGCAGATTGACAATGGAAAAGGCGGCGGCGGCGGCGGAAACAATAACAATAACAAGAAAGGCCCGAAGAACGGAGGAGGAGGAGGCGGTGGTGGAGGAGGTGGCGGCGGTGGCGGCGGTGGCGGTGGAGGTAACAGTAATGCGCCAAAGATGGGTCAGCAACTGAGTCCACAACAGATTCAGCAGCTTCAACAGATTCAGAAGATGAAAGGGTTTCAAGATCCGAAGCTTCCTCCTCAGTTAAAGGATTTGAAGGGCTCTGTTCCTGCGAACAAGAATCAAAACCAGAAAGGAGTGAAGTTCGATGTTCCTGAGGATGATGAGGATGATTTTAGTGATGACGAATTCGATGATGAGTTTAGTGACGATGATGACGACGAGTTTGATGATGATGAGTTTGATGATCTCCCTCCTCTGCCTAGTAAGATGAAGCCCAACGTGATGATGCCTAACGCTCAACAGATGATGATGATGAACGCTCAAAAGAACGCCAATCTTGGCAGTATCCCTGGTAAAAACGGCGGTAAGGGAGTTCCCGGCGGTGGCGGCGGCAAAGGTGGTCCTAGTGGTGGCGGCGGTGGTGGTAATCAAAACCAAGGCGGAGGCAAGAATGGAGGTAAAAGCGGTGGTGGTGGACATCCACAAGACGGTAAGAACGGCGGTGGAGGCGGCGGTGGTCCAAACGCCGGAAGGAAAGGTAACGGCGGGGGTGGGCCCTTGCCTGGAGAACTTCCGACCGGTTTACGTCCCATGGGAGGCGGAGGACCGCAAAACATGAGCATGTCTATGGGTGGTCCAATGGGTATGGGCGGTCCGATGGGGAACATTCCGGCGGTTCAGGGATTACCAGCGACGGGTCCAGGCGGTGCACCACCGGGTTACTTCCAAGGAGGCGGGGCAGATCCGATGCAAATGCAGCAACAACAGTACTTAGCAGCGGTTATGAATCAGCAACGAGCTATGGGAAACGAGCGGTTCCAACCAATGATGTACGCAAGGCCACCACCGGCGGTTAACTACATGCCACCACACCCGCACCCGCACCAGTATCCGAACCCGTATCCATACCCGTACCCGTATCCACCTCATGGGAATGATCAGTATTCTCATGTCTTTAGCGACGAGAACACATCAAGCTGCGATATTATGTGAGATTAGTATAAATCTAAATAAAACTCTTGTGTATCTTCTTCCTTTCTTTGTTTTTTTCCACGGATCAAATCCTAAATCATGTTAGGTTGTTTCTTTTGCCCATCCCAAATTTGTGATAGTTGCAGTAGTTTTATAGAATTATTATAATTTGGATGAACTTTCGTCTATAAATTATATTATATTTGAAGTTGTGTTTCTCTCCGTCCATGTGACTTCTCATTCGCTAATCTACAAAAATAGTTATGAATATACGGAACTGCTATGAACAAATTCGGTAGATACGAAATCATGATTAGATATTCGTACTTTTGGTATAATCTTATTAACATATACATATTTGTCTAATTGACAAAATCGTACAAAAACTAAAAAGAGGACAGAGGGAGTCTTAATGGAATTGGAGTTGTGTCCCCACGAACGGGCCATTTATATTAAGGGAAGATCTTTTTCTTCCACTATTTATGGATCTTGCTTTTATTTCTTCTTGTTAATTATTGTTAGTTCTTAATAAAACTGATAGGGAAAAAAAGGGTCCCTTTTTGTTTTGGCTGTCAATGGTTTAAGGTTAAAAAAAAAATGATGAGCAAAAAAGTCAGCAGATTTGGTTGCATTTAAATTCAAAAGTAAAAACAACGACTTATAATAATAACTAAGTTGTGTTTATTGTTTAATAGTGTGAATATAACGACTTATAACTAAGTTGTAAAGAATAACAAAAATTGGGTCGTCATCACATTACATAGTCTTCCTAGTACATAAAATCGGTCATCAATCTCTATCAACAGTTCACGTTCGACGGTACCGTTGCTATTCACTATTGGACGGTTTGGTATCGATCACTATTGTCTGAGCAACCAAATCAATAACAATCATGACTTTAATCCACAATTCAATTGTTTGAAATCATGCGTTATTACTGTTTGTTACTGTTGTAAATTCCCATACGACGTCGATTGATGGTCTTTGTAACCATTCAAACTTCCAAGACTCAAAATAAGGGATGAGGGAAGATACCATCATGCATGGCATGACATTGCATGGTCATGTTGATGATGGTTGATGATGATGGGGCCCAGAGGCAGAGAACAGTTGAATGAGTTAAATGAAGGCTATGATGTGTGCAGCTAAGTGTAGCGTCAGCAGAATTGTTCAGAATTGCATGTCTCATCTTTCTCTCTATGCTTTTAGATTCACCTATATATCAGATTCTGTTTTTTTTCTTATAACCTATTATATTATTAGATTCTGTTTATTTCGTAACATTTTCCTACTTTTTCTTATCTTGCTGTCATGACGATGGTAAAAAATATGATACACATATGCCGAGAAAAATACATATATTGAGAATATATGAAAAAGACACCATTGATCTAACCTAATATATATATCTTGCAGGATATAAATTTCTAATGATGAAAATACGTTTTAAGAACTAGGAAAATATATAAAGTTTTCATCAGATATATTTTCTGAATTTGAAAAACAATAAATTTTCTATTCGCCTAACAGCAATTTTTTCTTATGAAAAGAAAAAAAAAAAACAGTTGAAATTTCTTGCAACGGTCTCTTTTTTTCGTTTACTGCGTAGTAGTAGTAGTAGTGTTCATTTTTCTGTATTTTGCATTTATTAGATCACCGCAATTAAATAATTTGAGCTTTAAAAACAAAAACAACAGGAATTGAAAGAAGAGGAGTTGAAAAGTGAAGACAAGTAAAAAAAGTGAGATGCGACAAAGTGTGGGAGTAGCTCGAGATCCGACATTTGTTCATCTCTTGTTTGGTTGTAGCTCTAAGTCTATCCTCCCGCTCCCGCTCCCGCTCGGGTCACTCCTGTTTCCAATCAACACTCCTTTACAGGTAGTTGACAAACAAACCCATCTATTTCTCCTTTCTCCTCTTTTGGGACCCATAGTTTTTTTTTTATTTCACCTTTTTATTATTTTCCTTTTTCGAAAGTGATCGCCACACACAGCCAATATCATCTCTTTGTTACTATATAATAATTCTAGAGTTGTGTGCATCTAATTGAAATTACTTTAGCCGATAATATCATCTAATTGCTCTTTATAATGCAATTGATGTTTTCTACTGGGGCAGTCAGTACAACCAGTCAGCCAATGCCCTTGGTATCCTACTTTATGGTGGCTTTATAGAGATTCCGTTTTGTTGTTGTATATATATTTGATATATATTATATATATATATTCCTCACTTTGAAAATCTTAAGAAGAAGATATGCGTTTGAGAATATATTTAAGGAATAATGTTATAAATATACCGACACTTTTCAAAAGTAAATTATTGGTGAAACTTTGTAATCTTCCTGTCTTTCCCTCTTTAACTTCTTTTGCTTGACATTCACTGTGTTTGTCAATATTCCTCAAACTGATACATCCTTAGTTTTGTAAGAGCACGAGATCTATTGTGATTAAAAAGAACTTTTTTGTGGCAATGGTTGTAGATTTTATTAACATTGAACTTTGATAACTTCATTTACATTAATTAAAGATTAATTTTGATGAAGGAATTTAAGTTTGAATGGCTCGTGTGAAAAACATCAGAAGCAAGCAAAGACCACTTTAACTATCCACAAAGGAACTGACGGTCTACTAAACATCTTTTGCCAAATCAATAATTGAACCACGCGCTTCCTCACATGCATGCTAATTTATCTCCTCTACCTAATTATTTTAATTACGATTAATTAATTAATACTAGAAAATTAAATAAATAACAGTATTCACATTACTGTGTTTTTTTTCCTTGCTTTGTTAAAGATTTTGCTGTTTAAATTTAACGTACCTTCTTAAGTCTTTGAGGATTTGCTATTCACTTGATTATGCGAATTTCAATTAGACACTGACACTAAAACCCGAGAAAATACGTGTATTCACGAGTTGTCGTTTTACACACTTGCAAAAGCTCGCACAAATACTTATATATATACTCAAAAGATTCATTAATACAAACTAATAACCGTAGAAAAATCAATGGGAGTGGGTGACTATTTCAATTTTCGTTTATATCCGTTAAAATATGGACAATGTTTTAGTAGATTTAAACGAAAAATGAGAGCAATTAGAATGAAAGCAGAAGGACACGAATGCGGTCACGGGCACAAGTAAACATATATAAAAAAGATAATCTAGAAAGAAAATGAGATTAATAATGAGAAGCAGTGAGATTTTCTTGGTGGGTGTATGTAAGCATTAGATAATATATATTTGACAACTGGAGTGTGCCACATTTCGTGATACTGATCATGTACGTTATACTCCTTTTGCATTTAAATATTCCATATACTATATTCATGTGTTCATGCATCAACTATTAAATCAGATATTATTATACGAACCAAAAAGACTTCTCCTTATATGGTTAATTCAACTTTGTAATACTCGTCAATTACTAAGCTGACGCATGTATATACAATTTGTTCATTACATTGTATATTAGTAATGCCCTTTTGTCAAAATAAAATCTTAATTATGCCCTGTCATTTTCTTTTCCTTTTTGTTTGGCATATAAATAGTTTTGCCAAATACTAGCATTCTCGACGTGTGTCCCTTGAAATAAGGCCAGCTGCCAATTTTACTATTTTACAAATTCCTTCGTATCGTTTAAAAATATTCCCTTGTTACAAATATATTTTAACAACTATCATTTCCCCACCAAACTTATGTTCTATCACACTTTTGTCATTAAAAAAAAAAACTAAAATAACGATGTTTAATTGGATACAACAAACTATTTGATGGAAACCAAAATAAAAACTATAAAAAATCTTTGTTTTCTTCTCGATAATAATTATTAGATAAAGATATTATATAAGAAGAGATTATTTGATTTCGTAGTTTTACAATGTAAGAAAGAGATAAACATCATATACAGTATTGTTTCACGTTTATAAGTTTTATTTAGATATTAAAGGGGCTCACGTGCATTTGCATGAAAGAAAGAGCTTCATATCTTGTATCTCTAATATTTAACATATTATCGTACTATTATGTGTTTTGTTTTTCTTCTTTTTTCACAATTCCAGTCTTTCCTAAAATCGAAGGTGAAGAGCCGAAAGCAGTCTGTTTTTTTTTTTTTTGGTTACGGAAGTGCATATTATAGCTTAGCAAGAGGCATAAGGGCTCTCTTTGCAAGTGCATCTGCCAACGAGGAATAAAAGTGAAAAGAGATCAAGGGAAAGTTTGATGCTAGTATACGGAGGAGCTCAAGCTTCAGCCACAAATCTGATAATTCCAGAACTAAGCCACTTCCTGTTTCTTTTACTTAAATTTCTTTTTTATATAAAAAGTATTTCTTTTACTTTTTGTTTTTAAGTTCACAGAGTTCATAATTTGCATATAATAAGTGTGTTTATCTTTTGATTCGAGCTACAAAATCCGAAACATAGTCTAGACTCTAGACTCGGCATATAATATTTAGATATTTTGAAAACCATATAATGAAAAAACAAGAAAAAGTTCAATTTATTAAACTAGATTCTGAATTCTTTAAGTTCGATCTGACAAAGCTATATAAGAACAGACCAAACCCCGGGAAGGTGAGACATCGTTCAAGAAATGTCTAAAATATGGGAATTTATCTTACTCAAAAAAAAGTAATTCAATCTAATTATTAGTATGTTGAAGATTAGACTCTATTAGTTTAGTGATTTTTTATTTATTTATGACTACATTTACATACATACATGCAGATGATGATGTGGAAAAACTTTAAACTATAGTTGGAGCATAATTTGTGATGATTTATTATGGGAAATTACACATTTGATCGGGTTCGATCGGATATTACAACAAACTAAAGAAAACACAAGTAATAAGATCGATACAAGTTAAACAAATAATGAGGTTTTTAGGAGCTTATTTCTAGCAAAGTATCAAGTATGCTCATATAATGACGATACACGCTAGTACATGTATACTTTTGGTATTAGTTGGTAGAGACGATGACTTCAGGTACAAAGCTTTTCTGAACTTCGAGGGTTAGCTCCTCCAAGCTTAAGTGACACTCCAGTCCTATCTGCATGTGTAAATTTAATTATTTTAGCCAAAATCTATATAAAAAGCAAAACATTTACATTGATGTTTTCTTTGATCCATATGTACATTAAAGATTAATAGCTATCACTAATACTTGGATTACATTTAAGTGTAAAGAAACATTATTCACAATATTAATTTGGTCACTTAATCGACGCAAGGTACCGGTTTTCGGTTAGCATAATTGGCGTTCCATCAGTCCATGATAGGTCGAATCTCAATAAGTTTATACTCTAAATCCAATCTGTTGTCTATTGGTATCTAGTGAGTTTGATTAGTTATTCGAGTGATTGAACTAACAGAGTTAATTATGTACCTTGACAACGAAGAAGTACAAGACAGTCTCTTCCATGCTGCTAATGTTGAGATGAAGAACCTGTAAACATAGTTTCTCCAAGACGGATATGATCCTCACGAGCTGTCCGGAAATTCGCCTAGAGACAACTCTTAGTACAACGTTAGAGCCTGAGATTTTGGCTTCGACGTTAGCATGAGGGGAGTTGCAACAAGCTCCTACTTCCTTGAAAGTGCTTGTGGTCATTACATTTTCTATTCTACTAAACGGCACTCTGGTGGTTGCGTTTGTGGAGGCTGCAGCGGCTAATATGGATGGCTCGAGTGTTTGGTGATCATAAGGAAAAGTAGGTCGGTTTAGTGTCTTTCGACGTTTCTTGGACTCGAGAACTTGCACCAATTGCTGCAGCTCTTTGATGAACTCTATCACTCCTCCGATTATTGAAGCTTGATCTCCCTAATAACGATCAATCATCGAAAACAAGACCATAGTGAATAGATTGGTGCATGCGAGTAATTGTAACAAATTTAACAATTAAAAATAGATATCGTCTATCAAAACACATATATACAAGAGACAATAAAGAAAATGAGAATAGGATGGCACAACATATTTTTTCAAAATTAGTAAGTTTAGAGTATCCGATATTAGAAAGATTACCATGCATGATCCATTACGTATCTAAAACCTTTTGTTTGGATCATATTTTTCGACACAAATGTTTTCTTTGCGTCATCATGAAATACAAACTATTCGAGAAGGTTCACTTATCCGGAAAATTCAAAATTTATTGAATCTCGAATTAAACCCATTGAAATTAATTACTCCAACAAAGAAATCACCGATCAATCATTACACCAGAGAATAAAATCCCCAATCTCTTAATATAAAATTAAATGGAATCGGGTATGAAGGGAAGAAGAGATAATAACATGAAAATTACCCTTTTAATATAAAAACAAGGAGTCAAAGAACGAAGAGATTTAAGATGCTCGTTCATTTGCCTTCTTCGGTTCCTCTCAACAGCGATGTGAGACATGATCTTTGATTAATATTCTCTCTTCTACAGTTCCTATCTATAAAGGAGAAGATGATCTATTTTCCCTTTTTTCGACACATTCTTCAAAACAATGTGGTATTTATACAGCCGCAACACGAGAAATAGTTAGGGTTTATATTTTTTTTTCCAAGACTTCTTAAATGCACAATGTCGCTGTCTCGTGACATTTTTTTGTCTTTTATTAATTTTCTCTCTCTAACTATTTTCTCTTTCTTATTACTATCAATATGTATAAGTACAAAGTAGAGAAAGGTATGCATATACAAAGATACGTCACGTTTGTGAAGTTGGATACATTTACATTTACATTCACTGCGTGAGGTCTTTTATGATTTTATATCGTATTTTCATTTAGAGTGCATGCCTTTGCACCACCTTCTTTTACTTCTAGACTTCTACCCTTGCGCCTGTTCTTAGTTCTTAATTACCGCGTTCTTTAATTTTAACAAATAAAACAAGATATTTTTTTAGAAAAATTATATACACGTAAAGGTTAAAAAATTGAATTGGAGATACAAGAAAAAAGATTTGGTTTATTAAGATCACTGGTGGAATTATGAATACCATATCTTAAACTATAAAATTCTCTCAGAGTCTCAAGTTTAAAGAATTTAGAAGCAATATAGTGCGTGCCCTTATTTGTACTTATGAATATAAATACTAAAACAAAAAGGTATTACAACAGTATATTTCACCTCGCCGAAGAGAAGAGAAAAGTCTGATATTATCGGGTTAAACATCACTATATTGAAAAGGCGGTCATTGTATCCTAATAATTTTATAGAGTTGAGATAGGCGTTGAAACAATTACATGATCACATTCACGTGGGAGCTTAATTTTAAGAACATTGCATCAAACACGAGTCTCGAAAATCTAATAGATTATATCAGACGATCCACGAACGCGCAAACAATTTAATATTCAATTCATCTTCAGTTTTTGTTCTAAAAAATCTGCTTTTTATCTTACGAGACGATCTTTGAACGCCAAAATCTTTGGTATATAACTTACGTTTTTTTAGTAGTCACTCTAGACACACATATTGGGTAATATTCACATTACAAAATATGATTGGCAATCTACGAAATTGCAGAATGTGATGAAATGATTATGCGATTTGAGATTTCACATGTTTTCACTGATATACTTTTTTTTTATGCATGGAACCACATTTTTGATCCATCTATCCAGCTTTTGTTTGTTTTGGTCAATGAGATCCATCTTTCCAGCCATTTTGTAAGATTAATGACAAGGTGGCAAAGGAATGTACACTATTACGCAGATTTCTAGTGAAATTACATAATTTTACTTAATCATTGTCATTCGATTCCTCAAGTTTTTATTCTCTGTAATTCCAATATTTATAGTGAAATCGAAACCAACAATCCTATTGTTTTGTACACTGTAGATCACCTTTTGCATAACATATAGGGCACTAAACGAAAATATTGATATAACGTTTTTGAGCAAGCATGAAGTACAGTTGTTCAGGCTTCTTCATGAGTCTCAACTACCTAGACGGCTCATTAAGTTTCCTCCCAAAAAGTAGTATTCTTAATTTTATTATTCTCTTTGATAAAAGAGGTATTCTTAAAATTTCGGCTGTGTTGTAAAGTTAACAATGTCTCAATTTCAAACAAAAAAACAAGTTTTCTGCAACAAATCCAGTGGAATAACACATACTCTACACAATTTGCAAGCGTACGTGATTAGCTTATTGTTAAACTAATATGCGAAGATGTAACAAGAAAAAAAAAAGATGATCGCCTAACTCCCAAAAATGTGGAAGTTGTTGGAAAGAAAATGTTCGTGACAAATGTTTGTAGCCGCCAATGTTATGCTACAATACGTATAAGACATGCAAAGGTGCATGCCCCATTTAATTAAATATTAACTTTAGGAGTAAAAATTTAACTCCAACATCGCTATTTAATTTGTTCATGGTCTATCACGTTATCTATATAATACTGATCGACAAGGCAATAAGAAAAAAAAACAATTTCAATAAGAAAACTCACGTTCTCGATCAAGAAATCGGTTTGCACACAATCAATTATTTATGTGGCAATAATAAACATATAACTTATTATGTAACCATTTCAATGTATTATGAAGCAAACCAAGTCAATCTGGTTAAGGTTTGGTTTTGGTTAGGTGCATTCATCCTCTTCCAAATAATTCATTGTAAGTAACAGAGGATACACTGCGTTTTCATTTATTCCAATAGGCTAATGGACATGGCAAAGAGCTCTCACCATCAATTGTTCACAAGAAAAATCCTTCACAGCACGAAACCAATAAGTTTTTATTGTTTGGGGTCATCATGGAGCTCATGAGACTTCTTCCGAATATCTCGAGAGTTCATGACTCTATCTTTTTATCAGCTGAATCCTCCTCATCTTGTACTGCGTAACACAAATTATTGCGTCAATAAGTGTTGGGATTATAAGGAAAATCTACGGCCTTCTTGAATACAGATGCCCACATATCACCCTTTGGATCAGCGTTGGTTGATACTAGATTACTAGTGACTGACAATTTATCGATTATCTATATATTCTGAAATCGATCCTTACACAGCATGATCTAACACTGAACAAAGCATCTAGAACAAAAGTCTCTGATTGAGTTATTACCCACATACATAATCGAGCCTAGTGATCAATAAGAAAGATTTCAAAAATGGTTTCCTCGCAAAGACGAAAACAGCTGAGGAATCTCTATATACACAGTAAGGAACAAGGAACAATCATCTTACCTTTGATGGATTTTTCAAATTGCTGCAGCTGAGAAATGAAGCCAAAATTAGGCAATGCTTGAGGTCGTCGACTCCTTACGAGCTCCATAGCTTTAGAGAATCCCATACCATGCTTCTTCATCAGATAAGCGACCACTATCGTCACACTTGAAACACAACTCAAAACAATCAAATTGTGCAAGAGTGTATGTAACATAACAAACAGCTCATTCTCTGTTTAGACGACAACAATTACCAAATCACAGGCCCGAGAAAACTCTGTACTCGTCCACATAATACGTAATCTGTTCGTTGACACACCTCCTCATAACTAGGCTCCCTAGCGATACTAGAACCAGTAGCTAAAGTATAAAAAACAAACTACAAGATTCATATCACACAGGAGGACACACCCTTTTTGCAAAGCTGAGTCTAATCAGAAATCTCTATCCACAGATAGTATCAAGAGGGTCTATAGATTTCTATGGTTATAAGCTGTGGCTTCAATCTCATTACTAATTAATGCATACTTATGTCTCTTGTGAGCTTTCTACATACAAATCGCAATTGGTTCGCATTGATTCCTAAACACTATATCGAATGCTGAATCTATCAGATTAGGGGAAAGAAAGAGAGAAAGTCACCTCCTAGAAATTCCCATGAAGCAATGGACCAATACACCACCTCCGGATTGAATAGCTTGGTCCATGAAGCTAAAACACTCATCGAAATATACCGTCAAATCAGTCTCGGATCTGTCAACGACTACCTCACATACGAAGAACATGGTCAGGATTCACCAGAAGAGGAAGAGCGATAAAATCAAAATTGGGCAAAAAAAACAGGGTTGCGACTCGAAAAAAGGCACCTTCGATGACTTTATAGACAAAATCATTAGGGTGAGGAGGGAACAAGGCGACGGCCACAGTTAAGATATGAGTGACATTGGAGCTTTTGAGCAGATCCTTATTAGCCGCTTCAGCTACTGAACCTATGAACAGTCCCTGCGAAATCGAACAAATGCTTTTAGAGAGAGATATCAAAAAACCTAATTTCCATAGGTGTGAAATTAGATGATAGAGAAGAAACCTGTTCGATCTCGCTGAGATCGTTGCCTCCTTCGTGTAGCTTCTGGGAATTAGCTTCTCCAACTCCGAAGAGATCAACCACTTTTTCCATCTTTTCGCTTCTTTTTTTTTCAAAAACTCCACTTGTACTACTATGACTAAATCCAGAAATGACATAGAAAATTAAAAATGAGAAAATAGGCACACAAATGCTGTTCATTTATTTGTTTATGTTGATAACGTCAACAAGCACCAGTGGTCTAGTGGTAGAATAGTACCCTGCCACGGTACAGACCCGGGTTCGATTCCCGGCTGGTGCATTTTTTATAAAGTAAATTTTAATTTAAGCTTGGTTTGGTTTTTGGTTGGTGATATGCGAAGATTTCTGTACTTGAATAGGTTTTGGCAAGGAAGAACAAATAAAAGAGAGGTTTAAAAAAGTCAGCCTTTACACATGAGATGAACTATATAGTTAGTTGATGACTTACAACCGAACTGAATGAAAGAAATATTGTAAATAAAAATATTTTTTTTTGGGGGTCAATTTTAATAAAGATTGATGAAAAGATTTTGATAAGAAAAATGCATGACATACAAAACACCAAATTAAAACGAAGAAAAATATTGGTAGAGAGAAAGTAAAACTGAATTAACACAAGAAAAGTGTTGAACACCTTCCTCTCCTTTCAAACTTGCTTAACCAAAGGAAAGTTGCACTCTCTTCTTTCTTTTTTTTTTGTTTTTAATTATACTCTTTCCATCTTCTTTGCGTTTTTCTCTCTGTCTCTCTTGGATTTTCTTGGTTCGATCAGATCATTCATAAAGCCAATCCAGGCACCTGGTGATCTGTCCTCGATCTATATCCTTGATCACCATTCCGAGTGAAGGAGATGAATGGTGAGGTACGGTCAAGAGTAGTTGACCAAGAAGCTGGCTCAACTCCATCTTCGTTGAGAGATGGTGATCACCCGTCGACACAAAGGCTCTTCCCATGTCTCCCTTACGAAATTGATCTCAATCCTCTACGCATTGTATAAATTCTTTGTCCATATTGATTTGATGTCAAATGACTTATATTACTTGGTCCAAAAACACACAAAAAAGGAGTAAATGTTTTGGTATAGAAATGCTAATTTCGTTGGAATATTAATGCGAAGGTAATGGCGGAACTGGTGGGGACATTCATTCTAATGTTCAGTGTGTGTGGGGTCATAAGCAGTACTCAGTTACCTGGCGGTCATGTCGGACTGCTAGAGTACGCAGCGACGGCAGGATTATCGGTGGTGGTCGTAGTTTACTCCATCGGACACATCTCCGGCGCCCATCTAAACCCTTCCATCACCATTGCTTTCGCCGTCTTTGGCGGATTTCCCTGGTCTCAGGTATGCATGCAATTACTATAGTCTCTTTACTTACATTTGGCGTTTGACCAACTCATTAAACCGGATATTACTTTATCCACATAACTAGTTGAATTATTTAGGCCTTGTCTTGATTGTTTCTTTTGGTTTACGTTTGCGTTTACATCTTTTAATACTGTGTTTTTCTTTATATATAAATAAAGAAGGCACGCAACCGAGATGAGAAAAATTTATTACTGCACTAGTCTTATATATAGTAAGCTCTTGAACGTGGTTGTTGTTGTTTAGGTTCCGTTATATATAACGGCGCAAACGCTGGGTGCAACGGCGGCAACGTTAGTTGGGGTGTCAGTCTACGGAGTAAACGCTGACCTAATGGCAACAAAACCAGCGTTAAGCTGCGTTTCTGCGTTTTTCGTTGAACTCATTGCTACGAGCATCGTCGTCTTTCTCGCCTCCGCAATGCATTGTGGTCCTCATCAAAATGTAAGTGACCAGATCGATGTTCTTAATTACTTCTCGTAAATATAGCTACAAACTATTTCCTGTATGTAAGCAATTAAAAATAATAATTATAATTAAGACACCTAAAAATGCGAATGTAATAGCCTCATCGAATTCCAAACTCTAAGAAACGTATATGTTAATGTTCTTTACTTATTTTTGTACAGTTGGGTAATTTGACGGGGTTCGTGATCGGAACAGTCATTTCCCTTGGAGTGCTTATTACCGGGTATGTAATTTAAATCCATTATTCTTGTTACATTTTGCATTTCGTGTTTACATTGTTTTCATATAAAGTTGAATAATGCTTTTTTTTCCAAATACGGTATGATCAGACCGATTTCAGGAGGATCGATGAATCCAGCTCGATCACTAGGACCGGCGTTGGTGGCATGGGATTTTAAGGACATATGGGTTTACATGACGGCTCCGGTGATCGGAGCCATCATCGGAGTTTTAACGTACAGAACAATCAGTCTCAAAAGCAGACCATGCCCTTCTCCACATTCCCCTTCCGTCTCTTCGCTTTTACGCTAATCACCTCTAATTACAAATTAACCTTTTACAAATAAACATTTTTACTCTACGTTTTTTAGTGTAGCCCATTGAGCCTATATCGGCCTCTATTGAGGCTACTAATAAATTCTTATGTTGCATGGATATTCATATTTTACGCATTATTGATTGTCTGAAAGTTCTGCTTAAAAACAAAATACATATTATTGTTAATTGTTTTGTTTCCCACTATAAAATATTTAATATATATATATATATATATTTAAGAAAGAAAAAAATCATATGAAGTACTGTGCAGTTTTTTCTGATTCTAAAATGTAGTATAATATTAACATATTGTTTGTATTATAATTGATATATTAACGCAAGACTAGAAAAAAAAAACAAGAGTATAATACATATTAAGCTTCTTTTGGGAATGAAAATATAGAGATTAGAGGGTAGGCAAATGAAAAACATAGAGCATCTTGTTCTCGCGCAATGTAATGAACAAATAATCTAATATATATATTCTTAGAAAATGAAAATAAATCTACAGATATGAAAACTCCAATCCTTTCACTGGGTTATAAGAACATATTACAATACTCATACTTACTACTTGAAATAAACGATACCAAGAAACATAAAAACTTGACAATGCTCTGATAACATATATATATTATAATCTTATTATTCCAACTAAAAATTTAGTGGCCGCGACCTCTACGACTTGGACCAGAAGCTAACCTACGACCCCAAGAAAAAATCACCTTCCTCTTCTTCTCTTTGTAGTTTCCAAACTCATCTCTTGAAGATTTTCCGACCAGGCTCGTTCTCATGATTGTCTTCTCTGCAACAATACCTTCGCTACCATGATAACTAGCCATGGCAATGGAACAAATTAAGTAAGTAACCAGGAAGAACGCAATTCTAAGAATCCTCTTCAACTCCATTTTCTTACTATCGATCGACTACTCTTTAATTAAACTGTAAGTTCTTAACAATAATGATTCGTATTCGTGTATATATGCATGTTTATAGACTTTTATTTGTTTGTACGTGAGTTATTGCATATTTAGCTAATTGGTTCGAATTTTATTGACTCAGTGCGTGAAGAGTCCATGAATAGTATGTTTTAGGTTACTACAGTGTATTTAATTCTATTTCAGAATTTCTAATTTAAGAACAAAATTAAAATCTCATTAATTCATGATATGTCTGAGTCTGTGATTTTAGAACTTTAAACCATGTGTTTTCAGGTAGACTATAGCTAATTTCCAACTAAATATTTTCAGATTTAGGTGGTGATTTCGAGAAAATGTTCGATCATAAGAAGAAATTATTCAGATGCGGTGAGAGTCACACCTACATAGCTACACTATAGTCACTAGACTAACTTGAGTAAAAGTTATTTAATTTTTTTTCTTTTTTTTTTTTGTTAGAAATAGTTAGAGAATAGTTTGAGAATATATACATTGTTAAAATTAGTTTGATAGTTGAAATATTTATATAGAAAAATAAAAATTTAAAACTATTTATTGCCCATAATCTCTGAAAGAGAATTTTTTTGGAAAATGAGATAGATAATACTAAAAATAATGCATGGGTTCTTACAAGTTGAAGTAGAGTTACGCAACTCATTTCCCGACCGTTGCGAAAAATCATAGGAGGAACAGAACCGCTAAGAGAAGCGGAGACTCTTTCATATGTTACTTGTTTGTCCACATTTTTAAAGTGAAACGCCGCGTTCCATTGAAACAGAGAAGCACCTTATACCAAACGCAGACGTGAATTGCAACCGCATCTATCGATCAAAGCACTATAAGGCGGGACTGATAGCAGTGAGATATGTCATCTACTCTGTCACTACTTTCAGAGTTTGAAAAAGTAGTATTATTGCTTTAGTTAAATAAAAAAATTTCGATCATTGCTTAAAAGAAGTATTAACGATGCTTTTGTTTATCTCTTAACATCAAAATCAAATAAGTGTTTGTCTTATGAGATTGAGCAGTATGCAATCTCTTCTCTTTCTTCTTCTATCTGCTTGTAAGATTCATTGACCCCATGTGATGTGTTACAACACCTTCAGACAATAGGCATGGACAGTTTGGAATTATAGCTTCCTTAATACAATAGATCATTTCTATTAGAATAATATCATTAGAAGATATTTCATCTCATTTGGAGAAACAATCATTTTGAATCATCAAAGTACACACATAAAGGGCCCAAATCCAATGTATGAAAATAAGAACTAAGAACTAAAATTACACTGAGTTGTAATATTAGGATTTCCGTCACAGATGTATTCTTAACTTGTTATGTTTTCAAAAACATTTATTTGTGTTTTTTTTTTTTCATATCTTTTTCCGTCTGGTCCGTTTCGTTTATGTTATATTTTCCGAAGTAGCAGAAAGTCAATAAAAGAAACAAATTTACCTGGTTCCTGTTTAATTAAGTTAAACCAAAGCAGATTCTGGCGTTTCAGGTTAGTACAATTTCGATCCGATCTAAAGAAGAAATGCATTTTAGCATATTCTAATGTATTTTGGAGCTATTGAATATATATAAAAAACAGTGTCATAATTTAGTGACACCAAAGATCCAAATGTGACGAAGATGATAAGGCTATGAAGCTCTGAAAGCTGATAAGGATATAGAACTAAATAGAGGAGAAATAAATTGATGCTTAACGCTCTTGATTATTACACTCTTAATGCTATTGGTCCCTACACTTTTAATTTTGTTGACATAGAAGTATTTTCCCTCGTTAAAAAATATTGATATATTAGTTATGCATGCACCCCATTAATTTTAGGTCGGTTTGATTTGGTTCAACTTTTCCGGTTACGGGTTTTCCCAATAATTTATCGCCCCGACTCTGTGTAACCTGCATGTGGAACCAAAGCCTAATCCAACTACCTGGATTTGTTAATTGTTACTATCCTTCTTCCAAGTACCTCTATTTGCTACATTAATTCACCTTGCAAATACTTATCAAAAGTTATTAGAAAAAGTTCAAAGGCGACAAATCTCTTTTAAATAATTTTGTTCACGTTTGTGTTTGTCTTAAAATAACTTCGTTTGCCAAAAAGAGTTCACGTTTGTCTTAAAAAAAAAACACTTCGTTTGGCAAAAAGTATGAGACCGTTGGTTGTCAAACGTCAAAGCAGTGGGGTTAATTACATAGCCTTTTTTAATTTCTTTTCAATATCTTTGTTGTCATTAATTAACCTTTGGATTATACCAGCATATAAATATACATAATCTTATAACACCGTTTTCTTAACGTATGCCTTATATCAAATGCTTAATTACTCGACTAATAATTTATGAACGGTGTGTTCCATTCTATCACCTTCGATAATTAATTAATCCGGGGTCCCTTCAACAAAGTAATATATTTTGATTACTAAATTGCAAAAACTAGTTGGATAATTGGATTAATCTGGTACCAATTTATCTATTTTCACAATCACATCTTATTTATTTTAATAATACTTATCTATTTTAAAATTATCTCCAAAAGAGGATTAAACGCAAATCATTATGTATGAAAGAATACATAAACCCCACTAATAAATATTAAGTACTACTTCCTCTGTTTTAAAATAAATGTCATCTTAACACTTTTCATATAAATTAAGAAAAGTTTTAAAAGTTCTGTTTTACTCTTTGTTCACATATAAAATAACATTTTCTTTCTAATTAATATAATAAGGTTAAAAGAGAATTTTTGTTTAAAAAATTGTATTGGAAATACAAAACAATACTTTTTATGAAATAAAAATAAAACTCTAAAACGATATTTATTTTGAAACGGAGGAAATAATGTATTTAATAATTAAAAGATTTCCAAAAACTAATTTTAACACCATTAAATCTCCCACTAATAAAAGCGCGCACGGTCGATGGTCCCACCATAATGACCACTCATACTATATTTTCCCACGCGCCTTCACGCCGTTTCAAAATATCCACGCTCCGCCTCCACGTTTACAACGATGTGAGTTTTTCTCACGCGTGATATCTGCGAGTACCAAAAGATACAACTTTGTTTTCTTTTTGTCTGGAGAAAAATTTAAAAAGCTTGTGCTTGCTCCAAGTAAGAAATTTTAGTTTGTATTTTTCTTATTACAAACAATTACTTATATTGTTACAACTTAATTTTTTTTTGCCTTCTATGCATTGTTTGCAATTTCTTTCAATTTTAACTTTTTAATATCATACAAAATAATACAAATTGTGGTTAATTTGTTACTCATTCTGGATGTAATTATCTGTTGACTTCTACTTTCAGGTGTTTGGAAAAATCTAAAGTTTCCACATAGGCACAAATTTTCCAGTTATTAAATAGTAATTAATTAATACTGGTAAATTGAGGAGTAAATACGGAGGAAGTAAATGGACCCATATTTGCAAACCCACGATTCTCAACCAATAGATTCACTCATCTTTCCCTTTCTCTCTCCTTCTGAATGTGAACACAAGAACACAAAAAGACAACAAGAGAAAGTTGAGAGTTTTCTTTTCATTTCCTCTTGTTCCGATTCGAACCGAATCGCCATTGTTGTTATTGCCAATACAAATCCCCTCTTGGTCTCTTCGTCTTCTTTTTTTTTCTGATAAAAATCAAAACTTTTTTCAGAGAGAAAATAAAAGATTTAAGATTTTCCAACAAAAAAACATTCATCCATGAGTGTTTCCTCGTTTCCTTGACACATGTTTTTCGCATCATTCTTCATAATTTAAAAACGAAACTGACTTACCAAGCAAAGGAGCCACTTCTCTTATCCATTAACAATCCGCAACATGTCTCTGCTTCATTCGCCATCATGTCCCTCTTCTTCTTCTCTTTCCTAATTTCTTGAATCCTCCAAAACCTGCTTTATTCGAATTTATAGACAAAAACCCCCCCAGATGTCTAAGAACTCACAAGTTGAAGAAAATGGAGGAGAAGCGCCAATCTCTGAAGCATTGAAGAGATTCAAGAAATCGAGGCTCGTGTTCGAGCCGTCTCTAGGAGTGTTGGGGTTTTTCTTGGTTGGGTTATGTTTGGTCTGGAGCTTTTTCTACTTTGATTACAGAAGCGTTCCTAAAAGCTATGGCCTTTCGGAGAAATCAGAGAGATTCGTTTGGCTGAAGCTCGACAACAACAGCAACAGCAGTAGCAGTAGTAGTTTCAATAGAGTTGGGTTTTTGGAAGAGAGTGGAAATGATTGTGACGTGTTCGATGGAGATTGGGTTTGGGACGAGTCTTATCCATTGTATCAATCCAAAGATTGCAGATTTCTCGATGAAGGGTTCAGGTGTAGTGAGTATGGAAGGTCTGATTTGTTCTATACCCAGTGGCGATGGCAACCCAGACACTGTAATTTGCCCAGGTAAGAACAAACTCTTCTACTTTGTCTCTTTATTCCCGGAAAATTAGGGGGACATGTTCGATGTTGTCTCTGTTCTTGCACATTTGTCTGCCACTTGATTGCTGCTAATCCGTGACTACGAATTAAATCGCTTCTCTGTTTGTAACCGTTGTTTGTTCTCTAGAAAGTAGATTTTGAAATTGAGGTTATATTGAGTCACGTCCTACACAGAGATTGGCTTGAGATTACAAAACAAATCATGTTTGTCCTCTAGAAACTTTTGGTACAGTAATTTATGGGAATTGAAAAGGGTTCTTGAATTGGGATTTTTTTTTTTGCTCTAATGGAGAAGAGAAGTTAAAAAAAACTTGTTTGAGTTTTGATTGCTTTGAGCAGCTTTGATGTCGTTTTCTATGGTCTCTTCGATCCAGTTGTGTCCGCAAGTTACGGCTTAAGATAAGCACAATCTGGGGTCAGTCCTCTTTTTTCAACTCGTGAAGCAGTCATCATCTTTGTCAATTAAAGCCAGTGCCTTTTTGTTCTCTTCTTCTCTTGATTGGATATTTTATATATATGGTCCCTTCTTCATCTTCTTGTGCCATTTCACATTTACATCAAACAGCTAGTCCTTCACCAATCAATGTGTTTGCTCCGTTTTTGTAAATGCTTTTGTATTATTATGGACCCGTGAGTTTCCTGAATTGGATCTTTAGAAGAAAGGATTTGGTGCCAAAGTTTTGAACTTTATAGTATGTTAATGCATAAACAGGTTTCGTGTGTATGATTCAGAACGTTATAGTATTCCTCCAATTCGACCTGATCTATTAGCTGACACACTCTTTTATGTGAAAAAAACGAATCAGATTTGATGCGAAACTGATGCTAGAGAAGCTCCGGGACAAGCGGATAGTGTTTGTCGGAGACTCAGTAGGAAGAAACCAGTGGGAGTCTCTTCTTTGTCTACTGTCTTCTGCAGTCAAGAACGAGAGCTCGGTGTATGAAGTGAATGGAAGTCCAATCACAAAGCACAGAGGTTTCTTGGTGTTCAGATTCGAGGACTACAATTGCACTGTGGAATACTACAGATCTCCGTTTTTGGTCCCCCAGAGCAGACCACCGGTTGGATCGCCAGCGAAGGTTAAGACAAGTTTGAAACTCGAGACTATGGATTGGACTTCTAGCAAATGGAGAGATGCAGACGTTTTGGTGCTCAATACAGGACATTGGTGGAACTACGGCAAAACTATTAGAATGTAAGTTTGTCCATGTCTCATCATCTCTCTTATCGTTTAAATTCTGATTTTTTGCTCCAACGACCAAATCTTGAAATGCTGTTGCTGCTAACAGGGGATGCTACTTTCAAGAAGGAGAAGAAGTGAAATTGAAGATGAACGTAAATGATGCGTATAAGCGAGCTATGGAAACTGTTGTGAAATGGGTACAAACCGAGGTCGATTCAAACAAGACTCAAGTCTTCTTCCGCACATTCGCCCCTGTGCATTTCAGGTTTGTGTAGTTGTAGCTCCTTTGATTAAGTCTGTTGCTTTCATGTTCTGCATATTTAGCTTCAATTTGTCTGATGTTACGTTGTTGTATGAAAAAACAGGGGAGGAGACTGGAGAACAGGAGGAACATGTCACATGGAGACATTGCCTGAGATTGGAACCTCACTGGTTTCATCAAAGACATGGGACAAGTTAAAGATCCTCGGAGATGTGCTGTCACGTTACTCCAACAGATCAGAGACTGTTAAAATGAAAGTGTTGAATATAACGGCAATGGCTGCTCAACGAAAAGACGGTCACCCATCGCTCTACTACCTCGGTTCGCTTGGTCCTGCACCGCTTCATCGCCAAGACTGTAGCCACTGGTGCCTTCCCGGTGTTCCTGACACTTGGAACGAGCTACTTTATGCGTTGTTTATGAAACAAGAAGCTTCTTCTTCTAAAAGACCCCAAGTAGCAAATAGTCGAGGGAATGTCACAATGTCGTGACAAGGAAGCAACAACAAGCTCTTGTATTTTTTGGGATGCTGAGCTCAAAGATCAAGAAAGGGTTTGTCATTTTTTGATTGGGTGATTAGATTAATTGGATGGGGATATGTAATTAATTTGATAATCTTAAACTCTTGGTGTAAAGATAAATGATCTCAAAATGATTATTAAAGTTTCATATATAAATAGTAGAGTGACCTCATAGCTCATGCAAGGACGTTATATGAATGGTTTGTCTTTTTTCCAATAAAGATTGAGATATTTTTTACAGTTATCTAAATATAATGATGACTATACAACTATCTAAATATAATGAATATAAAAATTCCCATAATTTATATAATTGTCTAAACCAATAGATGTGATTGCAAAGTTTTGTGCCTAAACCAAAAGTTCTAATGATCATACCAGAGTAAATATTGGAGATAGTTTATAGAACAACATTCAAATTAGCTTAGATAGTCTTATATAAGTTCTGTGAATAGGTCCATCATCAGTTTAATAGGTCCATCATCAGTTGATCCTTGACATTATAAGTCCAACCATTCAGATTTTTGCACAAAGATTGCATGTGGTGCCACATCTTTATCAATGTCCACAACAATACTTCTTGAATCAGGAGTTCTCCCTTGCTAGTTTTAAGATTAATTGCATTACTATTTTTAAGTTTAATGTTTTCTCTGTCTCTAGGACACACAAGTAGAGTTTGTGGATTCTATATCGACATTATTTCTTCACAATACGACTCTTGGAGCGAATATATAACTTCATAATTGGCATTGGAAAGCTGTTGGTGAGTATCTAGAAGAAATAAGTGAACTATTATCTATTTCTTTTTGCTTGGTATATCATCTCTGTTGTGTTAAACTTATATGAAGAGATGGAAGAAGAATCATTTGAAGACTACAAAGATAGTGTGAGTTTTGAGTTAGATGACGACAAAGATTTTATCTGGAATGAGATTGTTTTCAAAAGGTAATATGTTTGCATAACTGATCTCTATTAATACTTTGGCAGAGTGAAGACACTAACTAATCTAGATTTCCAGGTACTTCAGAATTTCATCTCCTAGTTGCCGAAAACTTGTTGTTTGTGTTGTGTCTAAGGAAGCAATACCAACAGGAAGAAAAACAGTGAAAGATAACTGTACTAGTTTGGATATGATGTTGGATGATGTTTGGTTTAGAAAAACTCATATGCATATATGTTACTCTTTTTATCTTATTGGCAGGCACGTGAAAATACTCAAGAACCTCATGTTCAGTTCAACAGAAATGGAAAAGACTTTCAAAAAGAAGAAGAAAACTTTGTGAGCAAGTGCAAAGCCACCACGTAAACATACAAATAGACATTATTTTGTTGGTTAAAACCACCGGTGGAATTATTGGTTTGCGTGATATGATTTGTTTTGTTTTTTTTTTATGAATTGAAATCTCCCAAATTTAAAGAATTTAAAAATAATTTGTGTGCCCTTAAATATATTCCATGAAGGTTTAAAAGTACTAAACTAATAAGAGTTTGATATTTTCCGCATAAGAAAGCACAAAAAACATACTTGATGTCGGCATCTCGCATAAGAAAGCAGGTTTTTCCACTAAAAAGTTTGATATTATCCGTTTATTGTATCCTATCAACATTCGATTAATCTTTTTTTGTTGTTGAAAAACTACTGTTTATACGAGGCGATTCATGAACCGATGAACGCCAAATTCTTTGGTACTCACTCTAGAGTCTAGTCTACACACACATTTGGTATAATATTTACAGTATGATTGGCAATATTACATGTTTTTTTTACCAATATACTATTTGATGACAAGTAAAATTAAGATTGATGACAAGTAAAAGCAAAAAAAAAAAAAAAAAAAAAAAACTACCAATCGGGACCACAATTGACAATTCACTTTTTGCATGAAATGAGCTCTAAAAGAAAATATTGATATAACCTTTTGGAGCAAGCATAAAGTTTAGTTCTTCAGACTTCTTCACGAGTCCTCAACTACTTGCAGGGCCGTGCCTAGAAGAAACATTCATTTAAGGCATATTATTATTAGTTTTACGAAGTTATACTTAAATAATATAGTTATAGAAATCTAAACTTTAACGTTAAAAAGTTATATTATCCAGATTTTGTTTTTGTTTTGAATTTAACCGAAAAGCCGTAAAAATCTTTAGGCGCAAAAATATATATATAGATATTAAGGACATCAATTTGACAATTTCTTTAAATTTAATGTACTGCTGTGGCTGAATAGTCTAATTTTTGAGTCGCAGGTATATGGTTCGATTCTTGTGAATGCAATTTTGTTATTTCTTTTAATAATGGGCTAAAACTGATTGGGCCGGCATATCGTTGGTTTGTTGAACAACGTCCAAATTCAGACATATGTATGGACTTATGATTTTACATGATGTGGTTTTTAAATATCCAAGGTGTGAACCGATTACAAGAAGAATAAATATGGATACTGTCTGGATCATGTTGATCTGTGTCTGGTAATCTTCTAAGGTTCAAGGCACGTATGCCTGTCTGGCCACTTCCATTTGTGGAATAAAGGTGTTTTTCTTTTAAGCGCATATGTGTTTGTATCAAAAAGCAAGATCAATACACTTTTTTTTTTTTGAAATTGTAAATGATCCACTTGTTGCAATTTCCAACATTTTATTTAGCAGACCACGAAAAAGATTATGATAATTTTTATTAGAACGATATTCTTACATCGCCTATGTTAAAAGGTATATATAATATAACCCTATAACAACTTAAGCCGAACCAGACAGTATTCAAACTTGGTTTTTCAATAGAATATATTATTTTTAAACAAATTTAAATCTCGTTTGATTCCATTATGGTTTTTCCGATAACTAAAAAACTATAATCATTATTACCTACATAAAAATAGTATTCCACCTAAATACTAATATATATATATATATATATTTTTTGTAAAACAAAGAGGATTTTTGTTTTCATTACTCCTCTGTTACCACCAACTTACATTTTAATATTACATTTAGGTATCATGTGTATATATATATATTATGTTTTGTTCGCTCTTATAGTGCTAACAAAACAAATCGTCCAAATCACACCGTTAATTCATTCCAACGAGACATGCATACCACTTCAACCGCACGATGTTCCACCGGCTCAACATTCCTTACCTTACTCGATGACTACTTAAAAAAGAGTGTTTGTTGTGTCATTATTATTCCATTAAATGAACCAAAGTCTTTTTGTGGAAAAGTTTTATGTTTAATAATGAACCAAGTCATTGTGATTCATACATAAGAGACAAGTCGGTGAGGCTAAAAAAAACCCAAGTCGGTGATCGTGACTTGACATGAACCTTAACTAGATGCTCGTGAGTGAATCTGTGATTGTAAATTCTCTCGGTGATTCTCTTCTCAAATACTTTACACTTGTCTCATTTTTTCTTTGCTCGTTTGAAAATCTTGGTGGTAAACATAGATTTAAACTTACATCTTGGATCTAAAATTTGGTTTGGTTCGATTCAAATCGGTTTGGATTTGATATTTCTGGGCCTTATCTGGAGAAGTTTGCAAGTTGGAAGTGTAAGAAGTGTAGGGTAGAGTAGCTTATCTATACAAAACCTTGTGGTGTTCTATTATTTGTCCTTTAAAATATTTATGTGGATGTAAATGATGAAAACACATATCCAAATTCGGATACGTTTCTCTTATTGTATTACAATATTATACGTTCAAGATATACACATATACATACACAAAATTTAAGTTAGAATCAAGCATCCTTAGTACAATTGATATTGATCACTTGTTAATTGATGTCATTTAATTTATCTATCTATGGACATATTCTCACTAATGATTTAGATTACGAAGGTTTACTCTATATACATGAGTGAACGTAGCGTGTAGAAAAAAAAAACAAATACAAAAGTACACTAACTTTTTCGTATGCTATATCTACTCCATTATCTATGGACTAACCATTCAGAGAGACTTACTTGTTATAGATTGTATATAACGACTGTAAATATATTAGTCTAGACTCTAAAATTCCAACCATAGAAGAAAGCTATTTGAAGTTTTTATGAACTATATAAAGAAATGGAAAAGAAGTTATAAAATCTTGACTTGGAATCGTAGTTCAAAGCAATTAACTTGACCGGTACGGTGTGTGTGATCCCCCTTGCATAAAATAATTAAGAGTATCTACAAAACTCAGACCAAATCAAAATCATGGATATAGATCCTTCTTTTGTTTTCTACAAAAAATTCCATATTCCTAATGTCCATTTCCTCAATTGTCCACTTCGGATGCGACTCACCCGGTGAATTTCCTCAATAGTAATTTTGATATACTTTACTCTGTAACTATATATGTTTTCTCGGAGTAATTTATATGATCAGTATAAGTATTAGATAGACAGACAGTTGGACAACCGACATTTTTTAGGTCAATCATATTTCGAAAGGTTTGAACATAGTTTCTTCGCGAGGCTGGCAAGTAACAACGAACAATCAACGTATTCCCTTCAAAAGTTATTTAAAGGTTCCAACTTTATTCTCCTAACAAGTTGAATGTCGGTAAATAGTTAAAATATATCAAATGTGACCCCACGATTCCATATAGTTTGGTGTATGCATATAACTCACCCATCGGGGGACATGTGCTCCTCGTATCGTATTTTTCTGGATGTAAATGCAAACGGCTGCAAAAATACAACTTGTTATAAAATTGAAACTGATATGTGGTGCAACCATGCAATCTCAAGGTTCATAGACGATGTGGTCCATGAAAAATATATTTGAATATTGTCACCAATATTTCAACAAAAAATATTAGTAAAAATACTATAAAAGTTTTTATTTCAATATGAAGTTATTGACTAAGAAAGTCATTGGATAGGGTAGTTAGGAGTTCCATCTTAAGTGGAGATTATCGGAACTATGAACTTTGAGCCATACAAGACAAGAAACTTTGATTTAGGGAGGGACTAGAGTATGGCATTTGTGGATGAGATATTTATAATAATGTTTATTATATATATGTAATGAAAAAAAAATATATATATATATATAAGTTGAGATAGATATGGCGATATGGGTGTTTTATTCTTGTTGTGAGTTGTGATCTTTTGATTCAATATCTTCAGGATTTGCAAGTAGTAGGTATAATAACATCATTGCACAAACCTTCCTTCATGATCCATTTGTGTGTGGTGTGGGGTCTTACTTTTGCCAGATTAGATTACATTATATATTTCTTCTATCTTTACTTTGGTCCCACTCTCCCACATGCACCTCTCTCCAATCTCTTGCCTATTTATGCCGCCCTTTGAACATTCCCCCTCACAACTCCACTTAGAACCATTTTCGTTTTCTTTTCTGAAACACCTCTTTTGACATACAACAAAAGGCTCATTAAGAGACTAGTTGAAAGATAGAATTATGGCCATGGAAGTGGCTATGGAGTTTGAGCTTGATGATGATGTTTTTTTTGCAGACATAAGCAAGCAAATCAATCTCTTAATCACAGATGAAGATGAACAAATCCCTATCTCACTTTCCTCTTCTGTCTCTTTCCAGGTAAGTCCAAATTAACCATTCTCTCTCTCTCTCTCTCTCTCTCTCTCTCTCTTGATTAGTGTGTATATGTGATGTTGATCTTCAAATTTCAAAAACAGGGTTTGTTCAGAGAAAACTACCAAACATCAGCAACACCATACATGATGTACCATGAGCAGAATTACAACCTAATTAGAGAGAGCAAAGGGACAGGAGTATTCATCCCAAGATGTTCTCAGCCAAGAAGGAGACAACATAATCATCATCCACATCAGAAGAAGCAAGGGAGATTCGATTCCCTCATCCCCAAGCAACAGTTTCCTCATCATGTTTATGACAACAACAACTCCACAATTCTCAACAACAACCAAGAAAGCATCACCCTTCATCATACAGCTTCCACTAACCCAAGAAGAACCTACAGAGATGCAGCATCTCTCTTCACTTAGTCTCATCCAAGATTCATCAAAGACATGTATTTGTGTCATAATTCATATTATATATAATTGATTATTTATATTTTAGTTTTTATGTTTGTAAAATCAGCAACTAATAAGAATGAAGGAGGAACCATCAATCTAAAGGGATTTGGTGTGATTTATGCAACTATATACAAAGAATAATTCAGTCACTCTTACCAATACCACTTTGTCTATTAAGTGAAAAATAAACACCCCATGAAACAAGTCCTCAATGATCATCGAGGGAGGAATTAATCTGGATCAGGACAAGTCTCATGTGAGATTGGAAAATTTTCCTTGTCAGGTCCAGAACCAATCAATCTCTTTGGGACCTCACAATTACAGAGTTACAGTTATGTTGGCAACAATGTTTGAATAGACAAAAGTCAGATCTAAAGAGGAAAAAGACTGTCACAGACTCACACCCACATGCCTACATGCCCATCACTCTTTTTTTTTGTTTTCCATTATATTTTAGAATATTTAATTTCTTTTTATTATACAGACATATAATAGTATGTAATTATTATTTTAGATTATGATATTTTTGTAAGGAAAAAAATTCGAAATCTAGACACTTGTATGGAGCAGGGCTGTATGTTTTCTGTCAACTAGCTGTAAAATTTAAATTAGTTTTAAATGTCAAATACACTTTCTGCATTGAATTGTAATTCACGTCTCTACTAAAACTTAGGACAGAATCATTGAATGAGTCGAGAAGACGGGCTTTGATTCCTTACAATTTCTATTGGGCTAAGCCTATATTCCAAAATGTAATCTTTTTTTGGGGGGTCTAAATGTAATCTTGAGCCCAAAGAAAGAAATGTTAACCCTAAACCTTCTGGTGGCTCTCGTCACCTGCTTCATCTGCTCTGCCCCGGCGAAGCTAGCGGTTCACTCCAACTGCAACGCCGGAGTTAAGCCATTTCTGTCTTTCTCGTCTTAAACTCCGGTTTTAGAGCTCTCATTCTTGTTTATAAATTACCATTGTTTAGTTTTGGAACTCTTGATAACTTACGAACTTGCTAAATTTTGATTATTATTGTTCCTCTGTAATAAAATTAGTTTTGGGGTTTGTCGTAGTGCGATTGACGCTGGAACTCGGTCTTATGAATCTCTGCATGCTTCTGAAATCATCCTTTTCGCATTCTTTAGTTTGCAGCACTGATCTTGTGACAAATGAAATATGGATTTGAGATGCAAAGAAACAGTCGAGCCTAAACTGATACAGCGCAGAATGTGTTCTTGAAATTATTATCGAGGAGAAGAAGGCTTTCGACGTGAAGCTGGAGAAGTTTGATGCAGCTGCAAATATCAAAGAGATAAAAGAAGTGAGAACGTTCACGACTTCAAAATTTACAAGCTTAAGGTTTATAGTTTTATTATATCTAAAACTAGTGGCATATTTGGAAAACAAATTCCCTGAGAAACACACAAATATTTCTCATAATTTCATATCATATCATATATATATATATATATATATATATATATCATAAAAGGTTCAGGTCAAAAAGCATTGCAATTTGCAAGTTTTAAGTGGAGACTTTAGGTGCTGGATTCGCTCTTCATGATCACGAGCTTCTTCTTCTTCTTCTTCTTATTCGTCTTCTTTTTCAAAGTCTTGTGGAGGGGTTGCTCGTGCACGCTGAGTCAGGTGAAAACATTAACATACATGAGCTACAACCACAATCACAATCACAAAAATACTGGGTGGGATCTTTTTCGTCTGCTCTGATTGATTGGTTTTACATGAGCTACAACCACAATCACAATCAAAAACGATAATGAACAGAGATACCTTGACAGCTCAGGCGTGGAGGTAGTAGCCTCGGGCAGCTTTTCCTGTTACAAGAGATGTAAGAATCAGTGAATAGGCCGACGAAATTACACGAATTACAAAAGGTTTCAAAATTATTATAACCTCAGTTACAGATTCAGATCCAGATCCAGCAGGTAAGCTTAGCCTATCAGAATTTTCCCTTCGAATATACTTCTTGAGCTTAAAGACACGATCTCTCTCAGCACTATACGGACGACGTGGCAGAAGAGCACCATTACCACCAAAACCACGAGGACCACCAAGACGAGGAGGACTGTGAGGGGGCAACATTTACAACTGTGAAAAGATCAAATCAAAGCCTCCAAAACAATATCCCTGGAAACCCTAGCTCTATCCATATATTTATATATATATATATATTTATAAAAAAATACCCTTATACCTACCAGTTTATGATCCGGAAAGCTTTGGGACTGAATTCATCATCTCTACCAATTAAAACCAAAATCATACGTGTTAATAGGCTAAAGGCTTTTTAACCAAACAAAAAAAAAACGTGTTAATAGGCTAATAGATAGCGCCGGGCTACACATATGAGCATACTTGATACTTTGCTAAAATTAAGCTCCATTAAACTTAACTTGTATCGTTTTTTTCACTAATTATTTTCTAAATTCATCTGCATGTTTTGTATACAATCATATATAAATTATTTTCAGTGAATTATTGTAGTAGTTTGTTGGTCGAACAAAAAGATAACACTGCAAATGCAAACTATGAATTGTATGAGCTTTATCAAATAAAGCCAACAGACTGTATTCACTATTCGGCTCTTGAGACTTTAGGTGTAGTACAACAAAATGTATTTAAAAAAAAAGGAATAGTGAGTACAAGAAGAAAAACAAACACAGAATGATATGATGATATGTTAAATATTAGTATAAACTGAATCGCTTCTTTCATGTAGATGCACGTGACGACATCTCTTCAAACCATATCGTAGTAGACAAGTGTACTCGATTTCTTCTTTATTCTTTGTTCCATCTTTATATTGGAACGACGCCGTATAGGATGATTAGGACTCCTCAATCGAATTAGTTAAAAACTTTAAAAGTCCTTAAAAAATCGTCGGCACGGCGTCAAAATCGAGCGGACAAGAAAAGCACAACAGAATCAGAATCAAACAACTCTCACGAGTAAAAGCCAAGTAATAACCATTTCTCACTCTCTTTTTTATATCAATAAATAAAAGCCATTGCCAAAAAGAAAAAAAACATTCATCTGAGAGCTTCTTGAAGAATCAGTTTCAATGGCGATCCACAAGCTTCCACTTCTTCTCCTTCTCTCCATCATTCTTCTCTTCCTCAATCGCCCCGTCCTTAGCGACACCGGTAACTTCCTCTCTCTCTCTCTTGATATCACCTGATTGGTGTTTAGTTTGTATCTTTAGATCTGGTCTGAAATCTCTTAGTTAGGATCTGTTTGTTCACTTCATTTAGAAGTTCTTAGCTAGATCTCTCAATTCTCACTCACTAAACAAGTACTAATTTCTCAAGTATGCTGATCTAGTGCTTTCCTTAATCTCTACTTTTCCTGATAACAAGAAGAGAATCAGAGTTTTACTTTGATTAAAAAAAGATTGTGAAAATTATAAGGATTTTGTTTTTATAAAAGTTTTCTTGGATTTGCAGATGAAGAGGACGTTCTTTTCACAGGCATCAACAGCTACAGAACAACGCAGAACTTAACAACCTTAAACAAGAACAAGAACGCGGAGTGTCTAGCCGACGAAATCGCAGACCAATTCAAGAACAAACCCTGCACCAACGACACTGGCTCAGCCACTGTACCTGGAAACGAGCCACAGTTTGCAAATTACCCCAAGATTCTAGCCAAATGCCACTTGAACGTCTCCGACACAAGAGACGGCATGATTATGCCCGCATGTGTTCCTCGCTTAGAGTCAACCCTCGTCCTCACAAACTTCACCAAGTCACAATACTCTGCGAGTTTGAACGATTCCAAGTTTACAGGAATGGGAATTGGTAAAGAAGACGATTGGATCGTTGTGGTTCTCACTACCAGCACACCTGAAGGAAGCTATTCTGAAGATACAAAGGATCATGATCATGATGATGATGATTCAAATGGCTTCACCTTTAGTATTGGTCTCGTTAATTATCTGCTCATTTTCATGTCTTCCTTTTGTTTCTTCCTCTACTGAGTTGAGAAATACTATCTATTACATGTTTTGAGTTTTTTTTTTTGTTTTCGTCTCAACAATCTTCCTTGATATATCAAGAATAATTTCTGCTTATGATATAGTTTTTTATATAAAACTAAAACCTCATACTATTAACTTAAAATGGGAATATATCTAAACAAGCATCCGACAAAAAAAATTCAAAAATAAGCCTGCTGCATGTGATAAGATGAATTTTAAAATATTTTTTGTCGGTGAGATTATTCAACATTTCAACGACCGACATACATTATCTTGTTTGCTTGACACGTGCGGACTTTAAGCAGCCCAATATTTATTTACGCTAAAGGGGCCGATAAGTAAGGCCCATTAACGAAGGGTAGTAATTTGGATTTTTTGAAGGGGTTCAGTGGAAAATCACTGAAACTTTCACTTTAATTTTGAAAAACAGATCGAGTTTCTCTTTCCCTCCTCGGAATTTCCTTCATCCACATATCACGAAGCCATGAGTAATCTCCACTGATCTCTAGACATTCGCCGCAACGAATCACTTTGGTTTCAATCAGCAATAGAATGCAGGATCTTCTCGGATCGGTTCGCCGATCCTTGGTTTTCCGGTCGTCCTTGGCCGGCGACGATGGTAGCGGCGGCGGAGGTCTCAGCGGATTCGTCGGAAAAATCAACTCCAGCATCCGTAGCTCACGCATCGGCCTCTTCACCAAGCCGCCTCCAGGTCTTCCTGCTCCCAGAAAAGAAGAAACGCCGTCGATTCGGTGGAGAAAGGGGGAATTAATCGGCTGCGGTGCTTTTGGGAGAGTTTACATGGGAATGAACCTCGATTCCGGCGAGCTTCTTGCAATTAAACAGGTCGATTTGATATTTCTCGTTCTGATTTATCCATCAATTGTTAATTATGAGTTATTCTGCTGATTCGTGATCGAACTTTTTCTCTATTTGATGATTAGGTTTTAATCGCTCCAAACAGTGCTTCGAAGGAGAAGACTCAGGTAAATTTCATCATTTTGCTAGTCAGTATTTCCAATTTTTGTTTCAATCTTGTGTTAAATTTCCAATTCTGGAATAATATGTTCCCAAAATTGGTAACAATTTTATTTTCATTACTCCTTTGAATCCTTGTTTTAGGGTCACATACGAGAGCTTGAGGAAGAAGTACGACTTCTCAAAAATCTTTCGCATCCAAATATCGTTGTGAGTAGACGAATCCTTTTTGATGTTTAGTGCCTGGGTCCGCATGCGCTCCCCTTATTATCGTCATTGTTTTTCAGAGATACTTGGGTACTGTAAGAGAGAGTGATTCCTTGAACATCTTGATGGAATTTGTTCCTGGTGGTTCGATATCATCTCTGCTGGAGAAGTTTGGATCTTTTCCTGAGCCAGTAAGTCCTGAATATACCTGAAATCTGCTAAACTGTGTGTTTGAGCTTCACAGGCCATAAATGTTGTTCTGAACCTTTCTGAATAGGTTATAATAATGTACACAAAGCAACTTTTGCTTGGTCTGGAGTATCTTCACAACAATGGGATCATGCATAGAGATATCAAGGTGCTTTTTTTTTTTTTCCCAATATATGATGTTTTAGTGAATTCTTAAAACTCCTGTCTTTACTCTTTCCACATTCCTACAGGGGGCTAATATACTGGTTGATAACAAAGGGTGCATCAGACTCGCAGATTTTGGTGCTTCCAAGAAAGTTGTAGAGCTAGTACGATTGCGCTTCCCTTCTCCACTTCAATTATATTTACTATGTTGTCTCTCTCTTCGTTGCTCTAAAACTTGTTATCGTTATGTGTTCAGGCTACTGTAAATGGTGCCAAATCTATGAAGGGAACGCCGTATTGGATGGCTCCTGAAGTCATTCTCCAGACAGGTCATAGCTTGTAAGTATTTCTAAAAATACCTTACTTGTTATATGATAGATTACACATGTTCTGGTTGGGAAGGGGTTCTCATCTTTGCTTTTCCCTGTGTTCTGACCTTCTTCCTGAATCTGAAGCTCTGCTGATATATGGAGTGTTGGATGCACTGTGATCGAGATGGCTACAGGGAAGCCTCCCTGGAGCGAGCAGTATCAGCAGGTAGACATATTCACTGGGTGAAGTACACTTTCCGTTATCTTTTTATTTTAGAAAACTAAAAAAGTAAAATTTCCAGTTTGCCGCTGTCCTTCATATTGGTAGAACAAAGGCTCATCCACCAATTCCAGAAGACCTCTCACCAGAGGCTAAAGACTTTCTATTGAAATGCTTACACAAGTAAGTCATAAGTTTTATTTGTCTCTTCCCAGTTCGTTTGTCTTTTTTTTCCTAGAAATAGCTCCTGTAAAGACTGATGTCCACCTTTCCGTTTCAAGAGAGTATTGATTACTATTGTCCTATCTATAAGAGCTATTATATTTGCAGGGAACCAAGCTTGAGACTCTCTGCATCCGAATTGCTTCAGGTGTTCTGAGTTCTCATATCTTCTTCATTTCTAAGAGTTGTGAAAGTGGTCCTTACGCACAACAAACAGTTATTTTTTTTGCTTTTAGTGCTGACATCTGCTTAACATTTGCAGCACCCCTTTGTGACTGGAGAGCACAAGGAATCTCATCCAGCTTTCCGTAATTCTTTTACGGTTAGTACATTATGCAGACATGTAGTGAACTTTGTTCTGATACTTCAACCTCCTGACATCCTTTCGAATATATCAGGAATGCGGAAACTCAACAGCCACACAAGGAATAACTGTTGGGAGTTCGTAAGTGTCTCTTTGCAGATCTAGTTTCAATTTTCTTTCTTACTATTCATGATTTGGTCTCTTGATTATTTTTTCACTTTCTGTATTGACTTGCAGAATAAACTCTTTGATGAGGAGGTCAACCTGTTCAGGCTTGAAGGATGTCTGTGAACTCGGAAGCTTGAGGAGTTCCATTATACACCCAGATAAGTCAAATAACTCCGGATTCTGTTGGCAAGATGGCGACTCTGATGACCTTTGTCAGACCGATATGGATGATCTCTGCAACATTTCATCAGTCAAAAACAATGTTTTGTCGCAATCCACCGATTTAAACAAGGTGATAAATCAATCCTCCATATTTCCAAACTTGTCTGTTGATTGCAGTTATACTGATAGTGGAAATGAACTTTTTAACTTTTGACAGAGCTTCAATCCCATGTGTGATTCCACGGATAACTGGTCTTGCAAGTTTGATGAAAGCCCAGAAGTGATGAGAAGTAAATCTAACTTGGTATCTTACCAAGCTGCTGAGCTCAAATCTGGTGTTCCATGTGATGAGGAAACCAGCTTAACATTTGCTGGCAGCTCTTCCGTTGCAGAAGACGACTATAAAGCCACAGAGTTGAAAATAAAATCATTTTTGGATGAGAAGGTAAAGGCCTATTTGTTGCAGCTGGGTGAAAAATTAGTTAATACTATGCATTGTCAATACTACCTTGTCCTGATCATCTCTTATGCAACTGTGGCTCCTCTTTGTTTGGGTCTACGTAGAATTTCAAATGCATCTCTGCTGCAAGATGAGGTTTTTGTGATGAAATCTGAATCTTGATCACTGATTCTGTTTTCGGTTTATCTGTTGTAAGGCTCAAGATTTGAAAAAGTTGCAGACCCCTCTGCTCGAGGAATTCCACAACGCAATGAATCCAGGAATACCACAAGGTGCACTTGAAGACACCAATGGCTACAATTTACCAAACCTACCAACTATAAGCAAGTCAAATAAACGACTTCCGAGCAGACGACTCTCAGCAATCACTGATGCAATGCCTAGCCCACTCAAAAGCTCCAAACGTACACTGAACACGAGCAGAGTGATGCAGCCGGGATCTGAACCAACTCAAGTCAACGAGTCAACCAAAAAGGGCGTGACTAATAGCCGTTGGTGAGTTAGCTCGTTCTGCAATTATTACTGCAGTCTTGTAATGTGCTTTGGTGTTTGATGTTTCTTTCTTTGAATATATCCTCAGTTTTTCAGAGATACGACGTAAGTGGGAAGAAGAACTCTATGAAGAGCTTGAAAGGCATCGAGGCAAGTGTTTTTCTTCGAGTCTAAACTTTGGTCATAAACATCTTTACTAAATGTTTTGAAAGCTATAAGCATCTTTTTAAATTATTGCAGAGAATCTGCGACATGCCGGTGCAGGAGTGAAGTCTCCATTATCAGCTCATAAGGATAGAGAGAACGTTTAAGAGAAAAACTGTATGTTTCGTTCTTACATTAACCCCAAATTACTCTGTTCTATTTCTTTTTTTTTGGGGGGTAGTTTTCATCACTATTATGATAGTATTTGATCTATGTAGATAGCTCTTAAATGGTTTATAGTACTATTACTATATATATATATATATTACCTCATTATTATTGTTATATATATCTTAAATTTGACTTATAGTATTTTTTAAAAAATTGAAAAACTAGTCTGAATAATATAAGTAGCTTATCCCATTGATGTTTTAACATAAAATATAGAGACATGCATATTGCATATATTAGTCACAATCATAACGGTTAAAATCTCGTATGTACTTTTTTACTTAGTGTTTGCGAGAATTAGTTGGAATTTTGTTTGATTGATGAATGCAAGTTTGACAACAACAACAACAAAAAACATTTTATCTGTGATTCAGTTTGGTGTTTGTCTTTGATCTCGAATTACTTCATTTTACATAAAAATAGTAAAAGTAGTTATTTAAAACAACTTACTGTACTTTCAAAAAGGAATGTGGAAGCATGCTGCACGAAACTTTGGAACCAAGAATACGAGGAAATGTGTCGACGACTATACTAATAGAAGTATATTCAATTTATATGAAAAAAAAAAAACTTCTTTCCCTTTTGAGAGAAACACATGTCGTCTGTCTCTAGTTTTAGTCTTTGTTTCGGATTCTTGAAAAAGCTTTATGCATGTCAAATAAAAAAACGCATCAGGTAAAATTCCTCTAGGTTCCAGCTTTATGCTAATATATTGAATTATCTGCGATTTTTTTCTTCTTTTGTAAACAAGTATATATAAAAACGTTACAATTGCACCCCAAAAAAACGCTACAATTTAACATGTTGAAATTAAGATTTTGGATCAAAAAGATTAAAAAAGAAAAAACAAAATGAATTAGCTTTATATTTCATGGGTTGGAAGGAAATCACACATACAAAATGGCCTCTACATTGTAACGTATCTATTCTTTGTCTCTCTTCTCTTTTACATGTCCGATCAATCACCGATCACAAAAAAAAAAAAAAAAGGAGAAAATAAACCTGTGTTTATTCAAAGTTTTGGTTCAATGATCTTACATAGTATTTGGTTGGAGGGTGGGCTGTCAAAAAAAGGCTGAGCCAATTCAGAAGAAAAAAAAAAGAGAAACATGAAGATCTTCTTGCTTTTAAATTTCTTGATTTTCTCTTTCATATCTATTATATTCAACATTAAGATTTTCTGCTTTCCTCTTTTCTCAGTGTTTGGACCGTATTTGATTGAAGTCTTGACCATTTGTAATATACACTTTATATATCCCCAAATAAAAAGAGAAGCGAAGGACATGTGAATTTTTGCGTTTTGTGTACGTTGTTGACAAGTCCCTATCGAATGATTTGAGAGACAGAGAGCGAGATACTCCTTTGCTTCGTCGCTTATATTTTTGCTCTTTTTTATTCTATGTTTTTACGATATATAGGAAACCAAATATCTATCGTTGAGTTTTGGTTTGGCCTTATGTTTTCATATAATTGTTTATATACACGTGATCCTTTTTTAACGACAAAAATATAGTTTAGAGATATCGAATTCGTATGTTGTTTCCGTCCGTAAATTAATTATATAACTAGTTTACGAAAGTAAGTTTATACCTAAGATATGATTGTTCAATAACGTTAAAACTAAAAAAAAGACTGTTCAACAGTGGTATTTTTGTGTGTTTGGTATGTCGCTCAAAATCCAAACACGAACAAACAAAACACAATTAATATGATTAGTTTGGTTGAAAGAAAGAGAAAGGCTGAAATCAGTTCGTATTTATGCAAATAAAGAGAAAGGCTGAAATCAGTTCGTATTTATGCAAATAATATGAATAATGAAGTATTCTCTTAGAAGCTACCAAATGTTATAAGTTCACGTGGACAGTCACATAACTCAAAATCTTGAAATCTGATTGGGTCCTACGAATTTTGCAGTGCATTATCCAAAATAATTTCACAAAACTAGAAATGATTTTTTTAAAGGGCAACAATAAAAAGGATATGCGCTGTGATGAATGCTTTTTTCTATTGAAAAAAACACTTTTTTATATTCGTGTCCAAGAATTATAATCTCCCAACTTCTTGTGGGGGTCCTCGTTGGTTTAAAATTTATGTTACTTCTTAATCGTTAAAATGTATTATATGTATATATGTATTAGACGAAGATGTACGTCATTAAACCATGCACACGTTTAAATTAATATACAAAAACAACTAAGTTAGGACAAGAGTCGACCAATATAGTTGCTACGATTTGGTTGTGTCGCTATGTTGCACTACGACACGGGCCCCGGGATACCCGAAAATTAAAAATATACAATGTTTTGTGAAAATATCTGCCAATGTGATGTGAAAAGGTTTCAATTTCAATCTTTAACAAATGTGAGATAAGCTATCAATAAAGAAAAACAAATATATTTGGATACCAAACATTTGTTTCTCCGAGCTAAAATTATAAACAATGCATGAGTATCATAATCCACATGTAATTATCTTTACTAGTTATAGAGGTATTCTAAAACTATTTTCCGTATCGTCGATAGGATTTGTCTTCGAATGTTATATTATGCAATAATGCAAATGATCAGAGATTGCCACACTACTTAAGTGTACTTATGCAATCAAATAGTTATTTGACCAGTTTACACTCCTAATCGAAAAAGAAGCGTAGATCTTACGTCCATATTTGCGGCTACGATAATATTTAATTTGGAGGATTTACAAAATACCATAAATTTAGACAAAAATTAGTCATATTTTGAACCTCTAAAATAATGTATTTAAAAGTCTTAGTACATTTTTGTACTAATTTATAAATTTTCCTTTCCTAACCTCTACCGTTAAGAAAATGCATTACTATGATATTGATTATTTTCCTACTTTGGCAAAATATATTTTTCTGTGATGTTTCTCTAATTAAAGTATTAATCTCATGAACAAATTAATTAATCTAATAATTTAATTAAACCGGTCAAAGAGAGTGACAACATAAAAATCAAAAGGCATCCCACTCTTACTAAAAGAAGACAAAAAAAATCATATTTATTTCATTGTTCAATAAGAAAGGAAAAAAAGTTAAGAAGGGCAGATTGGTCTTTTCAGGAGAAGTAAGGATGGATGAGATTGAAGACATAATGGGCACATACACTTTTATAAGTCCGTCCATCTTCGTATATATATCACTTACCAATCCTTTTGCTCTTCTTAGCCACCAAGAAAAAAATACCCAATTCTACTTTTCGTGATGTCAAATAGTTTTCTCTCTAAATTTCCACATTGTTGCATTGCATCCTCTCCCTTTATATAATAAGATATATGCATATTTGTTGTATATTATAAAGTCTGACCTAATTTTGTAACATACCAAATAAAAGGATTGCGTCATGAATCATATAAGACCAAGTTGATTAGGGCTAACGGATTAGATCGATTTAAAAGGGTGGGAATTGGACATGGACGTAAGCTCTGTTATGGCTTTTTGCGTTTATATATATTCAAACGTGGATACAATAAACTTTGGAGTAGTTTATGTTTTATGAGAGACCATATTTTTCTAAATAAATAAAGTCCTCAATATGCAGTGAGTGTTGTTCGGTTGTTCCCAATTAGCTTGTTACAGTCAAATTAACTGATTAGTCCATTTATCATTGTTGAATCAAACGTAACATCCAAAACTTTAATTTTACAATTGGTAAATTTCGTTTTCTAACGAATTATAGTTTGATAACTTTATAGTCCGCGTGTTTTGATTTTCATGGGCTTCACGAGTTATAGTTTTTCATTGTATGCGTACCAAGTTTAAATATAAAATATACATTGCTCAAATGGATGGACGCAGACGGCAGATCCCATGCAAACTGCTTTGCAGGAAAAGAAACGTGAAAAGGATCGCACGTATACATGCAAATTCAAACCCCACTAGCTAAAATTTAGATTAAAAACTAGTTTAATTAAAGCATAATAATAAATTATTAATTTACAATTTTAAGTATATAAGAAAGGAAAGGAAAAAAGACTTAGGAGTTTCGATGTGGACGTTTACGTGATGTAAGAAAACATAGACAACAATTAATTATGCAAAACCATGGAATGTTATCCATATAAAAAACAAAAATGCTAATAGAGACTTAAATCCATCGATGTTGGCAACGAGCAAAATCTTTAACTCATCGTCTTCTTTGTTTTGATAACTCAAAATTCATGGCCTTACTTTCGTAATTTATTTGAGTTGAAGATATGGGAGCAGATCAGGTTAATAAATATCTTCTTGATCGAATTAAGTATGATTCATTTATAAAATAGTTATAAGCGGCACCCCCACGATCATTTCTTTCACCTCCTGCATTTGTTGTAAGAAACTAATTAAATTCCAACTAAAAATATTAAACGATTGTGCAACCAAAAGCCCTTTTTCTTCTGTGGACTTGTGGGGCTAAGAGAGAGGCTGACGGAATCAGAGGCGGAGAGTCGGAGAGCATTTAGCATATATGTGACGTCGTCATTGTACGGAACAATAGTCCCTTCTCGTTCCTTTTTTGTTTTACATTTTAGCCTCTCTTTTTTACATTATACTGCATTTTAACCCCTTCTCTATTTTACGTTATTCTTCTATATCAAACTGTTATATGTTTTAGTCTAAGTATATACCTCATAAGTAAAATTCGATCTTCACAAAAAGAAGATTTATGAGAGTTTTTTTTTGTATGAGAGGGTTAAATTACAAGCACAGAAATATTTTTAAATATCTCACTGAGTTATAAAATAATGTGTATTTTTTAATAAAAGAATTACACAAACCTATTCACTCTTTCTCATACCATTTTACATGTTAAGAAAATATGTTCTCAACATTGTTTTGAGATCAAACATAGAACTCAAAATACAAAAAATCATATAACATGCTTTACTCTCAGGTCTGAAGGAATGTATGAACCTCAGTCTAAACATCATTATTAACTATTGATCATTTTATTTCAATCTTTTCATTTTTTTAATTCCATTTAATTTTTCATCATAAAAATTACAGAAGAAAACATATGTAGTAAAAAAAAACACCCAATTCCATTTAATTACAACCGTGTTGAAAATGAATACTTTATCGAAATTTAGAAATTGAGGAAAGAAATAAGAAAACTCCCTGTCAGAAAATGACGACTTAATGGAGTGGAGGCTCTTTTAAAATGTCCAATTGAATACAATTCTATAAGTCGTAGAGATATGATAATAATAATAATTCAATTAAAGAAGAAAAAAACGTGGAAAAACAAGAATAGACAGAGAGAAGTGATGTGTGTTCCCATGATGAAGGCATCTTCGTGGTACAATCGTCCTGCTCAAAATTCAGTCTGCCACTTCCTTCGGTCATTTTACCGAATCTAACCTAACCATATTAACTAACCGTTCATCACTCCACAACCAAATTGCTTCTACCCCTATTTTTTCTCTATAGATTTTCTTTAACTCAATTCAGTTTCCTATGTCAAATTTACGTAAATACTGATATTTGGGTTGTTTTATGGTTTTATATTGTACATATGATTTTTTTTTTTGCGACCAACCATAATATTATATTTTAACAGGTAAACACAAACTAAATTATATATGTATTAAATTAACAATTAAGGTCGTTCACAAATATATATCTTTTTCACAATAGCGGTCTTTGTCGGAAGTCTGTATGTAATCCAATATTAAATTTTATCTTTAACCATACATAGAGAGTAGTTAAAAAAAAAGGGTTGTTATTTA